TCCGTCCGAGATCACTACATCACCGAGAACAAAGCGTTTGGGGCCTCAGAACTGGCCTTCACCGGAGATGGTCACCTGGTTCGGGTTCAAGGGCAGGTCTGACAGCTTTCAAACGTTTTTTTTTTTAAGCAGAAAAGTAATTGTCGGATGGGTGGATGTGGGTGGATATATCTGTAGTTACATGTGATTCCCCGGCCAGGCATTGATTTCATCCAATACCCATCCACGTTTTTAAAGTTATGTTCATGTGTTGCGCAGAAACAACGCAAGAGTGTGGCTTGGCATATGCATGAAGTTGTGGACAGACAGGTGCAAGAAACACATTCTGTATTCCAGCTACGAATGACTTTTAGTGCTCCATTCATGGATGGCTTACCTGGTTTACCTCTTGCAAATCGGGATATTCCACTACCAGATGAACTTTCCGGAACGCAGACCACCACTTCAACATTTTTGAGGCTCAAACCAACCTGGATATTTGGTATATGATGCTTAAACTATTTTGAACTAATATCTGTGAGGATTGAATCAGCTCGTTTTTCCGAGGCTGGGCGCTGGCTCTTATGGCACGGTGTGCAAGGCCAAGCACAAGAGCCTTGGAAATGGAAGGCTTGGGATTGGCAGTGGAGCCTGCAAATGGTCAAGCCAAATGCCAAGTGGACTGTTCTGGCAACGTTCTAAGGAAAACCGGCTCAATACGTGACTTGGCTGCAAGGAGAGCCGGCACGGGCACGGACCTCGGCGTACAACATGCAGTTCAATGTCCATTCTAGTAACTCATCCATGCAGAACCAGCAGGATGGGCTCTTTGGCTCCTCATTTTCAGATCATTCAAGTGGCTTTGGTCTAAAAGCAGGGTTCCCTAAAAAAAATGATGGTTGATTTATCATCTTTGTGCCCATTATTTCGATTAAAAACATTGGGATATAACTGATATAACTCCTCCATTTCCCAATAAATCAGACGAAAAAACCGTGGGGTAAGGCGCCTTGAAGACGATCTGCAAGACAGCAGGAGGGTCAAGTTCCAAGGCGGGGCTGGGGCTTGGCGCTGGGTTCCAATGAAAAGAATTGTTGAAGGACCAAGTAAGTAAGCAAGGAAGGAAGTAGGTAGGAAGATAGGTAAGTAGGTAAGTAGGTAAGTAGGTAAGTAGGTAAGTAGGTAAGTGGGTAAATAAACACAGACACACAGATATGTACACACACACACGCACACACACACACATATATTACGTACACACATGCATCTGTATGTATCAGGATACATATACCAAAAAAAAAAAAACATCATTCAATCTCTTATGAGTCGTTGCGGCTTGGTAGCTTGGTATAGTGCAAATGGTGTTTCCACATGTTTCCACATCCCACTGGGATAGCGGTTTCCCAGCATAGGTCCTGGAACGCTTTTATTGCGAGATCGCCATCATGAAGAAATTGGACCATCCTGGTGCCTTGGAGCTGCCAAGATGGTGACATCGAAGCCAATGGAAGCCATGGTTTCACAGCTGTTTGTTACCCGAATGGGGAGTTTCCCAGCAAGTTTCAGAATTCCGGAAGTGACATCTCGAGGCATCATCAAGCTGTACGAGACGTTTGAGGCACGGGTTGAATACCTGGGAGTTTGATGAAAAATTGTGGATACTCGCACCCCACCATTTATGTAATTTTAGGGAAGATTTTGATCAAACATAGGATCTTGGGGTGCCTGATTTTGGGACCCCTAGGAATTAGGAACCAAACGGAAGATTTCCAGAATCTCACAGCTGGGTCCCATCAGATGGAGGACAAGCGGAACCTCTACCTGATCATGGAAATGTGTTCCGGTGGCTTGTCGAAGGATGACATTTTTAAGCGCTGCTTTGTTTTGGTTTGGGCATGAGAAACCAATGCTGTAGGGTGTCACCAGACATAAATATCAATCATATTTGGATGGGTATGCCTATTACATTGCAATCATTGCAATTTTGGTGGGATGAAGGCCAATTTGCCAGCTATTTTGATGTTCACTAGGATACCAGGGTTTTCCTCATATATTCTGCTCACTTCAGTTATCATCTCCGAGTCATCCCTGAGCACTGTAGCTGCATACCGCTGTCCACAGTTTCTCTCGGTAGAATGGCTGTTTGGCCCAAGTGAAGAAAGAAACATGGTTTTGTGCAGCGGCCCTGTTGCGAAAACCCCCTTGGCCAAGTATGCGGAGACCCTCGTGACGAGTGAATCTGATGGGGATTCGAGGAGGGACACGGGGTCCCAAGAGGGGCTCAGTTGCCAGTTCTCCACTTGCCAAGTGATTTCCATCTTGAAACTGGTGACGTCTCAGCCGGAACATTATGTTATTATGATTTTTTTGTGTTTAGAATATAGAACTATTTAGACACAAATAAAGTCATATTTCTTGCCCCCCTCTCTCTATTTCCAATCTCGAAAATGTTCCGTCCCTTTTGCCTAGAAGCCAATGGTATTCTGCTTCCGCAGGAGTGGTGTCTCAGAGTATCCCATGTACACCTTGCCATCTGAGAAGCTGATGGAAATGACCAAGATCCAGCCGCACGAGGAGTTGCTGTCTGAAGGCGAGCGGTTTATGGCGGTTTCCAGTGTTTTTCAAACTTGGGAAGCACGAAGTCACAGTTGATTGAATGGCGATTTAACCATCATACATGGTGCTTTAACCATCATCGAATTTGAGAGGGACATTTGCATGGAGAATTTCTCTGAAACAGCTGGGCACCCACTGGGAGCTGCTTTCAGCGGGCTGGGTCTCGCTCAGGTAGCCTGGTGATCTTTGAAAAAAAGTTGGGCCGGGCTGCTTTCGTTTCTCATCAGTGGATTGGTGGTGCGCACCCAGACCCGGAGTTTAAGCAGATGAAAGTGCTGAAAGACAGCCTTAGATTCTCGCGCGCAATCTTCATGGTGGGAGATCTCAGTTCTTGTGATGCCTTCCTGCTGAATTCTATAAACATATATATTTGGCACAGAACCTTCTAGAGGTGTTTTTGTTCTTATACAAAACTACTCTTCAGTAGTGGCACAGTTTGAATAAGATCAAGCTGCCTACCTCCGGGAGTCCTTGTCTATGGCGCCGAGGAAATCTCCAGTCCGGTGCGTGCGAGGTGTCCGTTGACTTGTTGACCGAAGCAGTCTACTTTCGCTCCAAAGGCATTCCAGCCGAGGAATGGCAGTCCAGCCGTCTCTCGGTGTGAAAAAAGTGTTCCATGACTGCTGTGAGATGAGGGGAAACCCAGCCCTTCCAAGCCCTGAAAGCTTGAAACACGGATAAAAGTGGATGGTAAACTGGAAAGGCTCGCCAAACTTCATCCGAGGCCTGTATTTGTGGTACGACTACTTTTCATGTCCCCAGCGGGAACACCAGACCGCCCATGGCCGTGTGAGCGTGGGGAATCTCCAAAAAGCCATTGATAGCAACTTGGAAAGATGTGCTTGCCGCATGTCTTTGGGTGCAGCTCCCCCAAAAGATCAAAGCGTTCCCAATTTTTTCTTGATTTTTTTGGTTTCATCCCTGCCTTGGTTGATAATTCCAGGTCACGAGAAACGACCGCTCGTCCAGTTTGCATTAGCATGCCACATGCCACATCTCCAAGTCTACAGGCCGACCTTAGCCCGACCTTAGCAGACCGTAGCGAACCGCTGAGCCCGCGAGGTATTCCGGTCTATGTCTCCCGCTGTGACCACTTCATCGCCCTGTGCCCAGTGTTGCCCAGCACTGATGGCAGCAGGATGTTCAGTGACTACACCTGGGCGAGCAGAGGAGGGAGATGCATCGAAAGAGAGATGGTTAACCATGAAAATGCGATATTCCACATATGGTAACCATGGTAACCGATGGTTAAAACGATCCCATGAAGGGTCAATGGTGGTCAATGATGGTTAGTAACCTGCTGACAGGGCAAACAAGGAGGAAAGGAGGAAAGGATAGGAAAGGATAGGAAAGGATAGGAAAGGATAGGAAAGGATAGGAAAGGATAGGAAAGGATAGGAAAGGATAGGAAAGGATAGGAAAGGATAGGACAGGATAGGAAAGGATAGGAAAGGATAGGAAAGGATAGGAAAGGATAGGAAAGGATAGGAAAGGATAGGAAAGGATAGGAAAGGATAGGAAAGGATAGGAAAGGAGGAAAGGGGAAAAGAAGCAAGGAAGGGACGGAAGGAAGAAAGGGATGCACTTCCAGAGGAATTATATAAAGGGAATATATAAATAAACACATTTCTGACAAGGAACATTTTTCTTGACCATTTGAAGGAGAAATAGTAAACCCGGAAGAGCTGGAACACAAGAAAGTCAACAAACATGATTGCAGGGCAATCACTTTTGCCCAGGCCAAGAAAGCGAAGAACCACATGTGTGCAGTGACGCCTTCCGTCCGACATCACAAATTCTTATAAATTCTTGCCCTGGCTCGTGATGTTTGGTTGCTGGTTTGCTGTTTTCTACATGTTTCCCCCAGCCTTTGCTCCCTATAAGAGGGAAGGGACTTTCTGACAACAATGGAGAAACCATGAAAAAAGAACTCCAAAGCATGTCCATTGCTGCAACCAAATAAAGAGTTGTAAGCAATATCCCTGTTGAGCCAACTGTTGAGCCCTCTGTTTTTTGACGTTTCTTTTTTGCCACTTTTAATCCTGATCTTCGCAGATTCTGCCAGATGTCTCAGTTGATGGCCAGGAGTTGTTGAATTCCTTGATGTTTTTGCACATATTAATCTTTGGATGTCTAGATAAACATAGATACATGTCATTTTGATTGAAGCACACACACATATGTATATATATATATATGTATATGCATATCTACACCCGTATATATATATTTATAGATACACTCGCGCGCTCTCTCTCTCTCTCTCTTTCCCGATATGTATACACACCATATTTATAAACTATATTATATACATGCTATGCTACGCTACACATGTAATAATACACACCTGCCCCTGCGAGGATGGTGCAGGATCGAGCAAGTGGTGCGAGAACTCACTGTGCAGGGCGGAGGCTGGCTAAAGCTGCAGAGAACTTCGCAACTAAGATCACACCCAGCAAAGAGGGACATCTCCATTGGGTGGATGGATATAGAGACATAGAGATATGGAGATACAGAGAGATAGAGATATGATATAGAGATATAGAGCTACAGGGTTATGGGGTTGTAGATAAAACAGGGAGATAGACGTATATTCAGACAGACGATAGATGAATAAACAGATAGACACGCAGCTAGACAGCCACACAGCCAGACAGACAGGCAGCCGGACCGACAGTCAGATGGACAGACAGGCAGGCAGACAGAGAGATATACATGGAGGAGTAGTTTGTAGCCATGGTAGAGATCTCTACTTAGCTGATGTTGGAATGTGGAACAACCAACAGCCTGTCACCAGCCCCACAGGATCCTGGATCGTGGTGAAGAGTGCCACGCACCAGGAGCAGGGTTTCAAGCATTTTTTTTGCTTCAATCCAATTAGAATTAGATAGCAGGTAGGAGTGATTTACCTGGGAATTTGTGGCAAATCACGGAAGTAACCTTGCTGCTTGCTATGCCGAGACTCCTGGGAAGAACCTCCCAGGCCCGGGTTGAAAACCCGAAAGGCTCCACGGCATTTCGTCTCGGTAGGAGTTGAAGGTTTGCCCCTTGACCAACTGCTCTGCGGGAGAAGGAGAATTCACAATGGAGTCTGATCGAAAGCGCGTTGCAGGCGGGACATTGCCTCTGGGAGTTGGCCATGTGAAAGCTCTGTTATTCGTTGGCCGCGGCATTTCCTTGGCATGCTAATTGTAGAGTTTCATGCTTCATTTCCAACGGAGGGCCGTTTCTATTCGACAAGTTCTCTTTTGCAAAGCATTTTTTTGCGTGGCAGGTGTCCTACAGAGGTTCCTGAAGAGGAGGCTCTTGTCATGTTTGGAGTTGGGTGATTTGCCAGCGTACCGCCTGCTGCTGAACAAGCAAAGGGCCTTCCTGCGCAACCTCCCAGCAGAACCCATTGAGGACGTGTCAGAAATTTTGGGGAACCGGGGGAGCCACCTGGACATGTGGACAGAAAAATGACCACCTGGCACAGGACTTGGTGCCGGGATTTCACGCTTCAGAAAGTGATGGTTGCGCAACCATCCTGGACCGTTTCCTGCATCAGAACGGCTTCAAGAATGCCCTGGAGTATGACAGTGCCTGAGCTGATGGTTGCCATGACAGCACGTCTCGGGTCGTCTTTGGCCTGTGAAAGTTTGAACATATCAGGCAATATCAGGCATGCAAAACTCATTGTTTTGGATCCAAGCATCATATATTGTCATACATCATCATTGTTGGATATTAGGTAAAATCCAATAAATTTTAGGATATTCCAATTAGTCCCAATTCCCAATATCATCTAGAGTTGAAAGATTTGCATCAGCTGGTGACTTCCATGCACCAGCTGATTCCAGGTGCTGGATGGTCGCCTTTGTGCTACGCCTGTATGAACGGAACCCCTTTGGTGATCAAGATGTTGCTGGAGCAGAAAGCGAACCCCAACAGCAAGACCAAAAAGGCCCGCGCGGAGGTCAATACCGACAAGCATAGCACCTTGGATGGGCTGGTACTGAGGACGGGGGGTGAGTCAAACCCCAAGTTGTTGCATATTTGGTCAATGTCCAGCATCTAGCCCAAGTCAGTTGGATTCCGTCAACTAGTGGCCTCCGTATGTTTCTCTGATCTTAATCTTAATTGAAGATTTCACACATGTGCAGGGGTGCAATTTATTTCAGGGCCAAGGACCTCCCTGCAGGTCATTTCCAGCCCATCAAACGGATCGCAGTCCGAGGTCCAGTGCTGGCAATCTGCGCGCGCTTCAAAAACCATGAGGCCATGAAGTTGCTCATTGAAGCCGGTGCTACAGTGAACTCCAAGGCGGTTCACAGCCCACTAGGCATAGGGGAGCGGCTGTGGATTGGGCGGTTGGTTGTGGAGTGTCAACTTTAAGCTTGGATATCGATCTAATTGTCTAGCTATCTAAGGCTATCTATCCATCCATCCATCCATCCATCCATCCATCGCTTTATCAGCCTCAATTGCTAGGAACCATCTACCGAACCAACCCATCAGACCCAGTCCCGGTTTCCTCCTGCCCCAGGAGTAGCCTGCTTAGCCAACGATGCTGAAGGCGTGAAGTTATTGTGCGATGCAGGAGCAGATCCACACGCACGAAATCCATTTGGCCACTTGGCACTGCATCGGACCCTGGAACACCTGGTGAAAATCAGGAGAAAACCATCATTAACGATAGATGTATCTACCATAAGCCAAGTTAGGTAACTGGGGCACCACCTTGTATGTTTCCATGGGGCCTGCAGGCGACCATTCGCTGAATATGGCTGCTGCAGCAGGGTCATTAGATGCCATCGATACCCTGCTGAAGAACTTTCCTGACTTGGACATGTCAAGGGCCCTGCACTCGGCCGTGATTTTGCAGGGTGGCTCCAGTGCAGTTGTCAGCTGCTTGGTGGATCATAAAGCTGATGTAGATGCTCCATATGTGCCGTCGGGAAACAGCATTTTGGCCATGGTGAATCGGGTCAAAGGCCGGGATTTGGTGGGGCCACCTGAATCAGGATTGAAGTAGGCCGATGTGCAATGTGCTCAGCGGATGTTCTTAAATCTACTGCTATAATCTACTATATCTACAACGGCATCTCTGTCTCTCTTCTTCCCGTTATATACTCTTTTCTATTTCCTCTCTTCCTTGTCTCTGTTCCTCCTTTTCCTTTGCTCTTTTCCTCTCTTTCTTTCCTCTCTTTTTCTCTTTTGCTCTTCTTTTCTTTGCATAGATGTGCTCCTCTCTCATCAAAAGTACAAGACCATGTGATAAGGCCTCCCCCAAGATCGATACCCTTCTCTTGGGAGCTTGGCGAAGACAATGAGTCTTGACAAAAGCTCTCTCTATGGATTATCAATGAAGATCCTCATCATCCAACCAGAACAAAGCATGGCATCCTTGTTTTCCAAGTTCAGCTGGGCTAGTGCTTTTTTTAGTGCAGGTCTTCAGTACAAATATGGCCGCCACACCATGATGCGACGATTTGCATACCACTCGAGTGGTGCGACACCGCTGTTGCTGGCGATCATTTGCGGCAACTACGAAGCGGCAGCAAGGCTGCTCTACGAAGGTCGGAAAAAAGCGGCTCTAGGATGGGGTGAAATCACAAGAAAAAGAGGAACATGACTGTGTTAAGAACGGCCATTCGGGCCTGTGAGGGGGGGTCTCTGTGAAATCAATGAAATATAGCCACTTCCTGATTTAGGCACTTTTCGGACATAATTTGGTTTTCATCGAAATATCGATTTATGGCAAAAAAGTCCGTATTTGCCAAATCGCGATTTAGGCAAATTTTCACTTTTTTGGCATTTTTTTTAAAGCATTTGCACTAATTTTAGAGAATTTTGACTTTTTTTGCCGTAAATCTGCAATTTGTTTTTTGCATGTTCTCGTCCATTTTGGTGACTGCATAAATAAATAAATAAGTAAATAAATAAGTGGATACAATTGGGATGTGGTGATGGATGGATGGATGGATAGATACTTGGATGGATGGATGGATAGATAGATCGATAGATCGATAGAACGATAGATCGATCGATAGATAGATAGACAGATAGATGGATAGATAGATAGATAGATAGATAGATAGATAGATCGATAGATAGATCGATAGATCGATAGATCGATAGATAGATAGATCGATAGATAGATAGATAGATCGATAGATCGATAGATAGATCGATAGATCGATAGATAGATAGATAGATCGATAGATCGATAGATCGATAGATCGATAGATTGATGGATAGATCGATAGATCGATAGATCGATAGATAGATCGATGGATAGATAGACAGATAGATAGGTAGATAGATAGATAGATCGATAGATCGATAGATCGATAGATCGATAGATAGATAGATCGATAGATCGATAGATCGATAGATCGATAGATCGATGGATAGATAGATAGATAGATAGATGGATGGATAGATAGATAGATAGATAGATAGATAGATAGATAGATAGATTAGATAGATAGGTAGGTACTCGTAGGTAGGTAGATAGATAGATAGGTAGGTAGGTAGGTAGATAGATAGACAGATAGATAGATAGACAGATAGATAGATAGATAGACAGACAGATAGATATTACGAAAATGGTTTCCTGCCTAGGTGGGCTGGTGTTGATGGCTTCTTGATTTAAAGTGACGGTCTAAGTGGTTGATAATTTCAAAACCTTGGTGGCTTCGAGTTATATGCCACTGGTTGGCCCCATCGATATTACATGATATTACTACTCTCATGTATATGATGTATCCACCAAAAGTCCAACGCCTTTAGAATTTTAGCCTATGATATACCGTAACGATAGATACAACTATAGATATAAGTATAGGATATAACTATAGATATTGCTATTCTTACTGAACTAAGCCACCCATCTCGTGGTCAGGTGCCTCGGCAGACCAGCGGAATGCCAGGGGCGTGTCTCCGGCAGAGCTGGCCGAGGAAGTTCCTGAAAGCATCGGTGATTCGAAGTCCCTCCTGGGCTTGTGGGCTATAGAAGCATACAAATATACATCCAGTACATTACATTATATTACGTTCCGTGTACACTACATTACACTACATTACATTACATTACATTACGTACTCAAAGACCCCGATGTATATATATATATGAATGTATATGTATGTAATTGTATGTATGTATGCGTGCTGCATGCATGTAATGTATGTATGTATGTATGTAATGTAATGTAATGTAATGTAACGTAACGCAACGCAACGTAACGTAACGTAACGCAAGGTAACGTAACGTAACGTAGTGTAAGTATGTATGTATGTATGTACGTATGTATGTATGTAATGTAATGTAATGCAATGTAATGTAATGTAATTTAAATGTAAATTAATGTAATGTAATGTAACGTAACGTAATGTAATGTATGTATGTATGTATTTATGTATGCATGCATGTATATATATATATGCACATAGTTCTCGCATAGAAATAGTCTATACAACATGCACAGCACATATGCATATGAAATAGTCTATACAACATGCACATATGCATATATGAATATATATGCATGTATATCACGCACATACATTACGTTACGTTACGTTACATTACATTACACTACACTACATTACATTACATTACATTAGGTTACATTAGGTTACGTTACATTAACATTAACATTAACAGTACATTACATGACATTACCACACATACAGCATATATATATATATATACACATGAATACACATCTTGGTGATTCAAGTTCCAGGTGGCATCGGTGTCAAATGCGCCTTGCCTGTGCTCGCGAGGAGCTTGGAGGTATGCCGGACTACCTCTTGGAAGCGTTGGGAGGGGAGATGATGAAGTGTTCGTCCATCGTGACAGCGGGCACCGTTAAGAGTCAGGCATCGGCCGGGTCTGGAGCAGATTGGCTGGAAGCCATAGAAGAACCAACTGAAGCTGAAGGTGAAATGTGGAAATCCAGCAATCCCGTGATCCTTTCGATATGAATCATATCGACAAATCGAATCAGGGAGCGTATGTTACAATGTTTGTACAGACTTTTCCTTTTTTCCTTTTTACTTGCCTAGTGCCTACATCCCCAGTCAAACTGGGAACGATGGATGAATGCAGCAATTGGGTATTCCTTTCCTGAACCATTTTATCCCAGCTGCGAGGCTTGAATTTGTTTCAATCAATCAATCAATCTATCGATCTATCTATCTACTTGTATCTAACTATCGATCTATCTATCTATCTATCCATCCATCCATCCATCTATCCATCTATTCATCCATCCATCCATCCATCCGTCCGTCCGTCCGTCCATCTATCTATCTATCTATCTAATCTATCTAATCTATCTAATCTATCTAATCTATCTAATCTATCTAATCTATCTAATCTATCTAATCTATCTAATCTATCTAATCTATCTAATCTATCTAATCTATCTAATCTATCTAATCTATCTAATCTATCTAATCTATCTAATCTATCTAATCTATCTAATCTATCTAATCTATCTAATCTATCTAATCTATCTAATCTATCTAATCTATCTAATCTATCTAATCTATCTAATCTATCTATTCTATCTATCTATCTATCTATCTACCTCCCTCTCTATCTAATCTATTAATCTATTAATCTATTAATCTATCTATCTATCTATCTATCTATCTGCCTGCACCTAGTGTATTGTGCTATTTGAGTGCTGAAAGTCCCTTTCATTTGGGTCTGTCTGAAAAGAAACAACACTCAAAAATATCATGTTTGATCAAAATGTCTCAGGATAATGCAATTCTCAACTTTGGACAAACCCATCTCTGTTTTTGCGCTGCAGTTTCCAGAAACAAGCACTGAGCAATGTCTGGAGCATGCAGCATCGGAATCTGCGGTAGGCAGTCGGAAAAAGTGAAGTATGTTGTGGTGCGATGATGTCAATTGATAGGACGACCTTGTGTTCACTGTGTTGATCCGTTGCGATCCATGGGGTTGTCATTCAAGGGTCGCCATTTTTCCCCAGCTCAAACTGGCGCCAGAGACACCCGTTTGGTGATGGTTGCAAGCCGGAGAAAATTGTCATGGCAACTTTGCCACAGCCAGATCCAATAGTGAGTGGCTTCGATTGTTGGTGAGCTTCTGCCGACAAGACGGTGGTCATACCCCAGTGACTATACCTGTAGGTCCTACCCCATCCTTCCAGTGAAAAAGGATCAAGTCTTTCATCCCGATTTCTGCCTGAGTTCGACAAAAAGAACCCCCAACAATGGCAGTTTCAGGATCCAAAAAAAATCCAACCCAGTTTTTGGATTCTATGTCAGTTTGAGTTCCGATCCGGAGAGCCACCCAAAAGTCGGATTCGAGTCGGTTTCGGGTTTCGGGTTTCGGGTTTCGGGTTTCGGGTTTCGGGTTTCGGGTTTCGTCGATTGAAACCAACTTTCGCTGTCGGTTTCGGGTTTCGGGTTTCGGGTTTCGGGTTTCGTCGATTGAAACCCACTTTCGCTGTCGGTTTTGGGTTTCGAGTTTCGGGTTTCGTCACTTGAAACCAACTTTCGCTGTCCGTTTCGGGTTTCGGGTTTCGGGTTTCGTCGATTGAAACCCACTTTCGCTGTCGGTTTCGGGTTTCGGGTTTCGGGTTTCGCCGATTGAAACCCACTTTCGCTGTCGGTTTCGGGTTTCGGGTTTCGGGTTTCGTCGCTTGAAACCAACTTTCGCTGTCGGTTTCGGGTTTCGGGTTTCGGGTTTCGCGGTTCGAAACCAACTTTAACAGTCGGTTTCGGGTTTCGGGTTTCGGGTTTCGATCGGTCCTGGGGAAGGTAAGTCTTCAGAGACGGTCCTGGGGAAGGTAAGTCTTCAGAGTCGGTTTCGGGTTTCGGGTTTCGGGTTTCGGGTTTCGGGTTTCGATCGGTCCTGGGGAAGTTAAGTCTTCAGAGTCGGTTTTGGGTTTCGAGTTTCGGGTTTCGCAGTTCGAAACCAACTTTAACAATCGATTTCGGGTTTCGGGTTTTGGGTTTCGCTGGTCGAAACCAACTCTGCAGAAATTCCGTGTGATGTATGTTGCCTTGTTGGGGGATGAAAGCCCAAATTTCTTGACATGGAAGAATAGGGGGATGGGATTAACCCCCTATTTTTGACACTTATGTCCAATTTTTGATGGTTATATCATGTTAATTCATGTTATATCACTTGTATCCCTACAAAATCCCTGTAGAGTCCCGATCAAGGTCCTATTATCCCTCTAAACCCCCGAAAGGCATCATCAGTAAGTTGTCTACTCAGGTGGAGAGCTCTTCGACCGAATCGTGGAGGCAGGCCACTTCACCGAATCGCAAGCGGCCATTGTGGGGGCACCTAGGGGCCTGGTGAAGATTCCCAATTCATGGGGATCTAAGCATGACCTGAATGGGGACTTCTCACCAATGATGAATGGATATTTTTCGGGATTTTTGGTTGGATAGAAGCAACCATATGATGCTCAGAAGGGTTTTTAAGCCTCTAACATTTTGAGGAACTTCACCGGCAACTATGGGGGTAGAAAACCGAAAAACTATCATAGGGAAAAATGTAATGGAATATATAGCACCAAGAACAAGATTTGAGGGCATAGGATGCCTGACTTGGGGATGGTGGGTTTGCCAAAAGACAGGGCCACAGGGCTGTGCTGCCTCAATAAGCATCAAGCATCCCAGCTAGCAAATGGGAACTAATCATAATGACCATCTCAGTTCATCCTGTTAAATATGCCCCAATTACCATTCCCCGAAACAAACATAGACCCTGAGAATCAGCGAGTTTTAGAGGAAAGTAGTCTTCATGTCTAGCCTCGGAATCCCTGGGTGCTCGCATCCCAACCGGCCACAGAAATGAGGTCATGAAGCAGATGATTAGCGCCATCTACTACTTGCACACCAACCACATTTGCCACCGCGCAACGACCTGAAATGCTTGGGCGATCAGACTTGGCTCGTTTCGGCGCCATTTCTGTGGCCAGTTTGAAAACCAAGGACCTGAAACCCGAGAACTTTTTGTTTCATACCAAGGAGCTGTACCTTGGGCCGTTTCCCAACAGGTTTTGGGCATGTTCATGGCCAGATTTCAAACTCAGGGGACCGGAGAATCCTTGAACCTTGAAATGGACCAATGTTTTTTGATGTTCACGGCCTACAGGGCACCTGAACTTGGCAACTTATGCAACTCGGGGCATCCGGCCAAAAGGAGAGCATTGAGAAAAATCTCCTGAAGTTGATCGACTTTGGCCTGGCAACTCCCTATAAGCTGCTCGGTTGCTACTTTTGAGGGCTCGCGGGAAGGTCACCCTGACGCATTAAAAGGGTATATAACAACCTAAAGTGAATACGTAACATATACGATATATCATATCATATCATATAAACAGAGGAACATAGACACACGTGCACACCCACACACACACGTACACATATGTATATTTACGGTAATTATTATATTTACATATTTATACATATAGTATCTCCGTATATTTATCCATCCGGGGCGGACGGTCGCCCCAAGTTTCATTGGGGGGTTCAGGTACGTTGGGATTACATGAGGATTTGTTGTGGTTTGTTTGAAGGTTTATGTAGGGTTGGTTTAGGGTTTATTCAGGATATTCAGGCTTGTTTCAGGGTTTGTTTTGGTTATTTATGGTGCATTTTAGGGTTGGTTTAGGGTTTATCTAGGGTTGAATTATTTTGGTGCGCTCTTTTGAGGTTTTTCCTGAAGGACTGCAATGGAATTGCGTGGATTTCGGGGAAACGTTCGCCCCGCCCAGCTCCAGGCCCAACGAAGCCATGAAGACCAAGTCCGGCACGCCATACTATGCCGGGAGCCTCACTGGTTCCGACGGGTTGGTTGGGAAGTTCACCAACTGAATTTCTCAAGGTCTCTCCCTCTCTCTATCTCTATCTCGTTGCAGAAAGAAAGATGGACATGATAGAGAAAAGGAGTCTGGCCCCAGGGAGGGCGCAGTTGAAAGTGAAAACAATGTAAAATGGAGAAAGAACAGAAAGAACTATGTAGATACAGATCAGATCGAGAAGGCGAAGGAGAGAGAGAGAGAGAGAGATATACAGATCAGATCATCAATGCAGTCATTACATGCTCATCCAAGCAGCTTCATGACTCCCTGGACTTTGGCCCTGCTTCTGAGGTGGCTCCCCAGGTGTTGCAGGGTCACTACAATGAGCTTTGCGACATTTGGAGCTGTGGTGTCATCATGTATGTGCCTGGGGATGGGTATCGAGGGTGCGGCCTAGTGATGCGGTTTCTGACCCCTCGCACGAGGTGCACCATATCGCCAGAGAAATCTCTGGAAATATCCCCACATATCCCCACATATCCCTAAATATCCCCAAAAAATCAAAGTTGCGTGCCTTGATGTGCCTTGATGTGCCTTGTGTCCCAGGCTAAGCATCTCCTGTGTCATGCCTTGTCTCAGTGACTGCAGTACCTTCTAGCGATCATCCCAATGGACCAGGTGCTCCTGTGTGGCTACCCTCCCTTCTTGGCCGACACAGATCCGCAGGTCCTAGCCATGGTCCGCAGGCGTGAGCGGTGCAGTCCCTCATGTCCTGCCACAAATGTCCCGTGTCCCGTGTCAGGGGACATTTCACCTTTCCACAAGAGGACTGGCATCAGGCGCATTCTGGCGACTGCGATGCGACTGTGAGTTGCGAGCTGGAAGTAGATGAAATGGTGGTGTCAGATGGTGTCAGACATTTCACATTTCATGTTTTTTCCAGGTGTTTTTTCCCCATCGTGCAGCCAAACATAGCCAAACTCAAGCCGAATATGTCACCACACAGGTGTCGGATGACGCTAAGCAGCTCATCAAAAAGCTTTTAGAGATGAAGCCAGCAGATCGTTTCACAGCGGAGCAGGCCGAGCCTGGCAGTTTTTGTGTTCCAGTTTGATTTTGGTTCGGAGTGGGAGAGGCGTTTCTGGGCCATGGAAGAAGTTTCCATAGACAGGTTCAAGCTGTTTGCCTTTGCAGTCTTGGGTTCAGTTGATGTGAGCATCAGTATGTGGAAACCATAGATGTTGGCCATTTTTCAGCCGCAAATCGCTCACTTTTTTCTTGCATGTCCGATTCTACTTGGATGTGCATTCCAGCTAGTAAGTGGTGTATGCTGCAGCTCATCAGCGGGATTCACTGGGCTTATCCCACAGACAACTAGCCACTAGCCGCTCTAGCCTTCCTTCTTGTGGACAGTACTTCCAGAAGCCTTCAGGGCATGTCCCAAGCCCTGACCGAGGCCTTAAACCACATTTGGATTAAGGAGAAGGCACCACACAGTAGCAAAGAGCCATTGAATACAACCTCAGCATCCCGGCGAAATGATAGACATGTGAGTGTGCAATTCTGTCCCACTGTGTTGGACTGAGAAATGGAAACACACATGGATGAAGCATAGTGTTTGGGCCTTGCTGAGGTGAGCAATCTGAAGAACTTCAGATCTACAAATCGTTTCAAGAGCCTTGGTTCGGTGACATGCGCTTTTCGACTTGCATGTTTGAGGTGGCAATTCATGTCTGTTTATGTCATTCTATGTATCTGTTCTATGTCTCATAGAGACATTATATATATATATACATTTATTTATTCATTTATTTATTTATTCTATGTCTCATGGAGACTATATATATATATAATATATATTTATTTATCTTTTTGTTAATTTATTCAACCACCACCTGACCTCATTTCCTATTTCATGGCCTCGCAGGAAGATGGCGCTTCAAGTCATCGCGTTCGACTCCTGGGGCCGGCACTGATGACTGGGGATGGTTTATTGTTGTAGCCACACTGGGATATAGTGGAACTATAGTTAGTTTAACTATAGTAATCTATAGTAACTATAGATCCACCATATCTACTTGTAGAAGATTGACCTCAGTTTGGATTTTTGTTCTGTGCGCCCTGCTCTTTTTGGGCTTTTGTGAGAACTCAAAATCCTACCTTTCCAGTACGGAAACGGCCTGACCCTTCTGCAGTTCTCTGGGATTTCGAAAAAATCCCGAGGACGCAACTGAGCGAAGACAAGATCGAAAACCTGCGGAGACAGTTGCTAAGCTCAACTGGCTGCAGCCTGCAGCTAGATGGGTATAGTTCAACAGACCCACATGTTTTTTGTTCATCCCAAAGTGGGGCTCGGAATTTTTGAGCCATATCCCATTGGATATTGGGATATTGGGTAGGTGTCCCATTTTGGGCCCGAGAATCCGTTGAGTTCAGGTCAGATTGAAGGCCTCAGGGTGGTTTTTAGTAGAAGAACTGGCAAGTGCGTGGCCGGATTTTTTCCAAATGACCTGCCCAGTTGGAAACTCAAGTTGGAGGACACCCTTCCAGGTTGTGTTGGTAAAACAGCGTAAACCACCATGGGTTTCCATTGGTTTCCTGTAGATCTTCTTTCCAAAGCAAGCGACCTCTGAGGTTCCTGGCTTTGGACAGCAATGGGGATGGACGGCTCAGCATCAAAGAGATCAGTGCTTCGGACAGGACTTGGTGAGTTTGTGAGTTTGTTTGACATGGATGATCCTGGATGATCTGATATTCTTTCTCTTTTTTTTAAAGGTTTTTTTTTTTTTTTTTCGAGAGTTGTTTTTTTTCACATTTTTGGTGTTTGGGATTTTTGAGGCCCCCAGGATCCACCCGTAGATTTTTTTTTGCTGCTGTACTGAGCCCACGCATATGGACTTGGGTAAGGTCATCTGAGATCTAAAAACCATCCCATCATTTATGGGATTTATACTATGAACCATGCCCAAATGCTTGGCAAACTTTGAGCTACGTGCTCATCCAGTTGTGGAGCTGACTTCATCTCGACAAGCGGTTGGGGCAACCCGATGCGGACCCTGGTCCGCGCGGGGTCATGTGAATCCCAACCCGCTCGTTGGAATACTTCTGACTTCTGACTTGAAACCGACTCAAAAGAAGATGAAACTTTGCTGACCCGACATTCTCCCCTGGTAAGCCTCGATTTTCTCTCTTCGCTGTTAGAATTTGTTCATGAATTTCTAGCACTGTTATGGGATGATCCACAATCGACTGATGATGGATGGTGATGGAAAATCGCATGGCCCAAGGCGATGGTCTCAAGGCGGCTGGCATGAAAGACAATGACCTGACCCTTGGTGATTGGGAATGTTAGGCTTCAACAAATAGATCAAATAGGGCACAAGGTGATATAGCATGAAACTTCAGCATTTGAGTTGGGATATCCATTGTGGCCCAAGGCCTGACAATGAATATCAATGAAAACAAAATTCAAAATCCATTAACTTCGACTTTTGACTGTTCCTTACGTTGGTGTGTTTCCATTGTGCATGGCATCAATTAACTCTGGTTTTAATTGTGTTTCCATTGTGTTTCCGTTGGTGTGTCTTCAATCACTGCAGTTCAAGTCTGTTGAAGCCAACTTGAACATCAGATGGTGGTCCGCTCTATGTCGCTTGCCAATACTTGACACACTTCCAAGGAAGAACATCCTTGCCGGTGTGGACTGCGACGGGAGCCCCTCACCGTGGGCGGGTTGCGGACACATGGGGGGTTGGGTTTGGACCGGTTTGGATGACCCCACCAGATATGATGGTCACCTCACTTGAGCGCCTCGTAGGAGTGGCAGCATCGAGTACAAGGACAGGGCCGGGGTCTTCAACTTTCCAACTTGAGGAGGTTGATGTCATGGGAATGATGACGATGCACCAGAGCCATCCAGGGCCTCCATCAAAAGACTTGGCCACTGGACAGTGGCGCTCCTTTCCGTTTGGCCATCCATTCCCATCCTCCTGGCCGAAGGAGTTCTTGGCAGCTACCCTGGACAAAAAGTGGACGCCTGAGCACGCCATGGTTGGCCTTGACAGGGGAGCCAGTTGGTCCTCCCCCTTCAAGGGGAGGGGTTGGACCGTGGAACATTGCAATGGGCCTATGAGAATGCATTGCATCACCCCACACGGCCAAGCTGGTTGTTTTCATTTTGTTTTGCACTACATCCTCATGTTTTTCCTGTTTGCTGATTTTTCCTGCGCGTGAACCACGAGCCATTCCTGGGTTTTTAATCACAGTTGGACATTTTCATGGCAGTTGCCCCAGTGACAGCTGCCCCAGTGCCCCAGGCATTACCTGCAAGAAGATGCCCTGTGGTCCGCTTTCTGCGTCTTCGACCGGAACGGGGATGGTCCCCGCACCCAGCGCAAAGGGAGGTTTGAAAAAACCGTGCGCCGGGCTTATGAGGTTTGAAAAAAAAGTTGACCTGAACCACCACTTTCATAGTTTTCATTGGAAAGATGGGTTAAAAAGTGGGCTGCTTCCTTAGAATTTTGATGAATTTCGGGAATGAATCCCCAACATCAAGCAGAGTTGTTCCAATGCCCTTTCCACTGTTTTCCCCCAATGTTTTTTAGGGGAAACAGCAGCTCCATCCTGGATGTGACTCGATGGGGCTCCAGGCAAAATCTGCATGGATGAGCTCAGACACGTTCTGGAAGACGACAGCAGGGGGACCTTGGGACCGGCTGCGGGCAGTCATTGAGTCCTTGGGATAGCAGGGGGTTATGTATGTAAGTATATATATATATATAATGTATTCATCGCATTTATCACCAAGTCCTTGATTTGTGGTGATCCTAGCCATAGATCCTGCACCTGTCTTCGAAACTCATCATTCCTGAAGGTACAGCACCAAGACTAATGGAGGACAAGCATGACTAGTGGCTGCCAGGTGTGGGCGAGTTGATTCCGGGCAAACAGTCCGCTGCTTGCCAGCACATTGAACGCCACTGAGGCAATACTTTGGGGCTCCATATGGCAGGAGTTGCGTACTGCGATGGTTGTACTATGTCATGTTTCATTTTTCGTTCCAGAGGTGATGGCAATATATATATATATATTATAATATGTTTGATATCTACGTAACTGGAAACATGTTCGGTCTGTTCGGTCCATAGTGCCATAGAGATATTTACGGTGTTTTTTGTACTTGGATGCTTGCAGTGACTCGCATCGTATTCTGCACGCGCATCGAAACGACTTGATTGATGCGAAGGGACTCTGCGACTTGACATTCATTCCATTTACCCTCTGGTAAACTAACATAATAGCTATTGAAAATGGCCATAGAAATAGTTGATTTACCCATTAAAAATGGTGATTTTCCATAGTTTTGTGTTAGTGTTTACCAAGGAGGTGTACCCCAAACAGACCCCTTATGGCGTCGCAAAGTGAACGCCATGTGACGATTTTTGTTTGTTGCGTCCGAGGTGGAGGAGATCATGAAAGAGATCGATGTGGATGGCTCTGGAGAAATTGAATTTGACGAGTTTCTTGGAGCACAACGGGGTTTTACATGGGCTAACCAGCCCCAGGATATCCCAGGATAAGCATTGGATACATTTCTGGGGTCAAAAACCACCAAAAAGCATCTAAAAAACCCATCACACTTGAGGGCGACTCGAAAAACCCATCATTGGGCGGCTAGCTTTGGGTTGGGATACCCATGAAGGGAACTACGAGTGACCACTGCAATAAACATGACCCTTGGTACGCGGATGAATCAGCAGATATGGCTGGATTCATGTCTGCGACTCACAGCAACTTGTTGAGTCTCTGCTAGTCTGTCACTGGCTTTGAAGTGTAATTGTACTACTTCAGTGCTTTCCTTTGAAATGATATGGTGTCACCAGTGTGTCACCAACAGACGAGTTTTTACACATTTATGATTTATGCGATTTATGCATGAATTTTGCAGCATGTGGGCTCGTTAGGTAGGACATGGTTCAAATTCAATGTAGTCTTGTAGTCTTAGATAGCGAATTTGCATCTTTTGTCGCGCCCGTGGCGCCCATCGCGGATCCGGCATGTGGATCGTACTGATCCTCCAACTGAGCGCGAACGCGAAGTGGGGATGGGCCACAGAGGTTCCAGGGCCGGATGGCTTTTCAGAAATCTTCAAGATGCCAGGCCGGATGATCGCAAAATGTCACAAAAGTCCCCGAAACTTCATCAAACTTCCCTGGAATCTGAGGAATCTTGACATGTTTGTTCAGAGTATGAAAATCGTGTGGCAAGAAGGGTGAATCATCAAGATCCTCAGGTTTGAACCTGCATATTTCTGAAGATTTTTCTGATCATTCTGCGCAATCTGATCCGCTCTTGATGTCTTTTGCCCAGTGGTTGAGACAACCAGTAGGTTCAGTGAATTATGACAAACGAACTGGTGACACCTGGTATGCTACACTAGCCCCTCTATTTTTTGTCAAAAAGGCATTTAATGTCATTTTTGCACCTATAGATGCACCATCACAGGGGATTTTTGACAACAATTTGTTCAGCCTGGAGGTTTCTCAAACTTTTCCAACACAAAATGGATTCCTACAGGTATTCCGTGTGTCCCCATCGCTCGTTGCCTATATCCTTTTTTGGCTTACCAATTCTAGACCATTGTTGTTGGCAACTCCCATGGTATCATTGCACACCCGAAAATAGCTTGCTCAAGAGTCTGAGGGATTATCACCATTTTTCACTCATTAAACTTGCCATGACTTGAGGGACCACCCAGTTTCGACAAACCCTCATATCACATATGATAGTGTTGGTGATATATTATCATATCCACTTAATTTGGATCGGTTTACACGATCCACATTCTTGATAAAATCCTCTTCAATACCAATGTCTCTGGATGATTCCTTGAGATACCCATATTGTTGGTTATATCCAATCCTATCCCATCACATTCCACCATAGGATGGTTGCTAATCCCTCATCATCCACATCCCCATTCACACCCGCCACAAAATGGCTGGTCGTATCCCACAAAAAATCCCCAAGATGGTTACAGTAGTTCTTCCCTGCTTTTCCAAGCAATTTTTGCTGGTTGAATTCAACTTGCTCCTGGTCAATCACCAATCTTTCAGGATGATTCCTTCACAGTCCATGATCCATTAACAATATACAAACTCTATGACTCTATGACTTAGGGGGGACAAATAGGTTAAGTAATCTCCATGAAATATCAAAGGGAATGCCCCTCATTACATACATATTCCATGATATCTCTATCATTGTTACCGGTTAAATAGGTCAAATCCGATTTTTTCCGGGTTAAATCGCACTTCTTTTGCTGCTGAACACCACAGTTTTTGCATCTTTTTTCTGGTGCAGTCTAAGTTTTTGTGGGCCCATCCCAGTAAATTTTCTGGAGTCCAAAGTTTTGGTGAAGATTCCCCCCTCCGGATGATTCTTGACATTTCTTGATGAATCCCTCAGGTGCTTCCTTCAAATTGGAACTCACCGGCCCAGACCTCAGCAGTCGCGACCGCGCCATTATCCGAGAGGCCGGGGGCGGCTGCCCAGGCCGCACAGACAGCGCAGAGAGCGGGGCAAGGCGCTTCTCGGTCTCGGTGGCGACCTATGTCTACCACTCGCAGGGCAGCTACCTGGAGTTTGTTGAGATATACATATAAATCAACATTCTTTGAGCATTTATTCCCCACCTGCCAGGTGAGGGTTGTTAGATTTTATGTCAGTTGCCTGCTCCTCTCCTCCTCTCCTCTCCTCCTCCTCCTGCTCAACCGCGACCCTCGACGCACAGTGTTCTCTGTCGGACCTCAACCACGACCATCCACGCCCAGTGTTCCCTGCCTGGACCTCAACCACGACCATCCCCGCCCAGTGTTCCCTGCCGGACCTCAACCACGACCATCCACGCCCAGTGTTCCCTGCCGGACCTCAACCGCGAGTATCCACGCCAAGTGTTCCCTGCCGGACCTCAACCACAAAGAATCTCCGAAGATATACCAGATAGAATGCCAGAAAGAATGTCAGAAGATATGGCAGACACATATTATGCCAGAAACTGTGTCACATAGGATGCCAGACCAGATAAAGTGCCAGAAGAGATGCCGGAAAGAATTTCAGAATAGATGCCAGATAGATTATCAGAAAGAATGCCAGATAGAATGCCAGAGAAAATGTCAGAATAGATGCCAGAAAGGATGCCAAATAGGATGTCAGAATAGATGCCAGAAGGGAATGTCAGAATAGAATGTCAGAAAGACTGCCAGAATAGAAAGTCAGAAAAAAAATGCCATATATACTTCCAGGTGAGATACCAGAAACTATGTGTCAGAAACTACGACATTATTATAATGTCACGGTGGGGATCGCTCGAAGTAAAGTATTTTTTTTACATCTTATATAATTGTTATAGAATAACATGTTTTTTCGTTCTCTCTCTCTCTCTCCCCATTTTTTTTGGTTCATTTTGGGGTGGTATGTGCAAATTGTGATCGTTGCAATGGACATTTTTTCGGGAATTTGGACCCCTTCTTGCGCTCCCAATCTGGAAAACACAATGAAACTGTTTAACTTGTTTCTTTGTATATTTTGCTGTGGATTCTTATCCGCCTTTTCCTTAATTAGTTTTTAGAAGATTTGTTTGGGCCTTGCTGCATTGCGCAAATCAAAGGCTATGAGCCCTCGCCCTTGGTGCATGGTGGGCCCATTGTCGCGGGAGCCAACACGCCTGGCTGGCTGAAGGCCAGTTGGTATCCCGTGCAGCTGAGGATGCCGGGCAGTTTTCGAATCTGCTACTGTGCGGCCAGTGGGGAATATGACTTTGCACAAGCCTCTGGGGTGGTCTTAGGACCCAACGATTCGCCTTGTGAATTGGACTACGCTGCTTACCAACTGGTGGGAGTGGCATATGCCATGGGAATCAAGCACAGCGAGGCAAGATAAAACGCTGAAACTTGAAACTCCTCTTGATATCTTCTTTAATATCTTCTCTCTCTCTCTCTCTCGCTATATATATTTATTCCGCCTGAAAACCTTGCGCGTAGATGTGCTTGGGTGTTCAGGGAGTGCATGCTGGACGTGTTTACGTTTGGAGGGACCTGGGGTCGGCCCTTGAGGTGCCAATTGGTGCTTGCTTGGTATCGCACGATGGTACCCTGCAGAGTAGCTGCGAAGTTCAGGTTCGAGCAGATCGAGGCGGACATTTTTGGATTTCTATCATGTTGTTGGCGCATCATGCAATTTGTATCAATTTGTACATTTCCGAAGCCATTGTTTGCATTTATTTGCTGCGACATATTCTACTGGGGCTCCCCTGGTGATACCTCGCTTCAGGCGGCCTTTCAGCTGAAGACATGGCCGAGTTGGTCTCCGGAAATCCCAGCGCCATCTGCGGTGAGGCCGCAAGTGGCACCACTCTGCTGCCACTGCAGGGAGATGCCTTCGCATGGAAATTCCAGGTGCCCATTGGAGCGGAGATGACGGAGAGCTATGAGCTAGAGACCACCGATGGCCTGCAAAGGGTCACTGCGCACAAAAAAACAGCGGGAAAACAGCCAAGAATTTTTGTTTCATCGTATTTTTTTTGTCCGGTATTCTTTCTACACTAGGGAAGACCGCGATGCAGAATTGAAGGTTCTGTTTGTTCTCGGTTTGCGTTTTGGGCTGAGGTTTTGAAAGTGTGCTACTGCGAGAAGCAGTCCATTGGTGGCAACCAATTCCAGATCTGCAGCCAAGCAGAATCTTGCAGACTGAGTTGAGACCGTTTTTGAGCACAGTGCCAATCATTGTGCTCTTTGATAATAGTGGGTCGTACATCATCATGCCCCAAACTCGGCAAATCTTAACTCAATGATATTCAGCCATATATTTTTTCGGGTCATCAAACGCCACTCCATTTGCTGAGGATTGGCAGAATGCCGGCAGCCTGTCCTTGGTGGGTTTCGAGGGTAGCCCCGCTGACGTGAGATGCTATCGTGGACAGCGCTGTCGTTTGGGTCGGTCAGCCTTTGGCATGAGTAAGGGAGATGCTGCAATTGCCGTGCCAGGTGCGAAAGAGATAGGAGGGGAATTGATGGGAATTGACATATCATAAAATACCATGGATTTGTCTGAAAATAGCTTGCCCCGACATCCGAACCCACAGTGGGAGGTAGATTCTCCAAGGAAATGGATGCCTCAAATCGCGAAGACCAGCAGCGAAAAACGACCAAACTGGGTGGTTTATCCAAAGTGCTCCATTGTTTGAGGAGGAAGGACAGGTCGGTTCATTGGAAGCTCTATGGATAACATCGGATGACCCAACTAGCAATAACTAGCATTCACTACCCCATAGAAACTGGATGAAGTAGGAGGCACATGGTCCTGCCCTGCTGTGGTCGCAGGTAATTCCAGCTGTGCTAATCTGGACTCTATCGACTCTATCGGTACACCTGCTCCCATGAGCATCCTCGGGGGCAGCACGGCAGTGGCCAACATCGATGTGGAGAACTACGAGGGAGATCTGGCCACCATCTGTTTCTGCTCCGCTGCGGTCTATGGCATTTTTGGATGTCAGACTCTGGGGCTGAAGATTCCATGCCTCCCAGTGGACAGCCCTTTCCTTTGTCCAGCAAATGGGTGTGGAGTGGATGTTCTTTCGATCTCTGAGTGCAAAGCCCACTTCCCGTGTAACATTATATATTTTGCTGCACATGACTCGCATGACTCATTACTGTAATTGTTTTGGGCACTTGAGGCATCACTATTTCAGCTTGAAATCCATGGATAACCCTTAGGAATGGCCAGTCGGGCCGGGTCTTCAACACCTTGATGGGCTACGTGCGATCCGGCGGCCTTGAGGGTGGCTTGCGCATGGATTGCGTTCCCACCTCCTTGACATGTCCTGAAACCCCCACCTACCTGCAAGGCCAGCCTGGTGGGATGGAGGGGAGTTCCTTCTGGGGGAAAGGTTGCAGGTTCGTTTTGTAAAAAGGATGCCATAGGAATTTTTAGGAAAGCCAACCAAGCCAACAGGCATTAGGTTGAGCTATTGCCTATTTGTGGACACAAGGCCGCCAGCGGGCCAGGCTCACATTTCAGGAGAGGTTGCAGACGAGGAATATGACATAGAGGATGAGGATGAGCATTGAAGTGATTCTAGGAATACCAGCCAGAGCCCCCGATCTCAACAACAGTGTAACAGCCATCACCAAGATCGTATTGTTTCTAGTATTGCCATGTACAGCCCCCCGTGAACCTTGATTATCCACTAGAGTATATAACCCCCAAAAAGATAAAATGAACATTTGCCAAATATATTTGCCACTCATTTTCTTGATAATTTTTGTATGATTTTACTTTTCTATCTTGTTGGGGGTTGCTACTAGTGGGGGATGCGCTAGCCAGGCGAGGATGCCATCGTGGCAAAGAGAGGAAAACTCTTCCTGGCAGAACTGAAGTACAGGCCCTGCGAGGTCGGGGGATTTTTCCATGCCTGACATGAGATGCTGTAGGGACTTTTGAGGGATTTTAAGGGATTATAATTTAATTACATACACACACACATATATATATATAATGGATGAGATAACCATCAACTGGGACTTGACTGTCAAGAATGGTCAAGAATGGGTGTTGATCCTATTAATGTGGCAAACCTCAAGCCATCAACCATCCCATTGTAGGCGGTAAAAGGCCGAGAGAATTTGGAGGTTTATTGTTGGGCTTACCGCGTTTTTGGCCAAGAGAGATAAGACAATCATGTTTCCCAGCTTTTCAAGGTTCCATTTGAGTCTTCAGAGATAGAATGAAGGTTGAGGTCCCAGTTGCTTTCTTCAACTTGCGGTGCGCCCGGCCCAGCCCGGCCTCCTTCAAAAGCCGCACGCTTGGTCGGTGGAATTGCGTTTGGCTCAAATCACAATGTTTCGCTTGTTCTTTGGATGTATGTTATAGATATTGGCTGGATAGACAGACAGACAGGCAGGCAGGCAGGCAGGCAGACAGACAGACAGACAGACAGACAGATATGATAGACAGATATGATAGACAGATATGATAGACAGATATGATAGACAGATATGATAGACAGATAGATATACACATTGGTCTTACAATTATTCTTTTATTAGCATTGTCTTATTTTTCGTATGTGCGCAATGTGACAAATGAACGAATCAGCTCCGTGGTCAGGACTTGACTTCTGCAGACGTGCAGCAGGCCACCCTTCTGCCGGGCGATGCGTCAGTGCGCGTGGAGATGCCTTGGCCCATGCTGTCGGGGCGCTATGTGACCCGGCGATCTGTCACTGGGGGGAAGAATGGCACCTATGATGAATGACAGTATGATGTTCCATGGGGGGACGATATGCCATCAAGTTATGTTTTTGATTGATTTTGTGTGCAGAATTAGCAACGGTCCCAAGGTTTTTCATAGGGTCAGGGTCGTGGGGGGCCTGTTGGCCGGGGGCAAGTGTCGAGTTCCGTTTGAGTAGGATTTAAGTTGAAATTTGTAGCTATGAATAATAGAATCTGGAAGGCACACACTTGTGGAGGAATTTACTGCCCTCAAGTTTTGTGTGTCTTGACCCTTTATCAACACATTGAGAATTTTAGACTTTACGTCCACTTCATAAGATATGTGATAATTGGACCCTCAGTAAAGCCAAACACCCCGGACCCGAACGAGTTGTACGTCTTGTATGCTGCACCTGTGAGTCTTACACTTGCTTAGCGGTCCATTGCTGGGGCCCAGAGAGCACTGCAACACACACACACACATAAAGATATATATGTATTTCAGCTTTGGCAATTGATTCAGCTCTTCCTTACTTTGGAACTTGTTGTCCTTTCACAAATTCCCCGGATGATGTCTTGAAAGAAGCCTTTATGAAAAGCTAGCCGAAAGCTGGTCAACATCATCAATATCGTTTGGCAAAGAGCACATCTTGTATCATTTGGTCATAGCCCCCAACTATTAACTATACTGGACAAAGCTAAAGCCAAGCTCCTTGGCGTCCTGGATGCGAGCTTGGATTTTGTTCCGTGTTTTCCATCGGCGGCTTCAAAACGAGGCATTTTTGGAAGAACCTAAGACATGGGTCTTTTACCCATGTTATTCCTTAGAGGTGTTCAGAGGATTTCTGACACTAGATTACTGATGATTACTCTTGATTACTGTAGGTATCAGTTTGGCTCTCTCGCTTCGCGAAAAATTTGGCTATGGCCCTGCACCGAGGCCATTTGCTTTTGTGAAGACGCCATCGGCTGCCCTCAGCCCAATCAAGTGAGTACGCTTCAACACATTGGGGAGCTGAGAGTCCTTTCTTTGCACGCACTTGGCACGTTTTCAAAGTGAAGCTTGAACTGGAGGCATGAATTGGGGACCTTGTAACAGAGACCTCAGATTTTCTTTTTGTGACAGCCATTGCACTGAGGTCCTTGGTGCAATAGATTCTGTGGGTCTCACGACGCACCCGGGCTTCGCCACCATACCATTGCAAGTGCGAGTTGTCGAGGAGGCCACTGGCATCAGGTGCTGTGCGTCCAATGCCACTGATACCATGGACTGTGTGGAAGCTAAGCAGAACAAAAAGTGTCGCCAAGTTGGGGAGACACGAAAAAGGGGGGAACGGCCGCTTTGATTCTTTTAAATGAGGACAGAACATGACAGAACCGTGGATTTGGGGCACCTCACTTTTCCATACAACCCTATCTTTCCTTAGGGTTGAGTTGTTTTAACCCTTCAGCCGCCAAATGGTGCGAGGATTTGAAGGCCTCAGCTACAAATGCTGCGGCACTTCTTTCGTATCCGGGTACTTTCCGCTTCCCCCTGGTGCTGCAAGAGCCGTTGACGAACTACGAGGAGAGAATGGCTGTGAACGTGTCCTGTGCTGCGATGGGCCAAACGGGGCCCTGTGCCCCAGAAGCGGTGACTTCGGGCCTGAGCGGCTTCCCTTGCAGACAGGTGCCACGGGAACGCAGATCCAAGAGTCTCACCTGCTATGTTGCCCCTTGAACCCACTTTACCTCAATCAAATTCCTACCTTCAAATCCTTCAATATTTGCTCACGACAGTCCATACATTGTCCTTACTTCAACTTCAACTTCTTATCTTTCTCCCAAAGTCAATGATATGAATTAATATGGATCTGGATTAATAATGATTAAATCATATTAATGCGGTATATGGTATACTGTATCTTGTATCATATTGTATCCCGGGGTAATACCACCACTTGCCGTAGGTGCATCCTCTGGCCCTCCATATGCAGCTGCCGCCCGTCTCTTGGCACCGTCCCTGGCGCCGTCCCGTGAACGGCGCCCTGGGGACCGAAGCTATGGCGGAGGCCGGCGGCTACGCCACGCAACTGAAGGCCGTGAAGTCGGAGACCATGACCAAGGGAATTTGCACCTTGGATGGTCTTTAGATGGTTTTTATATGTTTTTATCAAGGGGGGAATTTTCGTTTTTTTGTCTTTTTTTTCTCCCTCTTTCATTGTTAAAACATGTTTGATGGATTTTTTTTGAATGTAATTGGGATTGATCCATGGTGAGTGCTTGGGTTATTCGAAGGAAGTTTAGAAGTCAAACTTCCGACAATATGGACAGATGGAAAAGCAGAGGTGGGAAGAGTCAGAGAAGAGAGGAAGAGAGAAGATGAGAGAAGAGAAAGAGTCAGAAGAAACAAGATGCAGGTGCGGGAAAAGGTAGAAAAGTGGCGAAACAACACTGTGTTTTTTATTGTTTTTTTCAATGATTTGTGGCTCCGGAAGGTCGAAAAGTAGGCTCGCTAAAGCGGCGGGTGCGGAGCCATCTGGCTAGATGCGAGATGAAAAATTGCACGCCGTTGTGGTGCGAAGCACATTTGGAAGTCAAAATGTACAAAGCACTATTCTCAGAGCACTTTTGGAAGTTATGATGTTGAAAAAGTGCATCCCTTTGTGGCGCGAAGCACATTTCCAAGTCAAAATGTGCAAAGCCCCTGAGCTTCGGAGAAATTTTAAGAAATTGTGATGTCGAAAAAGTGCACGCCGTTGTGGCACGAAGCACATTTTGAAATTAAAAATGCGCAAAGCACACAAGGTTCGGAGCACTTTTGGAAGTTGAGATGTCGGAAAAGTGCATGCAGTTGTGCCGCGAAGCACATTTCCAAGTCAAAATTTTAAAAGCACCACATGCTCGGACCACTTTTGAAGGTTCAGATGTGGTTTTGTGTGACAGGGGCAAGGGCTTCTGCATCTGACCAAAAGTGAGCAAAACGTGAGGGTTGTGTAGTGTTTCCAAAAACGATGGCAGGCGTGGGACATTTGAAGAGGATCTGGAAAGATGCATTTCACGTGGCAGGCGTAGTACAAGAGACATGTTGATCAGAGATGTCAGAGGTCAGGGCGCTGATTTCCTGACAGGGGCTGCATTTTGGAGCATCAGATATTCAGGTTTGCTGGCAGGTGCAGCACTTCGCATGACCTGGCATCACTTTTTCATGGCAGGCGCAGTACTTTAGACAGATGGAGTGGAAACATCGCAAAACGCATTGGTACGAGCTCTGCGGTCAGACTTTTTTGAAGGAACTCTCGCAGAATTGCTTCGTTTTTGAAGTTCTCAACTTCGAAAATTGAAGAAGTCTCGCAGAATTGCTTCGTTTTTGATGTGTCAACTTCGAAAATTGTGGAGGTCTCGCAGAATAGACAAGTACAACTACAACGACCACTACAAATACAGGTGCAGCTGCAGCTACAACTACAACTACACTACATTACAGTACGCTAATTACACTACACTACACTGCACTGCTCTGCACTACACTACACTACGCTACACTTTGTTGCGCTACGCTACGCTCAGCCAGCTTCTTCAACGTGTTTGCGTTGCCCCAGTTTGTGCGACAAACAAACGCAAACACGTAGTTTCGGATGGATCCATTCACATCTCGAGTGAGCTTATGCTTGTTGCACAGCTCCTTGGGTGTACCATCTACCATCATTTACCTAGGGACCAAGAAAAAAAATAAATTTAATCAACCAACCCATATGGGAACAGGACATCTATGTGCGTAACATCATCAGCGTAACATGACCGTTAACATCCCACCCCACCCCACCCCAACCTCCACGAGCAGCGTAACATCATCAGCGTAACATGACCGTTAACATCCCACCCCACCCCACCCCAACCTCCACGAGCAGCGTAACATCATCAGCGTAAATGACCGTTAACATCCCACCCCACCCCAACCCATGTTTTCTAAAAACCAGCATATTCCACGGGGCCGTACCTTGGGCGTGAGCAGACACAACAACAACAACAACAACAACAACTACTACTACGACTACAACTACAACAACAACAGCAACAACAACTACTACTACTCCTCCTCCTACTGCTACTGCTACCGCTACTGCAACTGCAGCTACAACTGCAACTACAACTGCGACTACGACTGCAACTACGTTGCACAACGCGACGCTACACTAATTACAATTACACTACATTACACTTCACTACACTAGGAACACTACACTACACCACTACAACTGCGGCTACAACTACAACTGCAACGACACTACTTCACACTACGCTACACTAGATTACACTACACTACGGTACGCAGCACTAAAGTACACTACACTAGATTAAAAAACAACAATTACACACCACACCACAACTACAAATGCAACTACAGCTGCCACTACATTACACTACACTACGCTGCGCTACACTAATTACACCACACTACGCTACAACTACAACTACAGCTACACAATTTTACACTACACTACACTAGGCTACACTACACTATACCACACTGCAGTACACAGCACTACAGTACAGTACACTACGCTACACTAGGCTACACTACACTACGCTACACTACGCTATTTACGCCATACCACAACTACAACTGCAACTGCAACTGTGCTACACTAATTACACCACATTACAACTACAACTCCATTACACACACTACAACTACAACTGCAACTGCAATACACCACACTACACCACACTACAGCGCACTACAGCACATTACACCACACTACACCACACTACATCCAGCAGTTGTTGTGAGGTGACCACGGCAACCATTGCGACCACTCCAAAAAACCCAACTCCAGCCACCTATCGGTCTATCAGTGGATTCGCTCTGCCATCCGTGATCCACGACAACCAACCTCTCCTATAGGTTTCCTATTTTTGAAACTTCCGCCGCCGCCTTGTGCGGTGCTACTGGTACTCCGTATAAATGGGTATTTGGGGCGCAGGTCGACTGAGCAAGTGGACAATGAAAGTGGATATGTATGTGGCCATGATTCTTAGAGAATCATTGTGTTACCATCCATTTTTAACCCGAACCACACTGGTCAATACCACAGTATGACTTCACAATTGATTGACTTTGCGCCGGGTATTTGTTGCATTTTTTGTGGCCGGCTTCCGATATACAGTACCGTCTCTCACTTGGAGAATTAACACATGCAGCCGAAAACCAAGACAGATAGAAATGGATAAACCGTTATTTAGCCTTTGTTTTAGTCTCGTTGTTGTCTCATCATTTTCCTACGAAGGTAAGGATGATGATCTCTTACTCACTTCAAGAAATTCTTGTGGTTTATCAGCTGCTTTGAATGATACTGATAAAAAATTGACATGTTATGTTTTTGCTGGGTTGTCCGTTCTGGCGCTGATGGGGTGAAACCTGCGGACCACTACCAGGCAAGAAAGCAGCAGCAGAAAAGAATTTCAAAAGCTTGCCATGTCAAGCGACAGAGTGCCTTGCCGAGAGCTGGCATGCTGGTTTGAGCCAACTAATTAACTAATGCAAACACAAAAGGTGAGTCAGTCATCCATCATAGTTGCTGTTTATTCATTATATTAAATTTATATAAATTTATATTCATTGCACCTAGCCGCAGTTTTTCCTGTTTGCAATGGCCAGAGTACTTCCTTCCAGTCGTTCAATTTCCGGTTGAGGTGCATCGACCTGGACTCAGCCCGTGCCACGGTGCCAGGGCATTATGAGCTCTGCGTTTGTGAACCCGGCGCCGTGCCAATGTCACAGGAGTGTCAAGGATGGCACCACCTTGGGCATCTGGAAGTCTTTGGGCCCTTCCCCTTGAATCGCTGCTTGGCAAAACCCGCCACTTGTGGATGGAATCGGATTTGTTGGTTGGATTCGGGTGCGCCCCTGAATTCTTGACCTAGGAGAATGGGGGCGATTTTCCTCTTGAATCCTCTTGAACACCCACTTGAGTTGGGTTTCAGGTTGTTTTCTAGGGAAATGAGCATCGCCCATCCCACGAGGTACCTTGCAAGGAACCAGCAGCGAACTCATGCAGATTTCCCTGCAGGGCGTCAGCTTGGGGCACGAGGATAGCTTGGTCAGCGTGCCCTTGAATTCGGCTCCCACGAACACTCAGACTGTTTGTGTTGGCGAGGGCCGAGTGCTCCCAGCACAAAGCACCGTTCACAGTCCAGCGGATTGGACTCCTGCCAGGAAAGTGGTCCCCAAATTCCCCATAGGAAAAGCAAGCGCAGAGAAAATACGGCTAAATACGGATGATTAAAGCAGTAGGATGGGAGAGCCGTTTCCACCGGCATCTTTGTCAAGGTTTCGCCCCAAGGTTTTGCTAGAAGCACCGGGGTCTTTCACTGGTGACAGCATCTGAGGAGTTCTTCTTACCTACGATTTGATGTGGCCTTGCCCGAGGGAATACAAGCCTTATGTTGGCTTCCACCAGGCAGTGGGATGTTGCCCTACTACTTGGGCTTTGCTGAGATTTTTGGCGAAAGGACCGTGCCATTAGCGCATCAACTCGGTTTCCATCACAGTTTGCATTGGTTTTGTGGTCGCCTTTTGGTTTAAGCTCGGTACAACATACATTTTTTCTGATTTTTTCTTGACAAAATCTCCGAACAAACCAAACATATCCAGCCGTGGATTCGTGGATCTAACTCAGCCATGTCAGATTGCGGGGCCTGACATGGCCTGTGGCCCTGCGGCAAGGACCAACATCGATGGATGTCTGGTGACTCCCTGGCAGTTGCTACAGTCTTGCAGTGCCTCCTGTGGGGCTGGGAAGCTGAGAACTGAAGTTAGGGGCTACCGTTGTGTTTTGGAGAATTGCTGGCTTCCTTCCAATTCAACCTGAAGGGAGATGGTGCTTAGTTCCATGCGTAAAGGATGTAGTGTGCTCCTTTCCACAGGGAAATGGTGGATTGCGGTGGCTTCGCTACCAACAACTGGGATGTTGCGAGGGGGCGAGGGGATGACGGGATGCCAGGGCAGCAGTTGCAAGCCACTGTTGAGTGTCAAAAAGAATGTTCCTCTCGGCTTTAGCCATGCTGTTCAGCCACCCTATGGATCCCTATGGTATTTCTTTAAGGGTCATGGGATTCAGAGTGTATTCATATTCCGATTCCTTCTGACGAGAAAGGACTGTGGTCAATTTTTCTCCAGCCATTTTAAAGCTGCAAGACGGAACCCCGTGACCTGTCGAGGAAGGAGATCTGGTACCGGCGGGTACTGGGAGTTTTGGAACCCAACGCGGATTGCTCGGTGTTTCAAGAGGAGCGCTTCTGCATGAAGTCTCCCTGCTTGGATGCTTGGTCCTGATAGAAACTTCTTTTGGATTTGACCTTTTTCGTTGTTGCATCCTTCCTTTCGATGGCCAGATCTTCGCAATGGTTCTATCATCAATTGCGGATGGCAAAATCCTAGTCCTAGTTCTTTGGTGGGCAAGACCTCACTTCTTGTGGCTTATATCCGACCAACCCCCTACAAAGTGGGGTGAAACTTTCCGTGGCGCCTGCCTAGGCCACGGTGGAGAGTTGGGAGGTGAAACCCATGAAGCCTATGCAAGATGAACCCATGGAACTGCAGATCTTTGGGACGAACCTCAGCGACTGGGAGAATATTGAACAGAGTTTAAGACTTTTTAGGGTCAAATTTCCATCGAAGAACTGGTGTCCCTCACGGAGTTGGATTGCCCATGGGTTCCTTTAAAAATTGCTGGGATGTCCGATTTCATGGCAATTTTTCATGGAACTTGAGGTTTAAGCAATTGGCTTTCTGGGTTCCAAATCTTGACACAACCCATATTTTCAGGAATGTTTCAAGATGATTGAACCTTCCATGGCATTGATCTCAGAACCTTGAGTGCAGGCAATGACCTCCATGGAGTTCTAGTACGTGATGACGGTGAACAGCAGCCTTCCAGCCCCAAGCAAGGCTTGTGCCACTATGCGTCCCCTGTCGCCAGTATGGTGAAATGTGCGCCCACCACTGTGGACAGCCAAACATGTAGTTTTCCTCAAGCTCCATATGGTGGTGGCTACCAGGTGTGCATTTGCATAGCTGAAGGGCCAAAGTGTCAGGCTTTTTTGCCTGCCTTGGGCACCTTGCAAATTCAAGGCCTCCCAGAAATGGAGGAGGGCGGCATCAAATACGTGGCAGTCATTCTCACCGCCACCTTCCTGCTGTTGCTCTGCTTACCTCTTCTGTCTTCGCGTGTGAGGAAGAAACTTTGGCAGCTTTGGAAGAAACTCAGGCGAAGGATCTGTGGGGCAGAATCAAAGGTCATGGCCGTGCCAGGCATGGAACATGCATCCGAAGATGAAAAGGACGCGAAAGGTGAGAAGGATGACATGGAAGGAAATGTAGAACATGATCTGCCCCAAAAGCAGCAAAAGATGGACGAAAATGTGGAGATTGCGGATGATTATAGCACCGGCATCCAGGGAACTGCGCAGCCAGAAGAGGAGCCATCCCAGTGCAGCACTCCCAGGAAGGAGCCCGTTGATGCTACTGAGGCTCCACTGGGAGGGGTAGCTCCTGATGCACCACTGCAGCCGGAGATCCCAGAAGCAGAGGTGGAAGGCTGCAAGACACCAGAGGACTGGGCCATGTGGAGACATGGACAGAAAAATTGCCACCTGACTATAGCCATGACCAGACCTATTCTTGCGTTTATATATACGTATATATATATATATAAATATAAATATTTATGTATACATACATACATACATCCATGCATACATACATACATACACCCATACATTACAAACATTACAGACATTACATACATTACATACATTACATACATTACATACATTACATACATTACATACATTACATACATTACATACATTACATACATTGCATACATTACGTACATTACGTACATTACGTACATTACGTACATTATATACATACATTACATACATTACATACATGACATACATCACATACATCACATACATCACATACATCACATACATTACATACATTACATACAATACATACATTACATACATTAATACATACATACATACATGCATGCATGCATGCATACATACATAGATACATACATACATACATACATACATACATACAGACATACATACATGCATGCATACATACATACATACCTACATGCATACATACATACATACATACATACATACATACATACATACATACATACATTGCATACATTGCATACATTGCATACATTGCATACATTGCATACATACATACATACATACATACATACATACATACATACATACATACATACATACATACATACATACATACATACATACATACATACATACATACATACATACATTACATACTACATACATACATTACATACATTACATTACATTACATTACATACATTACATTACATTACATACATACACTACATACATTACATACATTACATACATTACATACATTACATACATTACATACATACATACATACATACATACATACATACATACATACATACATACATACATACATACATACATACATACATACATACATACATACCTATACATACATACATACATACATACATACATACATACATACATACATACATACATACACATACATACATACATACATACATACATACATACATACATACATACATACATACATACATACATACATACATACATACATACATTACATACATTACATTAATTACATTACATTAATTACATTAATTACATTAATTACATTACATACATTACATTAATCACATTGCATGCATGCATACATACATACATTCATACATACATACATACATACATTCATACATTGATACATTGATACATTCATACATTCATACATTCATACATTCACTTTTAATCTAATTTGAGGGGTGTGTGTAGGAGGGAAGCCGAGCCTGCGCGTGCAATCCACATTCATGATCATTCATAAAGCGTTTCCACTCTGCTGTGGAGTTGAAGAATCGGCCCAGGCCATATGACATATTTGACCACTACATTGGCAGTTCCCCAACGTTGCCACCCAGATTCCAACCCCATCTTTGGTGCAGGCCGACTGTCTTGGCTAGTACTGCCAAATCCCGTCATATATCATATCTATGTCTAAAAAATATCTAAAAAACTTTATATCTATATACATAGACATATCTATATATCATTATATATCTGTATGCATGCATCTATAGGTATGCATCTGAAGATCAATTCCCCAGCTTCTAACCAGTTCCATCCAGTGGGCTGATCGAGCAGGAGCTTTCGGCGGATCCTGACCGGGAGGCGGCCCCATCCACCGCACCCTCCGGGCCCTCCTCGGACTTCTCAGAGAAGTCACGCAAGGAACGGAAGCGAGAAAGGAAGGAGAGGGACCAACTTGGGGTCATCCCATTTAGGTCAGCCGCAGGTTTTTTGGAAACCTCTTCTCTATAGGTTTCCTTGTAGTGATCTTGGTGGGTAAATTGTGCCAAATCAATTGTTGGAAAAAATATATAGCTGTTGACGCACCCAAAGCTCACCCAGAGGATGGCTCCAGGAACCCTGAAGGAGGAACGTCGCAGGGCCCGGGAGGAGAAACGCCAGGAACGGCGCAAGGCGGAGGCCGCTCGGCAGCTTTGAAAGTTGTGGTGGGCGGGGGTGATGCGGAAATTCACATCTTTTGACTTGAAACCTCAGTGCCCCCTAGTGAACATAACTCTAAAATGCTATATATAAATGTTCCCCGACTTCCCTGTTTCTACTACACTTCACTTCGCCCATCTTCTGTCAAAACAGCAAGGACACTGGTTCCATAAGCCTCCAATAACCCTGGAGCCAGATATTGGAGTCACAACTGCCCGCAAATGCATTTCTGCACAGAAGTTGACATCATACCCCCATGTTTATCTATATATTTGAATCCAATTCTTGTTCATTAATGTATCCCTGTATTTCTTTAAAACATGTTGGTTGGTTAAATCCAACTTCTTTGTTGCTTCCCAAGCAGCTGCCCCCCTCAATAAATTGTGCATCCAACTCCAAACTGCCTTTTTTTGTGGGGAAAATGGCACAAAAACATTTTCCCAAACTCAAGATGTTCAATTCTTCGGGTATCTTCTGGGATCTTTGGGGCATTTGGGGCCCATGACCCAGCCATAACCCAGGAAACTGCCTCCCTGCTGCCTCCACGACCCTTGCCGCCGCCGCCACTGCGTGCGCCGCCGCGGAAGCTGCCGTCGCTGCCCGTCAGCCCCTCCTTCGACAAGGAGCTTCGAAGCCCTGCGAGTCCCGCAGCATTGGAGGCCCTGGCTGAGGCCACCAAGTTTCTTCAAGCCAACACGCAGAAAGATGGTGCCTTGGAAATATGAAAATTATGAAACACGATATGAAACAGATTCGCTGCAACTCTGGAACTCTGAAGTTGCTCCGTATCTGATTAGTAATGTGTTTACCCTAGAGTTCAAAGATATCAGACACGAAGAATACGTCAATGTTGTACGGTGCAGCAAGTTCTCTGCGTGCTGGCCTCTTTTTCAGTCTCTGAATAATCTGAATGTCCAGCAGTGCTGTATCCAGTAGTGATCCAATAATGTTTCTGAAGATGTTGATCCTTCATCCAAGAGCCGTACGGTTCAGTGTTCCATAGCTGTATGGTTAATTGTTCCATTGTGCAACGTTCGGCTTGGGGCGAACATGTTTCGAGCTGGACGAATTGGACATTCTTTTTGCACATGTTTTCTTGTTTAAATCGAGACAGCCTTCCGGCCGGATTCTTTTTTCCAGCCACTTCCATTATTATTTACTTTAGCTTTTTTCCTGGGTCTTTTTTTTGTAGACCTGACCCTGACTTCGTCTCGTGGAAGTCATAGTATGCATATGTTCTCCTCATGTTGATCGCCATTTCACCTTGCGGTGCTAGTTGTTGTGGGTTGCATTTCGTCCCTGACGTCAACAGTATGGGCACGGACCAAACTTCTCAACACTTTTTTTTTTCTCCAACTTAAAGAATGAGCAAATTTTTGTGCAGCTCTTGGTGCCAAAAAGACTTGACCCCAAGAGCTGCAGGTAAATTCACGGACTATGGCCTCAGCGTGAAGGCTCTTTCTGCTGCCCTTGGACGAAATGATGCCGAGCTGCTAGCAAAAGCATTGGTGGATGCAGAAAGAGCGGGCGTTGGAAGAGAGCCTTGGGAAAGAAATGGTGACAGACGAGTCTCTGATGTTAAACCTGGGTTAGGTGCCCTGTCAGATGGCGACTGTGCCATTCTTTTTGATGACTTCAATTGCCACAGCCTAGAGCTCTTCAGAAACTTTGATGTCATACTTTCAACCAGTCCAGCTTCAGGGACAACTTGAAACATAGATATTTCACGATATTTCCAAGTGTTATTTCTCTTTGGTAGTGTGTTCCAACTTATTTGCAAGTTTGCATCCCAATTTGAAATGATAATTTCCAGCAAATTCCAGCGATGGACTTGCTTTGCAGGGTGTGTTTGTGTTTTAGCAGGTTGAACATGTGAGAACGTTCAACGACCCCTAATAGTTCGGACAGGCAATTATATAAGCACATAGATACGTGTACTGTGTATGTATATATGTATATATTAATACACTATACTATACACATGAAAGACGGTATGTGATATATGTACATGTATGCATACATGCACACACACACACATTAATCCATATACACATGTACACGCACACACACACACATACTGTATATATATATATATATGACAAACAGATAAACATATCCCAGCCCATCCAAACCCTTTGCATTCAGGAACTCCTAGAGAAGGCTCGGCAACACCTCAAGGAGCTTCGAGGCCCAGCATGGTACAGCTAGGGTCAGATTCATAACAAGAAGAGACAACTTTAAAGGCTAGGGTTTGATAGATTAATCATAACCTAGCAACAGCTTGTATCATTGATATTGTTTTCCTTGCTTGTTTCCTTTTTTTGTGCTGAGTTTTTAGAGTTGTCCATCAGGTTGCTAATACAGATAGGTCCGGTCTAGAAGTCCGAAGCGGCGAGGCGATGTTCCACTGAAAGATGCTGCCCCGGTCCCGGGCGACGAGGGTCCAACAGATGTCGCCGAAAAAGCTGAAGCTACGGTTGGAGATGCTGAAAAGCAGGACCCAGTTGGACTGGAGGAATTTGAAAAATTGGTTGAAGCCAGAGCTCCAGAACCACCAGCTGACCTGGGAGCAGTAGATGCTGTTGGGACAACAGAGTCTGAGGCCAGGGTTGAGAACATCAGAGAAGATGATATCGGTGTCCTGAGGGAGGCTGAAGGAGGCAACATGGATGAAGTTCCAGAAGCTTTGCCTGAAGAAGCAACCTCCCAAGAGGAAGCCTTGCGTGATGAAGCAGAAACTGAGGAGAAAGATACTTTCAAGGTGGGTAGGAAAGTGCAAAGTCAGTAAAGAAATCACAGTGGCTGACATATATGACACACACACACACAGATAGATAGATGGATGGATAGGATAGGATAGGATAGGATAAGATAGGATAGGATAGGACAGGACAGGATAGATTAGATTAGATTAGATTGGATTATATATATACATATGTATACACATACATATAGATCCATTGAAGGCGTCAACCATTCTAGGTGGGTTAATGATTCCCGCCCAAATCCAGTCAGGTTGCACGGTTTTGGGAATCTAGACATGATCCTGGGTATTCAGCAATCTCTTCGGGATATGAGAGCATACCCAGAAACCACTGGTTTTGTACTGGCCAAATTCATTCTTGGGACCTACATGGGGGGTACTCGGGTACTCAATATCATGGGGATAGGATCACCAAGCTCCCTTGCTTGGTGCAGGTTGACGCCTCTACCTTGCAGTCTGAGATGCCAAAGCCGGAAGGCAATGGTCTCCATAACCAGCTGATGACAACCTGTTACAAAATGGATGGGTCAAAAGTGGAAACCATAATGAACCATACAATTTTTGCAATCAACGTGGTCAAACTGTCTGGCACTGACTGCATGGGTTGAGTATGGTTGATGCCAGGGTGCTGCTGCACTTTAGGAAGGACTCTTGGAGGGACTCAGCTTTTCGTATGAGCTTGCCGGCTAGGCAGAGAAGAGGACGTGCAAACAGAGGCGGATGCGGACGCCATCGATGTCGCCGAAAAAGCTGAAGCTACGGTTGGAGATGCTGAAAAGCAGAACCCAGTTGGACTGGAGGAATTTGAAAAATTGGTTGAAGCCAGAGCTCCAGAACCACCAGCTGACCTGGGAGCAGTAGATGCTGTTGGGACAACAAAGTCTGAGGCCAGGGTTGAGAACATCAGAGAAGATGATATCGGTGTCGTGAGGGAGGCTGAAGGAGGCAAGATGGATGAAGTTCCAGAAGCTTTGCCTGAGGAAGCACCCACGGCAGAGGAAGAAGGTGAAAGCAAGACTAGTGAGGCAGCTGCTGTGGATGAACCTGATTCCAAGGCTGGTGGATAGCCTGCGAGCTGGCTGCTGTCATGACATGTACACTCATTGCCCCACCTAACCAATGAGTCCATTGGAACCAGCCAGGAAGTCAACACCCAAGATTTCCATACTACAGGAACAGTTTAGCACATTTTACCATCTTATTCCCAAAGGCCAGGAGGGTGACCACTTCTTTGGTTTGCATAAGCCCCAGACCAGGATCATTCGAATCAAACCTCAGCGGCGCCTCAGATCGAGTTTCCCTTCTCACCACTGGGAGGCGGCCGATGAATTGATATCAATTGTATGGTAGATGTCTCGATGCTCAGGGACCATGGGACAGAATGGGACAATGCTATGAAAACCACCCTGAGTTTCGGTCACTTCTCTGAACCAGCTTGGAATCCCACTTCAAGAAAATCCTACAAGAAACATCAATGGGCTTTGGCAAATAAATTCTTGGACACGTGGACTCGCCATCTTTAGTGAGCCCAAGTTGGGCGATGCAATTTAAATCCCGCAACTGAGATTCTGGTTTTTGTTAAGATGGTGGCAACTTTCACATCAGCCAGGTGCGTCATGCAGCTTGGAATGGCAGTCCATCAGCAGAGAGGAGCCCATCCTCGGCAAAACTGGAGATCTTCGTTTCGAAGTCTCCCCTGTCCACCGACAGGAGCAGTGTGTGGAATGGCAAATGGCCGGCAACGTCACTGTGGCTGCGGGACTGGAGAGGCAGCCGATGGGAATCTCTGGTGCTGATGAGTTGATCCTATCCCTGACCCAAAACCAGGAGCCACAGGAGCCACAGGAGCCACAGGAGCCCCGGGAGCCGCAGCCAGATGGGGACCTGGTCTCCAGGACAGGCGCCGATGAATCCACCCGGCGTGAACGCGGCCGCTCCCCAGCGATCAGCGCCGAAGCAGACGCTTCGACACCTGCCTTGTCTCAGAGGCAGCCGGAGAAAGAAGCTTCGAGCAGCCCTGGGACGGATGAATTTATGTTTGCCTTGGCGCAAAGACTGGAACGTGTTGAGCCACCTGGCACCGCAGATGGCGCCCCTTCATTGTCGCACAGGCAGCTGGGAAGCAGTGTTTCCACTGATGGTTCAGGCCGTCCAGGCAGCTCCCTGTCGCAAAGGCAGGAACGCATGGATCGGCAGACCTCTGGTGGTGTGGTAGGAGCAGATGATTTCACATTTTCCTTGGCTCATCGGCAGGAACGTATGGATCGACACACTTCCCCTGGCATGTCTGAAGCAGATGATTTGATGTTTTCTTTGGCACACCGGAACGAGCGAGCCGATCGGCAACCCATGAGTGGAGCGCAGAGTTCCAGTGGTATCATGATGGATCGGCCAGCTGCTGGTGTCATGGGTGCAGGCATTCCCAAGGAGAAGAGGAAAAGCACACCAATTCGGCCGTCGCTGACGGGATCCACGCTGATCGATAGTGGCACACTGATGATGTGGAAGTCACTCGTCTGCATCAAACGGTACCAGCCGGCTCTTCGATTTTCATTTTCTTGAGCTGACACCACTCACAAACAACAAACAAGTCCAAAAAAGTGACCACGACCTCATTCGCAAACCTGCATATACATGTACGTATGTATACATACATAGATATATAATGATATATATATATATTATACACAATACACACACACATGTATATATATACATACATATATATATATATATACATATATATATATATACATACACATGCACACACACATATATATATGTATATATGTATACACATGTTTATAATATTTATAATATACGTACATTACATATACACTGCAGGAACATCTCCCGCATCTCATTGCTGGCATCACGAGGTCCGGCGAGGCATCCGCCGAGGCCAAAGCCAAAGCCCCGCCGCCGCCGCCGCCGCGTCCGGCGGCCGCGGGTCGCGCCCGACCTCGGCCGTGGGCGGCGCCGCCCGCGCCGGGTCGCAACGGGCCGCGTCAAAGCGATCCTCCTGAGATCCGACATGGGTAGCCAAGGGGCCATGAAAGCCAAGAGTAAGATGTAAGGAGATATTGATGGATGATAGATTCTATAGATATTTAAGGATGGTATGATATATTATGATATGAGATTTGCCGATTTGCCCATTTGTAGATACTTAATGATGCTGAAAATGGGTTTTACACTGGAGCGAACAACCCTTTCCTGACCAGCCAACGGCTAACACCCACGTCGAAGCAAAGCAGCCAGCTGCACACGCATGACGCACACAGCATGATGTAGAATTTATATTGTGCCTATATAGTGCCCCCCCGCAAAAAGATAGAAAAGTGTTTCCAGGATGGTATAGATATGTATAGATTATAGATGATGTTTTCTCCATCATTTCCAGGTTTACACCTTTTCGATCTTTTTGGGGTCGCTATATAGTATGAGAAACTGACAAGATGATCGGTTGATGGTCGGCAATTGGTTGGGCATGGAGCTCCCATTCATCAAGAACCACAAGGAATCCTACGACGAGGACACTGTCCTCCAGCCCTTTAGCCAAGAATTGGGACATCACGATTATTGTCATGCTCATGTTGAGCTTCTGTGCTTTGAAGAGTATTTGGGGGATTGCAGCGCGTGTGTCCCAATTCATGCCATTTTGTTCCTGTATGATTCGGATGGGTGGGATGATGTAGGTGTGGTCGTGTGCAGCCCAGATGTAAAGCACAATGCAGATGATGACCTTGTGGCTTCGCCAGAGCGTCCAGCACTTGCTGGGTTTGAACCATGGGTTGTTTACACATCTCCTGGTGCCCTGCAGCCTGAACAAACATTTGCAAGTGAAAGGCATTCCCCGCAGATCTGACATTTTCCTGGGGGCCAAGCTTCCAAAATGGACGTAATGAAGGAACCTACTGAATATGTAGACTTTTCAGTGGGGAATCATCACCATGGTGCATGAAGGATGATGTAGATGCCCCGAGAAGAGAAGAGGGCTGAAATCCAAGCAATCAACAGGCGCTTCCTCAGAGCTTGCTCGAATCCACCCAGCAGGTGCGAAGGTTTGCTTCTGGACAATGTAGAGTCACGTCAAGTCATACTTTTCAAGGTCAGTCGCACAGAGATCTTGACACATGCTGAGATGTCCAAGTCCTTTGCCCCGCTCACATACCAAAAAAACAACAGAACAACACCTAGAACAGACCAAAGGAAAACCAACAAAAGGTAAAGGTGCTCCCCAAGAGGTAGACTTTATTTGTCTTTCTATACCCATGTTTGATACTGGACAATCTGGACATGAACAGCTTCGGCTCCGTCGTGGTGAACGATCTGCGTGCCCGCGAAGCGGGGGTGCCGACGCAGGACAAACCCGGGGGTTGTGGTTCTGGGGTAAACGGCCTGTTAACACATCAGCTTTTGCCGTTGCACAGGAGGCCCAAACTGAACTTAACTCACAGCCTGACTTTTGCGGAGCGAATAAGTCCAAGTTGAAATCAAGACATTCTAGTTGCAGGGGGGCACAGTAGCCGGAAAGTCCTGACCGTGGGGTATTCTGTATGTCCTGTGCGCTTTGAGGTTTGTCCAGATGATGAGGAAGAGCTGAGACGAGACCTCGAGCATAGCTCGAGCTTTCCGCTACCCCCAATGATTTTGCTTTGCATTTTCCCGGCCGGTCACGGCGACCCGGCGAAAAGGGTCTCCGGGGCCTGGCCTAGTTAGAAGGGAGCTGGGCCTCCCAGCAAGCAAAAGCACATCGTGCCAAATTTGCCCCCAGGGGTAAATTACTTTGACCTACCAAACGAAAACTGTAGGCTCTCTGCTGTTCACTTAAGATCTGCTGCTGATTTGCTGATTTGGAGACTGAATGAAGGCCCTGCTCCTGATCTGGAGAAATTTCTCAGTGGATCCGTGAGCCAGCAAAAGCGTAGGCCCCTGGTCAGGTCGCCCTTGTGCTCTTAAACTCTCACCTCACAGAATTCTGTAATTTATGGTGCCGATTGCAACAAACTACGGCCTTTACATGCCTTTACCATGAAACCCAGAGGAGGTTCCTGCCTATTTCTCCTAAACCAGATACATCCACAAACCAACTCTAGGATCCATTGCGAAGCCCACCCGCCCAACCAATCCCCACAAGTCTAATTAATAGGAATAGAAATAGTGATTGAATAGTGACTTGGGGAAGGAATTTCTACTGGTTGACCTGCAATCTGATCAGGGGGGTTCCCCATTGGATTCCATCTGAGCGCAGCGCAGCGGCCCCCTTGCAGAGGGTGAGTTGCACAGTTTTCCGAACAGACAGAGGGTCGCAGCAATTGTCAGCCTCGCTTCCTGTCAAAAGTAGTTATCCAATGTTATACTGTTATACAGTTATACATAGTTCTCCTATATTCTGCGGGCAACCCGGAATATGCAGAGAAACTCCGGAGAAGTTGTCATCAAACTTTGTCGCTGAATGTGACCCACTGCTTGTGGCGCATAAAAAACAGCTCATTGCAGATATTTGCAGATTGCGTCTTGTCTCACAGGTGGCGGCTTAATCCTTTCAGAGGCTTGCCCAAATTTGTAACTTCCAAGATCTTCCAAGTGCTCAGATCTGCCGGAACAGGAAAGGCAAGCCGCCGAGCCGACAAATTGTCCCGGCCGGGCCTCCGGCTCAGCAACGCTTTTGCGAACGGATGACCATTCAGCTGCAGGGTTGTTGGGTATTTCCAGGTCTTGTTCTTGTCATAACATGTCATAACATGTCATAACATGTCATAACATATATATATATATATACACATACATACACACACATATATATATCATATAATTCAAAATGTAGATATACATTGACATATGCAAAAATATGAATGTGAATATTGGTAATGATGAATATTGATATAGGATATATAGAATAAACATGAGCATAATAGATATGAATATGTCAAAAACGAGTATAATATCAATGCAAACACATATTCTAGCACAATCATGATTGTGAATCTCAATCAACATAAATAGATACTACTATACAAATGAGAACACACACACACACACGCATATATATATATTTTCTATATACATACATATATGATTATGTATGTATTTATTAAAATAATCGTCGAGCAATCAATGAGCACTCGCCCATCCCCCAATCCACCCATCCAAGGGTTCCTGACTCTGATTCCACATGAGTTGAATGGGCCACTCAGACATGGCAAAAGCCCTGGCAAAACCTCTTGATTTTTCCCTTGGATCAATTGATTGGATTGGCTTGTTGCTGGTGATAGCCACCATTTTCCCATGATAAGCCCCCAAATACCCTCTGGTAAACTAACATAGCTATGGAAAATCACTATTTTTAATGGGTAAATCCACTATAAATGGCCATTTTCAATAGCTATGTTAGTTTACCAGAGGGTAATCAAAATATCTCCCATGGTGTCCCAGCCATTGAGTCATAAGTTTCCATCCATCCTCTGCAGCTTTGGGCTGATTTTACGGGCGGATACAGCCATGGCTGCGATGGGAAGTAACTCGGACGCCACGGTGATAGTGATAGCCCTCTGGTGTTTTTTCAATGAAACCATGGCTTTAGATCCCAACTTTCAGTGGATATGTGTTAGGATAATCATCGAAGTCAACTTGAAGTGATTCTCCAGCACCCCAGTTTTTTTTTAATCGCCAGAGGGGTAGTGGTGATGGTTTTTTGAGAAGTCTGCTCGGGAGAGGATTAAATACATGGCATCTAGCCTCTGATAAGCTAACATAGTTAGCTATGGGAAACAAGCGTTTTTAATAGGTGAGTCATCGATGAATAATCATTTGCATTCACACATTGACTTTGAGCGGTTGATCCAGTGATAATAAAAACAGAGGTTAAACTGGGGAATCATCCCGCTTTTTGTCACTGAGAAACGCAGAGGCGATTGGAACCCACTTAGGACGCTTTGCTTCATCTGCAGGTGTTCCGGAGTATGGTGGTGAGAGTCAGAGTCCAATTCATCCAGTGAGAATTCCAAAGACTTCCGACTTCGTTCCAGGACTTGGTTGAAGTTTTACTGGATATCTTGCATGAACCCCCCTAAAATCGACAGTCCATGAATGCCCAAAAACATTCAAACGTCAGGGTTCCTCCGCGGTCTTCCGGGCATTTTTTTTTGCTTCGCATCATGACCCGAAAAATGCCCAAGGTGGCAGCGCTGTGGCTCCAGTGCTGGACCCAGCTGAATGATTTCGATCAAATATGGCAATGGAAAAGCATCCCCATTTCCCCATTGATATTTGGTTTCCCATAAATAAGCCCTCCATTTAAAAAGGATTTCCCATTGCCATGTTTGATTACCGGAATTTGATTTGTGAACATTCATGATCTATCTGATGTCTGATGGTGGGGGGGCCAAGGAGCTATGGGTATCCATATTCCCTATCAAATTGGGGTGCCAAGGAGCTACGAATTGAGTTTTCCAACCAGATAATAGTGATTCAATGTTGTTCATTTTTCTACAAAAAATCATTGCTGGAAATATTCATCTATATTTTTCATCCTTTTTTCTAACCCATGGTTAACTTGATTACATAAAATCCATCCCTCCTTGCGTGCGAAAAGACCAATGAGGTGGGCATCTTGCCGGTGAGGCGGAGCCACCTGAGCCCAGGCTGGGATCAACCCAGTGATGGAATCAGCCCGGGCTGGTGGCCATCTGGTGACCATCTGTGATCAATCTTATTCATAATCTATCCAGTGGTTAGGAGGGAGCTGAGGAGCTATTGGTATCCATATTCCCTGTTAAAATGGGGAGCCAAGGAGCTACGAATTGAGTTTTCCAACCACATGATAGTAATATAATCTGGTTGGTGGTTTGGAACATGACTTTTATTTTTCATATATTGGGAATGTCATCATCCCAACTGACTTTCATATTTTTCAAGATGGTTAAAACCACCAACCGGTCAGTAATGGTTCACGTTTCTCACCATGTTTTTCCACAACAATGGGTGGATGAATGATGAATGGTGATAAAATCAGCTTTCGGGATGCCTTGGGCGGGGCCTCAAGTCTTCGAATGAACACTTGGATGTGCGTGCATGCAGCTGACTGGGTAAGAACCACGTGAATTTTGATGCAGGCCTATATGACATTATATGGGACACACGCTCCAGTTTCAGCTTTTTTGTTTTTTTTTTTTGCACCCCAGGGACCCTGAAGCCGTTTGGCCCGGCCCGTCCGTCTGGGCGGGGCGTCCCGGCCGCGGCGACAATGAAGTGGCTGGTGTTGCCGCTCGGATGGGCGGATGGGCCGATGGGGTGCGGTGCAGCCGTCAGCCCAACTATCCTATAGTTAGTTCATGTTAAAGTTTGGGAAGCAGTTCATAGCTCATACATGACTCACAATTACCGGAGTGCATCCCAGATATTACCTTCCAGTAAACAAGTATAGCTATGGAAAATAGTCCGTTTATAGTTGATTACCTATTGACTGGTGTATGCAGAGGTATCACTGTAGAAGTGATCCTGGTATACCCGTGAGACGCGAAGGTGTTGGAGAAACAAGTTGATTACCCATTCGGATGGTGATTTTTCCATATAGCTACATCAGGTAACCCAGAGGTTCTAGTTATAGTATGTTATAGTTATTAAGTGCTCCGTCATTCCCATATAGTTATTCCGATTGAATAGCGATACATCCCATTAATTAAACCCCATTTAATCCATATCTGGTTGGTGGTTTGGAACATGACTTGATTATTTTTCCCATCATCTTGGGAATGTCATCATCCCAACTGTTACTCACTCCATGATTTTTCAGAGGGGTAGGTCAACCACCAACCAGATATACAGCTGGAATACAGCTGGCTTCATCCCCCTAGGTCCTTGCTGGCTGTCACCGGCTCCCTGAAACACCGTTCGACGCGCCATGGGATCCATGGGATCGTGGAGATGCTGAAAGGCCATTGGAATGTGAAAACTCCAAACTGGTCACTGTAAAAAGAGTACACTTTCTATCCAGAAATCGAGCTTCTCTCGATCTCTCGATCTCTTTCTCTTCTTGTTTTCCACACGGCCACACACACATTTTTCCACACACACACATGCACATATATCTATAATATATGCGTGTTCATGTGCACTGTATGACTTTGAGTTGATCCTGTTTTCAAGAGCCCTGGGAGATGTTCTCACCGCCCCCTCTAGGCATGGCTCAACAGTCAGAGGCTGACGGGAAGGCAGAAACTGAAACCTTTGACAAGTTCCAGTGTGACTCTACGAATCTTGGGGCACTTCAGTGACCCCTCAGTAGTTGCAGCCACTGCTCGGCCACCACGGCCACCACGTGTCCCCTTTTTTTTGAAAGACCTCAAAGGATCACCCTAATTATATAATTGAGGTCTTTCAAAATAAAAAGGGTCACTTTTTCATATAGCAAAAAGGCCAAAGAGGCATACCCTGGGCCAGAGAGCAGGCTTGGCTCCATCCAGGGATAGGGGTCTAGTGGTCTTGAACAAAATCATCAGAGGCACCATTTTATGCAGATGATTTATTCTTGGTAGACTTGGGGTATTTTTGGGCATTTTTTTGTGTCTTTGATGCCTGCCAACCTCCGCACAACTCCCCAAAGGAAAACAATTTCCGAGAAGGGCAAAGCGATTTCGGAGCTGAAGGAACTCATGGCTTCCACCGAGAATCGCATGGAGAAGCTGACGGTGCCTGCAGATGGGGCGTACTGAGTAGGTTGTTTGCTTGTTTTCATATATATATATATATTTGGCTTCACTAGATCAAGAATTGTCTTCTTGCGTAATTCGATGGGTACAAGGAACACACAAATACAAACAATGGTTTTGCAGATAGATTATGGATGATGATGGATGATGACGGATGATGACGATGATGATGACGATGATGATGATGATGATTATTATTATCATCATTATTATTATTATTTATTACTATTATCATCATTGTTATTGTTATCATTATCATCAGTATTATTGTCCTTATTTTTGCAGATTGTGGGAATGCCATTGGGACTTGGTGGCCTGTCGTGGAGGCGTTGACTTCGGAGCTGAGCTCCAAGAAGAGTCAGCTGACTGAAGACCTGGAGGAGAAGAAGGGCATTGAGGCGGGGGATGTAGGCAGCTTGTGGGGTTGGAATGGTTGGATTAATATAGAAAGGTAGGTTGATAGTCATATCATGTGGCAAACCTGCCATCAACAACTACCATTTAAGGATTTTCAAGGGATTTTGGGAAAAAAACAATGACATGGTGATGGAATGGGGATGGTTTATGGCAGGTTTACCACATCATGACTGTAGGTGTAGATATGGATATATATATATATATAGATGGATGGATAGATGTAGGTATATGTAGGTGGATGATGATATACATTTGTTGGAATTGGGTTCTTTTAGTGCTCGGAAGATTCGGCAGAAAGTGGATGCATTGTCGGTGGAACAAGGGTCTACACAAACGCTTTGGCATGGATGATTGATGAGGATTTCGATGTGTCAACCAGGGATTTTGGGCACGGCTCACGGGATGTTCAAGGACTATGTATGGGTTGGGGTTGTGTCTTGGGCTGTGCCTGACAATCAATACTGGAGCACATTGCTTCGTGTGGGGTGGCACGGAAACCCTGATGACAGATGCTTAGGCATATCAAACTCGGATGAATAAACCCCAGGTAATCGATTCAGGAGGTCAACCCCCAAAAAGTGATCATCTGCTTTTTTGCCAACAGGTTGCCCGCTTCTCTTGAATCAACCAGAGGCAAAAACAATTCCTATCCCCTAATGTTAAATACTTGTACTCCCCCCAAACATGGTTGAGTATTGCATCTATTCTTATTGGGCCCAATCCAGGGTGGGTAATAAACACCAGGGGGACCAATCCAGGGGGGTGGCCGGACCAGGCCGAATCCATTGCGGCCCGCGAGAACGAAGAGAAGACCTTCAAAAAGCGGCTTGGGCGCGGATGGGCCACCAGAATGATAGCAAGTTTTTCGAATTGGGGATCTATCCGGACTAAGTCTTGGTGAGGTCTTGGGTAGTTTTGAACGTTGATGGGAATGAGGCTCTATTCCCTCTAAATTTTAGAGCTTTTTGGGGTCCTTCAGATTAGCCATGATTTTTCCTCGCAAATCTGGTCTAGATGATACTCCTGGCACCCATGATAGGCCCCAGGCCTCCATGGGGGCCCTACAATCCCAATCAACTTTGATTTTGGCAACTAGAACTCCATCCATGCCAATTTTAGCTGGCTTACATCGCTGTTGCATAGACATTTCTTGATAGTTAGATCATGTGACATCACTTCGAAAAGGGGTCACATTTAGAAACCCACCATTTCCAAGGGTCAATATCACGAAAGCCAGCCGCTAGGCTAGGCGAAGTTCTATATGCGAACAAAGTGAGTTAAGGGGGTCTGGGGGCAGAGCGCCCGAAATCGGATAAAAATGAGGAAAATAGGTGGTAAAAAAGGTGGACGCAGGTAAACTTTTTTAGGGTTATGTACCAGGTGGCAATTGGGTGACGTTGGGGTATCGATTCCCCCCTGGTCCGCCCTCCGAGGTGGATCTGGGCAGATTGCAATGGAGGGGAAAATGATGAGACAAATAATAGAAAAAATGAGGGAATATGACATAAAACAATGGGAAAAAAATGGGAAAGGAGGGGAAAATGATGAGAAAAACAATGGAAAAAAAGGAGGGACTTTGACATAAAACAATGGAAAAAAATGGGAAAGCAATGGAAAATTTGAGTAGAACGCTTGGAAAATTGATTAAAACGCGAGGAGAAACGGTGGAAAGAATAGGGAGATGGTAAAATGGCTCCGATGTGGGACCATTATCGCGTAAAGCACGCGTGAAACAATGGAAAAGCAATGGAAAAATTGCAGTTTCGATGTGTGACCACTATGGAGTAGAAGCACAGAAAAAAAAACCATGGAGGAAACGAGCAAAACCGTTTATACGGTGCAACTGTAGGGATTGTGGAAGGTGCATTTGGGCAAGCGTTAGACACACTGGAGAAATCGAGTAACACCATGGCAAAACACTGGAAAAATTGATGAAATGGAAGGATAAATTGATCGCACAAAAACGCGAGGAAGAACGGTGGAAAGAATAGGGAGAGGGTAAAATGATGCCAAGTAAAATTGAGGCTCCGATGTGGGACCATTATCGCGTAAAGCACGCGTGAAACAATGGAAAAGCAATGGAAAAATTGCAGTTTTGATGTGTGACCACTATGGAGTAGAAGCACGGAAAGAAAACCATGGAAGAAACGAGCAAAACCGTTTATACGGTGCAACTGTAGGGATTGTGGAAGGTGCACTTGGGTAAGCGTTAGACACACTGGGGTAACATAAGGGTAATGATGGAGAAATCGAGTAACACCATGGCAAAACACTGGAAAATTGATGAAATGGAAGAATAGATTGATAGCATATAAAACAATGGGAAAAGAATGGAAAATTTGAGTAGAACGCTTGGAAAATGATTCCAAGTAAAATAAAAGTAAAAGGATGGAAATTGATGGGGTGGAAAAACAATGGAAAAATTGAGGCTCCGATGTGGGACCATTATCGCGTAAAGCACGCGTGAAACAATGGAAAAGCAATGGAAAAAATGCGGTTTCGATGTGTGACCACTATGGAGTAGAAGCACGGAAATAAAACCATGGAAGAAACGCGCAAAACCGTTTATACGGTGCAACGGTAGGGATTGTGGGAGGTGCATTTGTGTAAGCGTTAGACACACTGAGATAATAGAAGGGTAATGATGGAGAAATCGAGTAACACCATGGCAAAACACTGGAAACATTGATGAAATGGAAGGATAAATTGATAGCCTAGCGTAAACTATGGGACGATTGAGTAAAACTGAAGGAAAAACTGTGAAAAAAACACTGGGGAGACTGGAATGGAGGGGAAAATGATGTCGAGTAAAACTATGGAAAAGCAATGGAAAAAAATGTGGCTTCGATGTGAGACCATTAGCGATGGAAAAGCAATGGAAAAATCGAGGGACTATGATGAAGAAGTGGAGAAAAACAATGGAAAACATATTGGAAAAATTGCGGCTCTGATGTGGGACCAAAATGATGCCAAGTAAAATAAGAGTAAAATGACGGAAATTGATGGGATGGAAACACAATGGAAAAATTGAGGCTCCGATGTGGGACCATTATATGTGCAAGAAGAGTTTCTGGGTGAAGAGTCTCTAGGTGAAAAGTTTATATGGGTGAAAAGTATGTGCAAGAAGAGTTTCTGGGTGAAGAGTCTCTGGGTGAAAAGTCTGTGCAAGAAGAGTTTCTGGGTGAAGAGTCTCTGGGTGAAAAGATGTGAACAGTATATTATTGGTGAAAAGTATGTGCAAGAAGAGTTTCTGGGTGAAGAGTCTCTGGGTGAAAAGTATATGGGTGAAAAGTAGGTGCAAGAAGAGTCTCTGGGTGAAAGTATATGGGTGAAAAATATGTGCAAGAAAAGTTTCTAGGTGAAGAGTCTCCGGGTGAAAAGTATATTGGTGAAAAGTATGTGCAAGAAGAGTTTCTGGGTGAAGAGTCTCTGGGTGAAAAGTATATGGGTGAAACGTATGTGCAAGAAGAGTCTCTGGGTGAAAAGTATATGGGTGAAAAGTATGTGCAAGAAGAGTTTCTAGGTGAAGAGTCTCTGTGTGAAAAGTATATGGGTAAAAAGTATATGGGTGAAAAGTATGTGCACGAAGAGTTTCTGGGTGAAAAGTATATGGGCGAAAAGCATGTGCAAGAAGAGTTTCTGGGTGAAGAGTTCTGGGTAAAAAGTATATGGGCGAAAAGTATGTGCAAGAAGAGTTTCTGGGTGAAGAGTCTCTGGGTGAAAAGTATATGGGTGAAAAGTATGTGCAAGAAGAGTCTCTGGGTGAAAGTATATGGGTGAAAAATATGTGCGAGAAAAGTTTCTAGGTGAAGAGTCTCTGGGTGAAAAGTATATTGGTGAAAAGTATGTGCAAGAAGAGTTTCTGGGTGAAGAGTCTCTGGGTGAAAAGTATGTGCAAGAAGAGTTTCTGGGTGAAGAGTTCTGGGTAAAAAGTATATGGGTGAAAAGTATGTGCAAGAAGAGTCTCTGGGTGAAAAGTATATGGGTGAAAAGTATGTGCAAGAAGAGTTTCTAGGTGAAGAGTCTCTGGGTGAAAAGTATATGGGTGAAAAGTATGTGCAAGAAGAGTTTCTAGCTGAAGAGTCTCTGGGTGAAAAGTATGTGGGTGAAAAGTATGTGCAAGAAGAGTTTCTGAAAGTATATGGGTGAAAAGTATGTGCAAGAAGAGTTTCTGGGTGAAGAGTTCTGGTGAAAAGTATATTGGTGAAAAGTATGTGCAAGAAGAGTTTCTGGGTGAAGAGTCTCTGGGTGAAAAGTATATGGGTGAAAAGTATGTGCAAGAAGGGTTTCTGGGTGCAGAGTCTCTGGGGGAAAAGTATATGGGTGAAAAGTATGTGCAAGAAGAGTTTCTGGGTGAAGAGTCTCTGGGTGAAAAGTATGTGCAAGAAAGTTTCTGGGTGAAGAGTCTCTGGGTTAAAAGTATATGGGTGAAAAGTATGTGGGGAGTTTTTTGGGTGAAGAGTCTCTCGATGAAAAGTATATGGGTGAAAAGTATGTGCAAGAAGAGTTTCTGGGTGAAGAATCTCTGGGTGAAAAGTATATGGGTGACATGTATGTGCAAGAAGAGTTTCTGAGTGAAGAGTCTCTGGGTGAAAAGTATCTGGGTGAAAAGTATGTGCAAGAAGAGTTTCTGGGTGAAGTCTCTTGGTAAGAAGTATATATGGGTGAAAAGTATGTGCAAGAAGAGTTTCTGGGTGAAGAGTCTCTGGGTGAAAAGTCTGTGCAAGAAGAGTTTCTGGGTGAAGAATCTCTGGGTGAAAAGTATATGGGTGAAATGTATGTGCAAGAAAAAAAATTGGGTGAATAGTCTCTTTGTGAAAAGTATATGGGTGAAAAGTCTGTGCAAGAAGAGTTTCTGGGTGAAAAATCTCTGGGTGAAAAGTATATGGGTGAAATGTATTGAAGAGTCTCTGGGTGAAAAGTTTGGTGGAAAATAGGGGTAGATGGGATGCTGGCTTTCGTTCCCCCCTTCTCAGGTAGTGGTTAATAGTGGTTAATAGTGGTTAATAGTGGTTAATGATGGTTAATAGTGGTTAATGATGGTTAATAGTGGTTAATAGTGGTTAATAGGGTTTTTGTTAGTGGTTTAAAACCACCAACCAGATCATGGAAACCATCAGCATGGAAGATGGGTTTGGAAAATGACTCTTGAGCTCTGGCCATGGCCATTCAGCGGAGCAGTGGATGTTGGCAGGAGCGTGAATTCTTGACGCTGCTGATGCAAAGACCTGTGATGGATGCTCGGATCAATTCCATGTGCTCAATGTGTTTAGGCACATCGCCCATGGTTTTGATTGGGCATGGGTCAATGTTTTTTCTTGTTTTTTTCGTCCCAGCCACAATTATGCACTGCCAAGCATCATCCAAATCTACTAATTTTAATGGTTGGCAATGAGCCTTCCTGTTGACACAGCTGCTAGAATTCACCTTCCCCTGGCAGAAGAGACAAGGTATGACAAATCTTCCTGAAACCATGAGTTCCCAAGATTTTGGCAAGACTTACCATAAGATTGTGGATTTTTCGTCCTCGATCTCACGTTTTTTCCAAGGAGGAGGGAAGCCCAAGATCTTACGATCTCAGTAAGATCCTGGTGGAAATCGACAACTTTGATCTCGTGAAGCAGCTGTCTTTGGGCCTTGTTGATGACCAGATTGACATGTCCCGCTTGAACAAGCATGAGCTTAAACAATACGAGAATGATTGCACATGTTACCCTCTGGTAATTTGTTACATAGCTATTGAACATGGCCATAGAAATAGTGGTTTTTTATGGATTTTTCCATTAAACATGGTGATTTTCCATAGTTTTTTGTATGTTTACCAGAGGGTATTTGGTTGCTTCAATGATGTTTCATGAAGCCTTTTTGGCATGATCCAATCCCAAGTCATTTGCAAAACGATGTTTTTCGGGATGAAACCACCCCTGTCCACATCGTTCTCAAGATCCATGTTACGATTGGCCCCCTGAAATCCTGAATCATGAAGGCTGCTACCCCAAACAAATAGATCATGTGTTTAGATTATATATAATAATATATAATATACATACCAATACCGATTACATTATATATTTACTATATATGCATTACATATATATATTATATAATTTCTTATTTAATATAATATACATTTATTATGAACTGAAATACGAGCCACAGTCTATAGTTTTCGGTCGCTTCTATCCCATTGAATCATTGATTCAGCCTCAGTGGATCCCCTGCCAAAAAGTCATCGCAAGGTCGGCGCGGTCCCAGAAAGCTTGAGGGCCACGGGGCCACGGCAGCATGTGTAGAGTCTCACCTTTGATGTGCCCAATATGCGCCTGAAAGACGCTGATTCTACTGCCAAGCTTGACCACATTTCCTAACTTTTCCTGTTGGACAAGGCTGTTCGAAATTTCACAAAGCAAATGGTCAAAGGGTCCGGAAAAATCGGCCGGGAAGTGAGATGAATTCATGTGTTTGTAGGAAAACTATAGCAAATAGAGTTTTTATGTGTTTCAACTTTTTATTGGCTGGATTCTTGGAAGGCAATAGGATAAATGTAAGTCGGTGGGGATGTGGGCGCCAACTGCAAGTGAGATGGCTCTGTTGTTGCTTTTTGTTTTTGAATAAGGTATGTGAATAAAGGTAACACATAGGACCCCAAAATCATCCAAACTCATCCGAACTTTGTCGTTCCAATGGGAAACTAGTATGGTTTTGTCTTTTTTTGGGCATCCAGATTTTGAGAAACACCCATAAGTGTTTTTTTGCTTGGCGCCTACAATCTCCCCTTGTCCCCGCTACGTCTCACATCGTCTCACTGCCAAGCAGTCGTCATCGTGGGAGACACAAGTGGTGAGTCCTGGTCTGCTGTGATCCCAACTTTGAAGAGGGTTGGTGTTTGCCATAAACATGGGCTTGGAAATGGGCTGTTTACCTGTTTACCTCAGTTTTTGTTGCCTTTGAATTCTAACGCCCAAAAGCCAGAGCGAGAGAGAGAGAGGGAGGGAGGGAAGAGAGAGAGAATGTCCTGTAAACATCACTCAAGAGTGAGGATCTCTAAACTCTGGATTAGTAAATTGCCAGGCTGGTTCCACTTTAGTAGCAGATCATCACCATATTTGGTGGTTTATGAATCCTGGGTTGGCAATTAGTTCTTGCAGGTGGAAGTGACAGGACAATCTTGTTTGTACATGAGAATGCTATATGTAAAATTATGTATGCGTGTTATTTATATTTATATATATATGTACACTACACACACATATATATATATATATATTCATATCCATTGATATCTAGTATACATTAAAAATCATTAAAATGCCGTATCTTATCATCGGTTATGATCTATAGTCTATAGCCAGTGAGAAAATGTGCTGCACGTGATCAGGGATGGGATTCGTGATCCAGATGGCGAATGCTCTCAGCGCCCAGACGATTACAGCGATAGTTCATGTCACATGATAATCTTTATATATCTTTACTAGTGACGGTTATTTTGATAAATATTACACCATTTACACCATTCATATTCTGGTTGGTGGTTTGGAACATTTATTTTTCCATATATTGGGAATGTCATCATCCCAATTGACTTTCATATTTTTCAGAGGGGTAGGTCAACCACCAACCAGATTATGATTAACCATCATTAACTATAAATCACTATAAATCCCATTAAATCACCATTTACACCATTCATATTAGATTATTCTATATAGCCATGGTTCCAGTTAAACCAGCACCAGCCGGCAGCCACCACAATTTTTCTCCGGCCAGGCCTTGAACGATTTGTTGCCCACTCCAGCGAAGAGTCACTACTTGTTCAACCTGCGCGACATCTGGAAGGCCTGGTTAGGGCCTGGGGCCGCTGGGGTTAGCCATCCTTAAATCATCCAAGGGGGCGGCACTTCCTGGATCTTCCTGGGATTTATAGTGATTTAATGGGATTTATAGTGATTTAATGGGATTCTATAGTGATTCAATGGGATATTAATGGGACTTACCCTCTGGGTTATGACTAACATAGCCATGGTATAGATGGCCCATAAAAATAGATGGCTTACCGTCATGAAACATGGTGATTTTCCATGGCGAACTGTCAGTCAGAACCAGATGGTAAAGGTTTTGTTTGAATCGTCCATCAGTTGTTCAATATTCACTGATTTCCTTCTGGGTAGACCTTTGGATTATGATCGGTGCGGGGCCAATAGTCTTTTAGCTGTGAATACAATTAGAGGCATCATGATCAGATTCCGCTAAAGTTCAGGCTCAATATAATCGATTCCAGTCCGTCATTCACTCATATTCACTCCTACACCAAGATCCACTCAGTGACTTTCCCATGATTCACTTGCGGTGGCTTCGTTGCACTATTTACGCAAATGGCTATGTACAATACCAGTTTTAGCAGATGTTCACGTCCAGAACCCCCAACTATTTTCATGTGACGATCACGGGCTTCCATGGGTGACCGTTCAAATCCACAAATCACCAGCTGGTGACTAGGTTCCAGTCATTTCACCAGGTTGCTTCTAACCCCACTGAAATCCACAGGAAGAAACCATTCCCATCTTGGAAGGTCACCCGCTGTGGCAGGTCTTTTTGGGCCTTTGCAGTTTGAGCTCGAAGAAATCCAACAACGTCCCCACGGCGCCGCACCGGCTGACCAGGGTGGCACTTGGAGATGTTTTGGGCTCCCAACGGTCCCAGGAAAAAGTCTCAAAAATGGGGTGAAGACACAGAGCTTAGGGATTTTATTGATATCTAAAGCCTCAAACTTGGGATTTTATGTTAGAGACGGCAGAAATTGCCCGCAAGAATTGGGTTTCAACCCATCATGGCCAGGTAAAAACATCACTCTTTGGTGGTCAGATAGTGGATACCCTCTGGTAAACTAACATAGCTATTGAACATTGCCATTTATAGTCAGTTTTCCCATTAAAAATGGTGATTTTCCATAGTTATGTAAACCTTTACCAGAGGCTAAATGTTAATAACTCATAATAACCCCCCCAAAAAAAAAGTCGATGTTTGCAAAGGAAATCTTAGGAACCATCGTCAGTAAATTCCTCGTACACCTCTTAGATTGAACGAGGAACCTGAAGAATGATCGATACGAATCAATATCATCAGTAAATGATATGGAATCCATGCTATATCTTTTGGGGCAAATCAAGAAGACTTAAAAGACATCAACCCCAACATTTATGTTACCAGTATACTGCCGTTACTGTATACTTACATTTGTATACATTTGTGTCATGGTCAAGAGTTGGGTTGTAGAGCCATATTGAAGGATGGTTACCAATCCCTTAATGAGGATTTATGCCTAAACATCGCGTCATTCCCATGGCATGGGAGTGATTACCACGCTACAAGATGGTGCCTAGTGAAATGTGAGTGAAATCAACCAACCCATCCCTTATCATCTGGTGATGACATTCACAGTTCGCCATGGAAAGATCCACCATGCTATTAAGAACGGTGTTTACCATCTATTTCTACTATGGGCCATCTATATATAAACACCATCTATTTCTACTATGGGCCATCTATATATACCATGGCTACGTTAGTCATAACCCAGAGGGTATATATCCATATAATCATCTATAATCTCTAACATGGAAATATACTCATGTAACTATATATCATATATATATATATATATATCCCTTATATATCCTATAAATCCCTATAAATCCCCTATAAATCCCTTATACATCCCTTATATATCCATTATTTATGACGGGGATAGTGACGGGGATGATCTCCATGTGTCACCAGGTGACCCGTTGCTGGGCCCACGAGATCCAACGTGTCTTCGGCGACCGCCTTACGGTGCGTCGCGGGCGGCGTGGTGAAGTCCAGGAAGTACCCTATGATCCTACAAATCCCCAAGATACATATATATATGATTATATATGTATGTATGTATGTATGTACTTATTGTTTATTGATGAAATATATATCATATCTATCTATCTACTGTATCTATCTACTGTATCTATCTATCTATCTATCTATCTATCTATGTATCTATCTATCTATCTATCTATCTATCTATCTATATATATATGTGTAAATCAATGAATATAGATATATTATTATATGTTGATATATTACATATATATATATGTACTTATTGTTGTTTGTTGAAATATATAGTAACTAGTATACTATTTCATTATGTATACATCATTATATACTTATTTATTTACCACTTTGTTTATAAAATAATGCATTTATCATAGATGATATAAATCTGTAAATGGATCTTGCGGGCGCGGCTTGATCCATCAAAGTTTGGATATAGGCAAGGGATCAAGGGCGCCATGTCTCTGCATACCCCCAGTTGCAATGATTCCGTCTCTGAAGATTTTAAGGTTGCCAATTCTTACATAAAAATTGCCGATATCTCTTAACTTCCCATCCTTCCTATCTTAGTCTTACGAATATCCCATGTCCAAGGATTTTGAAGAAAAAAACCTGCAGAACACTAGCAATCTGGTAAATCCATTGTTTTTTCTGTACAATTTCCATATGTTTCCATATATTCCGAGGCAACTCAGTGAGATGTTGTCAAGTTGGGTACTCCACCTTTGGGAGTGTTGGGACAGGATGAGCCCGACCTGCAGTGGATGAAGACGCAAGTGGATAGTGCGGTGGAGAAGGTTTGAGCACGTGATGGCTATCGATGGCTGGTTTCTCCAAGCAGAAATAGAGAGTTGAACACGCACGGATGGGGAAGTAGTCTAATGAAACTGGCTTGGGGCGTTCAATGGATCATTGTTTGGCCTAATTTACATGGTGTCCATCCATGTTTGGAATCATTTAAAACATGTTAAACCACCATCCGGCCATCATTGTGGCACCATGCGTCGTCAAATCGCGAACGCAGGATTTGTCGCAAGATCTCACCAACATCTTTGACAAGGCCACCCTCTGGGGATAGATGGTGATAGTTGACAGTTGCAACAACGCTTGGAGGCTTTACAAACAACCGAAGATACCCTCTGGTAAACTAACATAACTATGGAACATCACAATTTTTCATGGGAAAATTCACTATAAATGGATATAAATGGTGATTGTCCATAGCTATGTTAGTTTACCAGAGGGTAAATGCATATCGCAACTGTGTCTGTAACCACTGTAACCATCCACTGGTGATGGTGTGACTCGTTGCAGCAATGGTTACCTTTGAGGGCTGTGTTCAAATGTGTGCCATCTTCACCTGGCATGATGTTAAAGCCAATTGACTGCTTGGGATTGGTTGAAAACAGCAGCAGCCAAGAATGGTCGCAGTAAAAATGGTGGCAATCTCAAGTCGAATATGACTGTGCGGTAGTATTTTGAGACCCTGATTCCTCCCAAATAAGGGTCTCAGGGGTTCGGTTCCAAACTTGGTGTGCCTGAAATCTGGTATACCCCAAGTATTCCCATCTATAGTAAGGAAACTGATGATTAATATTGGTTTGAGGGGGTACTATTTTTAGACAAGCCCATATATTCTGGAAACATCGGCTGAACTATTTTCCCAGACTTGGTGGAAAGGACACTTGGCAGAAAACTCCTGCATTATTTGGTGGTAAAAAGCATGGTTTACTGCATGTTTTCCCTACCCTCCAGTAAACATACCAAAAGCATCCAAAAGCTATGGAAATGCATGGTTAGGTAGATCGGAAATCGGAAATGATCTACTTTTATGGAGGGTTTTCATGGATTTTCCGTAACTATCATATGCTAGATTTACTGGAGGGTGTGGTGGATTGCAAATGAGATTGCAATCATTGTCAGTTGTCCCCAAACGGCCAAACAAATCCGGTTCGGGACATATTGCAATCATTGAAAAAAAATGAGATTGAATGTTCAATGAAATTGTATAGTTGTTTTTTCCCTAAACCAATCCATTTTTTTCTGCTAAAAAACCAACCGACATTTCTTCCAGATCGCTCCAGGAGCGGCTCATTTTCGCCTCCTTCTTGACTCAGGAGGTGCGTCTGGAGCTGGTGAATCTGTGGGTATGACTCAACGGTTAAGCCATAGACAGATCCACCATTTTTCATAGGTAAACCATCTATTTCTATGGGCAATTTGCCATGGCTATGTTAAATAACTAAATGGATCCAAATGGTAGAGAACAAATTGGACTTAACTGACTTAACCTTATGTAATTCAGTTACAGTTGATGTGTGATGTGTTTCCATCGCTAAAGTCGCTTCAGAAATAAACGTTTCACCCACGCCAGGTGGAAAATCGCACCTATGATGAGGTCACCGACATGCAGGCCCCTGGTGATGCTGTTTGTTTTCAATTCATGTTTTATAATGTTAAAAAAACATGTGTGATCCTCCCTATAAGATATTGCGATATGTAGAAGTGAGATTGACCCAGGTGCTTCATATGGGGTTGTAAAAATAGGGCATATAGGGATCCGCAAATTCGACGACTTGGCATATTTTCCCAGAAAAAAACATGGACAGTTGGGGTGTAGACCGTCGGTTCGTTGAAGCCCCATGAAAAACAAATTTCTCAGACACACCAAAATGTCATATTAATATTGTTTTGTTGGTGTTCTAACGTTCTAAAAACAATACATGTATATATATATATATGATATATATATATATATATATTTATTTATACAGCATACATATATATATATATATATGTATAGTATGTATATAGTATGTATATAGTGTGTATATATATATGGAGTATATACATATAGTGTGTGTGTATATATATATATCCATCCCACTGACATATCCCACAATATCCTCATTTTCCTCAGTGAAATCCTTTTTCTGCTGAGACAAACGGGCTGAGATCAGCGCTGAGGCCATGAAGACGGCCATTGAGGAATACCTCGAGGAATATAACCAGGCCAGTGAGAGAATCCATGAGAATTTTCGGCAATTTCCTCTAGAGAATCCGGCAATTATTGATAAATAAGCATATTTTATGATATTACACATGATAATGATAAGTAATAAATTATAATTATATATATATATGTATATTGATGAATAAGCAATGATAGAATGTCAGAAAATATTAGGCTAAGCCGGGGGTGTGGCGTCGCAGATTTGTCCGCGAGGGCGCAGACACAACATTTTCTGATATTATAAATGATAAACGACAACTATAATTGATATAAATATATAGTAATGGTCAGTTGATATGACTAAATCTTAATGATTATTGATGTTCATGATTGTTCATCCAGCATTAACAATTGTATTGATTGGCTTTTAGGCCTTGGATGCAAGCGTTTGACCCTTGTTCTTTCAAAATATTTCCGTTTGCCATCCACGTCATATAGTTACATACTTACTTATCCCAGAAAAAAGAAAAACATGGGAAACACATTAAAAAAAGTCTAGAGTTTGGATGATTTTTGATGATACAATTTGATATTGTTATAGTTATTTCGAAATAATATGAGTATTACATGATTATAGTTGTATAAAACCAATAACTTTCCATGTTTTTTGTCGCTTCTTGCTAGGTCTTCTCCATCATGATGCCTCTGGTGATGTTTCTGGATGCCTGCGAGCACTGCGTACCTTGATCCAACTCTTTCGTTGGGGTAGCTGGTTGGTAAACTGGTAAACATTGGATTGCACACCACATTCATATCATACAAGCACATTGTTGAATAGGTAGAATTTGTAATATCCTATACATATATATATATATATATATGCACGGACATGCATAAATCAATAGATATTATATTTAAATATGCACATATTCATATAGATAATCAACATATATATATATATAATTAATACCTATCACTATCACATATGTATGTATATAACTATATTTATGTACATATGCATTTGTGTGTGTGAACTTGGGATGGCAGATACAGATAGCTGTTGATGCGCACTGGAGAACCTGGTGATGTCATTTGCATCTCACGATAATTTTGATGGCCCATGTTTGTATCTAAACCCGTGGTGAAAATTTGCTTGTCTTCTAATGTTGCGTTTCTGATCAGATTCTTCATTCACACTACCCTCTGGTAATTTAACGTAGCTATTGAAAATGGCCATTTAAAGTGGATTTTCCCATTAAACATGGTGATTTTCCATAGTTATGTAAACGTTTACCAGAGGGTAATTCCCACTTGCTAATTGCCATTGTGCTGACCCCAAAGATTTGCCACCTGCTTTGAAAAAAGATGCCAGATCTCAGGCGCGCATTTGCCGTGTGCTGAGCCAGCCCAATGGTAATGTGCTACTCCTAGGAGTAGGTGCGCTTGAAACTGCCGTGCCATTGTTGAAGTAAGGTCATGTATGCCCGCTCCTATTGCACTGATCCTGAATGCCCCCATATCTATGTCTAGATCAATGCTGGTACCCCCTGGTAATGACTAATGTAGCTATTGAAAATGGCCATAGAAATAGTTGATTTTCCCATACAAAAGGGTGATTTTCCATAGTTTTTTGATCCTCCCAACTACGAAAGGGTCTGAAGCCTTGTGCTTAGGGCTCAAATTTTTTAGGGTCTAAACTGGTTTTTCTATCAGATTAGACCCTGGCCAGCTACCACCTCAGACCCTCAACATGTACATGCTGGAAAGTGAGAACTTCACTTTAGACCTTTTGCCTAACTCGTAGAGAACTTCATCTTAGACCCTTTGCTGGTTTTTGATCAACTTTGATGAGACGAACTTTGATGAGATGAACCACCACCCCTGAAGGGATCTAACTTGTATACTCCTGGGAAAGTAGCTCACCACCCGGAAAGTGAACCACCACCCCTCAACCACCACTTACTCCTGCAAACTGAAATCTGACATGACATGTCTGCGTTCCAACAAAAAGGCCAAATGACACTAGCATATATCATCTGTGAAAAAACCTTTACGTAAGTCAAATTATGATAATCGGACTGATTGTAAAAAAAATGTCTTTAGAAATTGTACATATGCTTCATGATTGTTTCAATGGCTGAGCTTGTCATGGTCCTCCTGGCCAACCCTGGGGGTCTAAGGTGAAATTGCCTATCTTTGGATTTGAATTTCCCAGGGGAAAAACACACAGCAAACCACAATAGACCCTGGATACAAAGGACATGATTAGCAACTGTTGAACCAAACCACAACGTTAAGCAATAGAACATGTATATACATCTAACATTATTGTTTCAATGGCAACGACCCAAAAACGTCATCACCAAAACAAACTTCTGTTCCGCTGAACTTGTCATGGTCTTCCTGGCCAACCCTGGGGGTCTAAGGTGAAATTGCCTATCTTTGGATTTGAATTTCCCAGGGGAAAAACACACAGAAAACCACAATAGACCCTGGATATTCATGTGAGACCCCTGGGCTACTCAGAAGCAGGGCTACTCATAGAGCCTTGTCCAAAAGGAGCCTTAAGTCCTGAACATTTGAAATTATACCTAAACATTCCCCAAAATTCAAAATCATTCTGACTTGTTTGCAGGAGTAAGTGGAGTAAGTTCACGCAAAGGAAAGTAGCTCACCTGAAGCTATTTGACGAAAAAAACATAGAAGTTCACAGTGCTAAGATGTGCTAAGCACGTGAAGGAAGAAGAGAAACTTGTTGCCGTTGCTATTGCCGGGGCTGTTGTTGCTGACAACCAGCACCCAAGGGTCTAATCTGAAGTTACCAGTTTCCAGAAACATACAACATCAGCATGTTGATGATCTCTGCTGGATCCCTATGGTAGGTCTAGGATGGTTGGTGCTCAGTAGGTCACTTTGCATAGGGAAATTTCAATTAGACCCTGGAAAAAGGGTCTAAACTGCAAATACCTATAGTCCCTAGCTAGTAGTTGAGAGGATGTTTTTTGTATGTTTACCAGAGAGAGTGTATTGGAATGTATGTGAGCTATGCCAACGGTGACTTGGTGGCTTTGGGCTAAACGACTCGTTTTTCTTCGTTGCCCTGGAGAGGCGGAAGTGGCAGACAGAGCTTGACCCGTTTGTTATGGACTTGGCAATGTGTGTCTGTGACAGCTGGGTTGTATGATGATTTGATAGAATTTCTCTACATCAACGAGTTTTGTCTTCTCTAAAGGGGTAGGTTTGATTGATAGACATCAGTGACTGCACTTTGTTTCATCAAGAAATTTGAGAATTTTCTGTCTCCATTTAACCATTGTCGCGACTCACAGGGGGGAACAAATCACATTCCCAAGGTCGGCGTACATGAACGAAGCCGACTGTTTCCAGATTGAAGTGGCGAAAGGTTCGCGACTTGGGACTGGCTGAATCCAGCTAATGGGGCTGGGTTGAAGGGACGGAAATGGATGGAAGCTGATCAGCGGTTCCCTGATTTTTTTTGGCTTCAAGACCAGGCCTTATGGTTTAGGTTTAGGTACTTCCAATTTAGGGTTTAGGTACCTGAAATTGCAGATAAAAGAAAAGACAAAACGATTGTAAGAACTTCCCATGTGTCGGATTGTTACCGCATGCTGGTGCCCCCCTCCAAGTTGGATTAACCCCCCGATGAACCAATATCATATATAGCATGATATAGTTATATATTTATAACGACCTCACTGCGAGCTCACTGGAATCAATGTTAATAAGGGAAATCATCCCAAATGGTCTTAATTCAGGTTAGTGAAATATTATAATTTATATATATACAGTATATATATATATGTATATATATGTGTGTTATGTTATGTTATGCTATGTTAATGTTAATGTTAATGTCAATGTCAATGTCAATGTAATGTAATGTAATCTTATGTATGTTATATTATGTTATGTTATGTAATGTAATGTAATTTAGTGTTATGTATGTATGTATGGTATGATATGGTATGGTATGGTATGTTATATTATGCTATGTTATGTTATGTTATGTTATGTTATGTATGTATGTATGTATAGAATCCCTTCCTCCTAATACTAAACGTCCCCCAAATACTAAAAACAGGCGTCCATCTCCAGTTTCAGAAAATTTCAGATTGGCCAATTTGACTTTTAATTGATCCCCTTTAGAAAACAATTTAAAAATCAAGCTACCAGGTGTGGGTTTTCCCCCCTAATGCTAAAAACTAGTCAACCCCGGGGTGTTTATTATTAGGGTCCGTCCGATTTTTTTAGTTGTTTATATTAGGGCGTTTAATTTAGTATTAGGGGGAAGCTTCGAAATCCAATTTTTGGCAATATTTTAATTGCGTTATATAAAGAACTTTAATTGATTTTGAAATCGGAAAAGCTAGTTTTTATTATTAAGGGTTCTAATTTAATATTAGGGGGAAGCTTCGAAATCCAATTTTCGGCAATATTTTAATTGCGTTATATAAAGAAATTTAATTGATTTTGAAATCGGAAAAACTAGTTTTATTATTAAGGGTTCTAATTTAATATTAGGGGGAAGCTTCGAAATCCAATTTTTGGCAATATTTTAATTGCGTTATATAAAGACATTTAATTGATTTTGAGATCGGAAAAAATAGTTTTTACAATTAAGGGTTTAATTTTATTAATAGGGTTCCCTAATAATAGATACCACCCTAATACTAAAAACTACCTGCCGTGTTTATTAATAGGGGAGAACGTTTAGTATTAGGAGGAAGGGATTATACAGCTATAATCACCAATTTGATCTAGTTACAGTACCTTCGCCAACCCTATGGGGCAGCACCGGCGGCAGCACCTTGCCGGGCAGGTTATGGAATGACTGAATTCAAAGATGATGCCGCTTGGACTTGCGGTACCGCAGTGACGTAGGGAACCACCTCCACTGATACAGGAAAACACTCAGAGATAGATTGGCATGGAAAATCATGGAGAAGTTGGCCAGTCAGTTGGAAGGGCCCAAAGATGAATAGTGATCCAGAACTTTCAGTTGGTTTGCCAACTCCACCCTTCTCCTGTTGCTTCGCAGCGTGGCGACGTCAGGTCAAGAAATGCCTGATGAAGTGCGGCGTGGAAGACAAGGTGCTTGCAACGGGGGTGGAAGCTGCTCATTCACCATTCAACCCCACAAAAAATACGGTTGAACTATGGACGTTTACAAACTAAAAAAACACATCAGAACTTAGATGCCATGTGCTTGACATTTGGAGAAATTGGAACGCATCCGAAGCTTGACATTCACGCCGGGTTTCACGCCTCACATCGCAGGTTCAGATCTTCCTCTTTTGCGACACTCAAATCGTCAAGGAAGACTTCGTGGAGGTTTGGACACCCGTCTTTCGCTTCACATCCCATGCCCGTCCATCCCCAGGAACCGAGGGATCTCCAGGGGTTCTCCGACCAATGATTGCCACAAGGAGAACATGTGACTTTCAATTTTCACTGTTCGCAATTTGGGGTGTAGATCATTGTAGATCTGTCAGGTTTAGATCCGATAGCTTTCAATTTTCAACCCCACGGATCTGGACCCAATCTTTCGCCAATGTTCACCCCACCCGTGGAAAAGTGCCCCTGAGGCGATCAACAATGTGCTCAACAGTGGTGACGTGTGGGCGAATCCCAGCGATGTCCAAGGGGATGCGTTGCGGATGCAGGGCTATGGAAATCTGAGCCATTTGCATCTGCAGATGACTTATGTGATTTACAGATTCAACAGTTTGATTTTCAGAGGGTAAATGTTGTAAACTCAAGTTTCAATGGGTATGGATAGTTTATATGCCCAGTTCTAGTGGAATGTTGGATGGTTTGTTATTGGACATGCCGCGTTGCTGCAATTGTTCAATCGTTTTTTGTTGACATCAGTTGCCATTATGTCATGCTTCTGCAATTGTTGACGCTGACCAGTACTGAAAGAGCAGAACTATGCTTTGATTATCTTGGATTCATGGAGATTCATGGGGCCCAATGGGGCCCAGGGGCTCAGAAATATCGATGAACTTTTAGTTCTCAAAGCATTAGCGTGCCATCTTTGTAGGGTATCCTTTAAACATGGTATCTCCTGAAAAAAATCTCACCTTCCCCACACGGCCCACACGTCTCCCCATGGCTTCGCTGTGTCTTCAAGGCCCAATCTCTACGCCAATGAAGACTTCGAAGCCATTTCATCGTCCTGCCGGCAGTTGTGTCAGCCGGGCTGCCCCAGTGAGTTTAGCCAACGTTGAGTCGTTGTTGGCTGATGAGGAATCCCTGGCCGATGGACCATTGAAGGGTTTTAACATGTTTTAACATGATTATTATTTAGAATTAGCATGAATTAGTTAGGTCCAAGATAGGTGCTAGCTGCTAGAGGGCTTAGCAAGATTTCAAGAATATATGGTACGGTACGGTTGGTACATGTGCTTTCCCTGGTACGTACGGTTGGTACGGTTGGTTGGCACGGTTGGTACGGTTGGTTCGTACCGTACCAAGCGTGCCAACCGCACAGCTACAAGCGTACCAAACGTACCACCGAACCGTACAGATGAACCGTGCCAGGTTAAGGGGGGGTTAAGGGGGGTCGTTTTTCCGTACCAATGCTAAATTTAGTATTGGTACGAAAAAACGCCGCCCCCTTAACCCCCCCCTTAACCTGGTACGGTTCATCGGTACAGTTGTGTGGTACGTTTTTTTTGCCTGCTTGGTACGGCCGTTTGGTACGCTTGGCCAACTGTACTAACCGTACCATACCAAGCGTACAAAGCGTACCAGCCGTACCGTACCAAGCGCACCAACCGTACCAAGCGTACCGTACCAAGCGCACCAACCGTACCAAGCGTACCGTACCAAGCGCACCAACCGTACCAAGCGCACCGTACCTGGTTTCTAGGCGGATATCAATCAAGCACCTATCGAGGACGGATAAAAATATATATATATATATATGTAAATATATAGAATATGTGTTTTATCATAAGTATATGGAGCATATAATCATCCATCAGTTGTTTCATCCCTGTTCTAACCAATTTTTTTTGTTTCGTTCTTGTCTCGTCATGGGTGTCTTGGCCCATTGGCCGAGGTCGATGGGGATGCAGCCCACCAAAGCGAATCTCTTCAGTGCCTATTTGAGTCGGAGCCCAGGAAGATTAGTAATGGTGATGACATGTGATGACTGGGGGATGGTTTATGACATTGTTTTAACCACATTAGATGATTTGAGTAGGGGCTGCTTCTGTCAAAAAAATCTTGGAGAAGGCACCAGGGCCAGCTTGCAGCTTGGTGAGCTCCAGCTGATCCGCCTCAAAAGGGGCTCATGTACAGCCCCCCAAAAACACGTTAACATGATTTTAAAAGACCCAAATCCAGGTTGATATTCCATATATTCCATCCACATTAAGCAACATGAGTATACATTTAGTTTATTGATTGTTTAGACCCAATCAAACAATGCCATCGAAGGCCTATTGCCCATCAATTTCTCTGCCAAACCCAAGGCCGTGTAAAGAAGAACGTCCATGTTACCTTAGCCTTCTCCCCCGTGGGGGACAGCTTCCGAAATCGCCTACGAAGCTGGGGCTGCAATGGACCGATCCTATGAACCATGGTTTCACGGGGCTATTTCGGCTATTTATGGGTAATTTAACGTGCAGAAAATGAATGAACATCAACCACTTGTAGATGATTTTCAGGAAACCATGGGTTGTCCACATCTATGTTAGCTTGCTCCACGGTATTTTGCAGGTATTTCAAGACTTGGGGGGAAGGGATGACGGATGGGATGACAGATGGGATGACGTCATGGCACTCTGGATTTTCAGTCTCGCACTGATAAATGACAGTGGGGGTGAATTCATGATGGCAATGGACAATTCCCCATTTAGTTCGATGATTTTCCCAGCCAGAAACCTCCATGGTGCGGGGATGCCTGCCAGGCAGCCACGTTTGATCTTCCACCGCTTTGCGTCTTTTCATGTCATGAAATTCACCACGCTTTGCCACGTGGTGGCAATCTCAGGATCCTTCCCATCATTGGTCAACTGCTGTACCATTGATTGGCCTGGGTCCCGGCGTAGGGTGAGGATGTCTCTCAAGTATCTTGAGTACTGTTTCAGTTTCTAACATGCGCTGTTCAAACTTCGTTGTGTTTCCAACATTTTCCAACCAATTCTGGTGGACTTCAATGCCACAACTCAACGTTGACAGCCCACAAAACCCCCCTTTTCGGAGGTTCCACGAGTGGCCGGCCGAAGCGCTGTACTCGGTGGCCAAGCAGCAGATCACCGGGCAATCCGTGGAGCTGCCCAATTTGGAGGGAGCCTTGAAGATGTGGGGGGAGCCCAGTCGTGGATGGGTGGTCTACCGACCCACCTTTCTGGTTTTGGGTGGTGAAATGGGTGGTGAAAGGGGCACTTAAATCAAGATAATTTCCAGGAAGACTATATTGATCATTTCAAAAGAAGACTATTGGTGGTTTAAAGGGTAAATGTGTCAACATGTGTCAAGCCCGGATTAATACGAATAAACGATGGTCATTGGTCTATTGATTGTGGAGGTATCCTCCAAATAGTGATAATGTGATACTTGATTGATCTTAATTGGTAACCCCCAATTAAACAGCCTAGGGGTTTAGGAATCCAGGGTTGACATTAATGAAAGAAATCATGGTAGTTTTGCAGATGACATATGGATGAGTAATGACGTAGTTAAGTTATGTTAAGTTAATTAAGTATCATTCAGAAGAATGGTGGTTGAATTGTCCTCTGGTAAACTAACATAGCTATGGAAAATCAGCCTTTTAATAGCTAAATCATCTATTTCTATGGTCCATGTTCCATAGCTATGTTAAATTACCAGAGGGTAGTAGATGATGATAGATGATTGAGAGATTTCACCAAATTAATCAGGGCCCCTTCTAGTTCCACCAGTGGCGGTCACTTTGGTGGCTGACGCCCATCATGAATCCCTATCAGGTGATGTTAACAGAAAGAACTGCAAGGAACCTTTTTTAATTAATCATCAGTCCAAGAATGGTGGTTGTAATCGTTGAAACCAGAAAATCAGCCGTAGACATGCTTTGGAACAACTGCACTCATCACTAAGGGCTTTGGATGGCTTACAAGTCTGGAACATGAGCAAAAACCCATGAAACAAATCCTGAAACATCGCTCAAGTGCTGGTGTCAACCCCAGATTAATGATCTCCCAAGCTGGTCAATGGGGAAGGCATCGTTTTAGTGCCAGATTATCCCCATTTTGCAGGGAACCAATCAGGGTAGATCTTAACCCAGTCATGACAGATGGCGATAGAGAGAGAGAGAGAGAGAGAACTTGATCCAGGCTTATCCGCGGTTGACAGTAGTTATATCATGTTATATTCCAGTTCCCCCATTATATTCACCACAAACGCAACATTGAAATGGTGCTGAAATCATCCAGCATCATCCAACTGGGGCTTTTTTTTAAAAGGATATATATATATATATAATATTATATATTATATATACATATAATTATATATATATGCATATCTATCTAATCTATCTATCTATCTATCTATCTATATATCTATCTATCTATCTATCTATCTATCTATCTATCTATCTAATATATCTATCTATCTAATATATCTATCTATCTAATATATCTATCTATCTAATATATCTATCTATCTAATATATCTATCTATCTAATATATCTATCTATCTAATATATCTATCTATCTAATATATCTATCTATCTAATCTATCTATCTATCTAATCTATCTATCTATCTATCTATCTATCTATCTATCTATCTATCTATCTATCTATCTATCTATCTATCTATCTATCTATCTATCTATCTATCTATCTAATATATCTATCTATCTAATATATCTATCTATCTATCTATCTATTTATCTATCTATCTATCTATCTATCTATCTATCTAATCTATCTATCTATCTATCTAATCTATCTATCTAATCTATCTATCTATCTATCTAATCTATCTATCTATCGATCGATCTATCTATCTATCTATCTATCTATCTATCTATCTATCTATCTAATCTATCTATCTAATCTATCTATCTAATCTATCTATCTTATCTATCTATCTATCTATCTATCTATCTATCTATCTATCTATCTATCTATCTATCTATCTATGGGCAGTCCCACCTTGGCACAACGAACATCTTAACTTGGCACCTCCGCCCCGTTGTACCAACAGGTTCCAGACCATCCACATGAGCGTGGAGACTTCTTCCAAGAAGTTCCTGCAAGCCACCGGCCGCAACGTCTACGTGCGAGCGGCCCAGGGAAACGACGGTGAGAAAACTGAGACAGCTGGTGGTGACCATGGTGGTTGGAGATGGTTGGAGGATTGGGAGGACCAAGTTGGGTGGAAGATAGGTATTTATTCACGAAAGATGTGAATTTAAGATGATTTAACCCAAGAATTGATTCACCAAAGATGTGGATTTAGCCTCCACTTCGGAGCTGTGGAGATGGACCCCAGGTCCGATGGGCGAGTTGTGAGTTGTGAATTCTCGAACGTTGACTTATGATAGCGACGTTGGCTTATTTCACTGGCATGTCATTACTGCTAATGATAGATATACATAGAGATACTGTATACTGTACCTATCAATATGGTTTACTGTATAGACTCTAGACTAATTGGGCTGTTGTTTGGGTACGACCAATTTGAAGTGAATGGACCCCTGGTGCAGTGGCCATATCCCAGTACTGTTTGGTTTGTTGGGTCCCAACAAAAATCACCGTCTTTACATATCTTTGGACAAAGCCTGTTTATATAATTGCTGACATTTATATATAGATCACGCTGTATCCCACTGACAACTCATCACACATGCTGATTCATCAGTTACCCTCTGGTTATTTAACATTTCGCCATGGAAAGATCCACCCATTTTTAAGAACGGTGAACCATCTATTTCTATGGGCCATCTATACCATGGCTATGTTAGTCATAACCAGAGGGTAAGTCCCATTAATATTCCATTGGATCACTACAAAATCCCATTAAATCACTATAAATCACTATAAATCCCATTAATCATTATAAAATCCCATTAATATCTATCCCATTGAATCCATTCGAATTTCTAACCATCCAAAGCAGCGGACCGGAGGTGACGCCCACGTCATTCCTGGAGCTGCTGACCAGTTTCGTCGGCATCCTGGCAGACAAGCGCAACCAGGCGATGGGCCGGGGATGGCCGGGGTGAAGGCGACCAGGCAACTGGTGGTGACTGGTTGGTTTATGGCTGGTGATTGGTGGGCTTATGGTTTATGATGTTTAAAACTTATGGTTCTTGATAAGATAAGAAGGGCAATGATCTCATATCTCAATAGAATTTCGATATACGTATGGTACTGCAGGATCTTTTGCCAAAGATCATGGCCAGAAGGAAAAGTCAACACAGACGGTGGTGTTTTCACATAGATTGTGACATCCCAAGAGCATGCAAAGCATGGCAAGATGAGAATATGTTTTTAAGTCGTAAAAAACAAATCCCCATTCCATGGTTGGTCATCATTGGTCGCAGGTGGGAATGCTACAGCATCGCTACAGCGTGGGTCCGGACTCCCAGTTTGTGGGCCTTGAAAGCCTCAGAAATTCATGCTTTGATGGGATGTTGTAGGGTTTAATGGGTTTGCCCTCTGCTAGTCAAACGTGGCAATGGAAAATCATGAAGGTGATTTTTATGTGTTAAGATCTTTAAATGGTGGATTTTCCAGTGCTATGTTTGATTACCAGAGAGCAATGGCAGATGATCGCGTTTCAGTCGCTCGGCCTGGGCTGAAGTGCCTTGGTCTCTAGATGGCTACGCCCAGCGAGAGAGAGAGAGAGAGCAATGGGATTTGGAAATTGAAGGGTGTTATAGGATAGAATGGGATTTACCATGAAAGCTGCAAGTCCCCCATGATTCTGGTAAATATCCACTATGGAGATTTTACCAGTATACTTCCACATTCCACCACCCAAAAATAAAGGCCTAAATGCCTCCAATATGGACACCCCAATGGAAGAGATCCAGTACTCTACCAGGCTTTCGAATGGATGGTATTTAAGATTAGGGGGAAGGGATGAATTATCAAATGTTGTGCATGTTAGTGTGGTTTGATATCTTTAGTTAGGAGAATAGCGCACGCCGCCCATTATGGTTGTATCCCTTAAGTGGCCCATAAGTGGTTCATTGTTTTGAGGAGTCCACACTCCTCTCCCGAAGCATGACGTCCAGCAATCAGGAGTCTATCAAAATTCTATAGCTGGTTGGTGGTTTGGACCATTTGTTCCCATATATTGGGAATAATACACCCAACTGACTTTCATATTTTTCAGAGGGGTTGAAACCACCAACCAGATAGGGAAACCCAGGGCGAAACCTACTGTTAGATGTGGAAAACCCCATGGTTTCCCAAGTTTCCCTGTAGGATAATGATCTGCAAATGGTGGGTAAACTCCACATCGAACTGTTATCCCAAGACCGTCCCAACAACCTACGAATTCCAACTGGGAGTGGCTGTGAAAATGGGGTCTCCCAGTCTACCTGAAATATCCAGGTTGAAGGGTTTGTCATGCTGATTGTCACTTGACTAGCGACTCAGCCGATTTTCAGACACAGATTTGCTCGGATCCATCCCATAGCAGGGAAAACAGCTGCTGCAGCCAGGTTTGGGAAAGATTGGTGATGCAGAAGAGCAAGTGGCAGGGCTTCAACAGATGCTGGTCGAGAAGAAGTTCCTTGGCCTATCCAGTGGAGGGATCGGGGTGGGAGCGGTGCTTGCCTGAAACATGGGAGCCAGGTGGAGTAGGGGTTGGACGATGGGAATCTTATCATTTATTTACCCTGCAGCCGAGATATAATCTTGCGACCAAATGGCCTAATGGCCTAAATTTGCCTAAATGATTCTGCATATTTCTGCATCAGTTCAGTGGGCAAGACTCCAACCATTCTGTGTCTTGGGGTAGACCGGTAGACCCTCTGACTTTGCTAGCAGCCACTTTGCATGATTGAGGAAGTGGGATGCGGGTAAACCACATATTCACTGCCCACAGTTGGAAACACCTGTGCCGAAACCCAAAGAGTTCACAGCTATTATCCGACCTGGTAAACGTTAACAGTTTGCCATTGAAAATTGCCATTGAAATAGTGGATTTACCCAGCTAGAAAATTGTGATTTTCCATTGTTTTTTGTATGTTTACCAGAGGGTATCCACAATATATCAACATATGTAGGCACTGTTGACGCCATTGACCGAATTGTGCCCTGTATCAGCAAAGTTAAGGCTTTGTGCCCCAAACCCGCTTATGTTTTGTCGTCCCGTCCAATTTCCAGCCCTGCATTTCAAATTTCGTTGAAAGCCATCAGGGATACCCCAAGTTTCCAGCGAAAATGACCTGAATGACTGGGGTTAGTCTCAAAGCTTTGAAGCAAACATGTTGTTTTACATTCTCGGCCTTGGGCACAAAGGCTTCCCCCTTTGAATTACTCTATATCATGATTTCTTGTGGAGGTTTGAGATGTGATTGACCTGTACGTGTCCATTCCCATTTTTGTAATACCATGTGATCATTGCTTGATCTTAAGAATATGTGATATATTCATTGATATTCATTGATCATACTATATCATAGGTCACAAGATTCATTGATATACATACATATGTAGTTATACGTATGTATATACATATGTATATATATATTAATATATATATATATTAATATATATATGTGTGTGTGTGTGTGTGTATGTGTTGGTATCATAAGAATATCATAAGACTTTCTAATATCCATTGATCATCCATTCCCGTGACGTTTTTTTTGTCGTGAGGCCTGTGCTGGAGAAGACCCAGAAGGAGGTCAGTGAGATGATGGTCCTGGAGCTCAGACTGGAAAAGTGCCAGGGCTATCAATGGGGAAAAACGACCTAATTACTGTATGTGTGAGTATTGTTTTTGTATATACATATATATATAGATAGATTATATATATAGATTATACATATAAGATTATATACAAGATTATGTATATATATATATATGGACTGGACTAATATCAATGTGTGTGTGTTGTGTTTTTGACTTTGTTCATGTTCATTTATTGACATATTAATTATTGCATTCGGTTGTTTAGAGTGAACGGAAGGGGGTACGCGCATCAGAGTTGAAGCAAACTGGCCACTTGAGTTGCCAAGTTGTTTGAAAATTGGGTCCCCCTAAATCCAGTGGTTCGGTTCATCATTTTCCTTATGAAATGAGCCACTATTATAAGGAACATGGGGTATAATCATCTATTTTGATGGGGTATACCCCATTTTTCCAGTGGGTCATCTGTTTATACCCCATTTTCAGACAGACCCCAATTGCCTATGACGAGTTTCCCAGTGGAATCGAGGTGGTGATCACCAAAGACAAAGCGGAAGCCGAAGAAGTCAGCAAGGCACACGGGACATGGAAAAAAGCCCCGGGGACCACAGATGGCGAACCCTCTGGTTATTTAACGTAGCGAACTGGAGAATCACCATGTTTTAATAGGTGAACCAGGATAAATCATCTATAAGGCCATTTTCTATGGGAAATGACCCATTTATAGATGATGTAGCTAGTAAAAGTGATGATTTTCCATGGCTCTGTTAAATAACCAGAGGGATCCAGAGGGTATATGTGTTTAGTATATCAACCAGCTGATTATTTGGGATACCCAAGTTTGACGCATACCCATATGACTCTGCGAGTGTTACATGTAGTATATTTCTCATTTTTTTCTGATGTTAATCCAATGCGTTTTGGTGAATTCACCATGTTGTTTGTTCAAGTTGAAATCAACCTTTTTGTCTTGGCTCTACATCCTGTTTGCGCAGGTTTTGTGTCGCGGCTTTTGGGAGATAGAGAAGATCATTTAAGTCTTGAGATCTTGCACCTGTAAAATGTGGCACAGCAAATGAATCAAGTTGTATAAACAATGTTCTTGTCGTGCTTTCCATTTTTCCGACTCATGAATTTCATGTCGACTACCTTGCCTTCTATTTTTCCACTGCAAAAATACGGCAAAACCGACCATAATTTTGAAGGCCAAGGTCGGCACAACAAAAAACTACTCAACACTTGTCAGTATTTATTTATATAATTTATATAATTCAATTCTCCATCAAGATCATCAAGGTTTAATCAGTTGATGTATGAATTTCATCAATTTAACTTGGTTGATTGGGTTATGATCAATTTAACTTCTTGAAGATCTTGAAGTCTACCCTCTGGTAAACTAACATAGCAATGGAAAATCACCACTTTTAATGGGAAAATCCACTATAAATAGCCATGTTCAATAGCTACGTTAAATTACCAGAGGGTAAGCTTGAAAGTGTCAAGTTGCCATCGATCTTCCCCCTGATCGTCCCAGCGTCGTGCAGGCGGTGGCGGCGGAAGAGGCCGCCGCGGCGCTGAAGGCGGAAGAGACGCAAGCCATTAAGGTGGGCTGTCCAGGGCTTGGGAGGCTTGGGAGGATGAGGATCTTAACAAAAATGTGAAGGGAACATGTCAAACATGTTGCGGAAAAAATAGGTTGGTTTAGTTTGATTAATGCCAAACTTGTTTATCATGGGAAAGTTGGTTGGATATTTGGGGAGGAAAAAAACACAATAGATGTCCCGAATTCCCTTTGGTTGATTGCAAAAAGGCTTCCCATGAAACGGCGTTTCCATTCTGGCCGCAATGGAAACGCCCACCTGAATGGAAACGCCCAACAGAAAAACTGAAGAGAGAGAGAGAGCACCCCCGATATTAAGTGGGTTCTATATCCCTTTATACCCGCTGGTTGGTGGTTTGGAACATGGCTTTTATTTTTCCATATATTGGGAATAATCATCCCAACTGACTTTCATATTTTTCAATAGCTATGTTAAATTACCAGAAGGTACCTACTATTCCCCCATTCTATCACCTAATATCAGTTGAGAGTTGCTACCGCAGGACGATGCCCAAAGAGATCTCGATGAAGCCTTGCCAGCCTTGGATCAAGCTGTTGAGTGCTTGAAGAAGCTGAAGAAGGCCATGGCTTTCTGTGTGCTTTCTCTGTTGTTTATACGTCAAAAACTATATAATTAATGATTTTAGTAGGTTCTTATGTTAATTTAACAGATTGTTTTTTTTCTCCTATGGGTTTCTCTAAGACCACATAACCGCCTTTTCTGCAGATGTTCTTTTTTTTTGGGGGTGGACCAATGGAGAAAAGGAGGGTCCTGGGGTTTTCAAGCTTCCCATCGTCAGGAACACATCCAAGAGGTGAAAGCTTTAGCCAACCCACCGGCGGGTGTGAGACTGGCCTGCGAGGGTGTGTGCATCATGTTCCATGGCCTTGGGATGGGATGGGTCCTGGGGGTGGAGAGGTCGAGATGGTGGATGGGTGAATTCTTGACCTAAGGCGTGAGAATTCCATGGTGTTGAACTTTGGTTTGGGGGCGGATCTGAAAAATCTTAAGACTGGGGTCATAGGAAATTGATCCATTTTCGTGGAAGAACTTTCACTTTGGGGTTGAAGTAGCTGAAATCCAGCGACCTCCGAAACTGCCCGGTGGTGCAGGGTTTTGAGCTGTTTCGCCCAGGTTCCAATTGAAACCTGTGAAGAAGAATGATCCCAACAATCCTTCCAAGAAGATCGAGGTGGGAACACAGCTGGCTGGTGGCCCTGGGTCGGCGATTGGATGTAGACCACCTGTGGGGATTCATGGTTCATGAAATTTTGTGCGGCATATATGTATCCCCTACTTTGAAGATTCACAAAGGATGAGAATCACAAGTTTACAGACTTTTGGCAGTTATGTGGGTAGCTATGGGTTGCTTCTGGGACATTCAAGCCCCGTCACCAACCCATCCAAAACTGGTTCACACAACTGTTTGTAAGGTTTTGTGTATATGTTTTTGTTCAAATCCTATATTGGAACGTTGCTCATGGGGCCCCCGCCCCGGGGACAACGGTTTCACCTTGAAGTTTTCAGGTCATTAGTTGGAGTTGTTCAAGCGCCATTCCCAGGACTACTGGGAGACATCACAGAAGCAGGTCCTGCTGGTGTCTTCTGGTGGGAGAGGAGATACTCCTGAACGATATTCAAGTGAAACTAGTCAATACGGCAGTACGACCCAATGTTTGACCGGTTTGACCATTCAAACCCAGGGAAAAATGGGAAAAGTTGCTGAACACCGCTATGTATGGACCATTTGTGTCCTTTTGAAATTCAACGCCACTTTAAAACAATATAAACAATCAATCTTTCATGATCATCCACGGTTTTCCCCTGGTTTTCCTGGCAGTTTTCTCCCTAAAAAATCCAAGGCTTTTCCCCAAAGTTTTGGTCCAGCCAGGTCTTGGTGGATGCGAAGAAACTCCTGGAGGATCTCATGGATTTTGATAAGGACAATATCCCCGACAAGGCCGAGGAATCCGACCAGCGAGGAAGTGGCCGACAGAAGTGGGGATATACTGTGCCGGGGTCAAGATATGATGTGAACATGTGTACTGGATATATATATATAATTATGTATATATATATATATATACATATTATATTTATATTTGTATATATATATATATTTGTACATATATATATATATATATTATATATATATATGTATATAATGTGAAGTTATATGTAAATTACATTAATACGATGTGCATTTATTCGTATACACCTCATACCTTACCAGCTCCTAGCCGCGCTACCTGTGGAGGTCATCCAGACCATCACGCCTTATATCGAGCGTGAAGATTTCGATCCCGCGGCCATCAAGAAGGCCTGTGCCCGGTCGTTGGGATCACCGGGTGATGTCCTCATGATATGGTCAAAAAAGGTGGAAATGGTGGTAGAATGCCGGTAGAATCCTGAATGGATGTTGGATATGGTGTGTTATTTTCTGGTTGTTCGAATGATTTCGAATGACATCCAATGATTCTGGGATGAATTTCCTTTTTGTTGCTGATCTCCCATGTAATAAGGAAATTCCATAACAATAAGGACATCCAATGATCATCCAATAACTGGGATTCGCCATGTAGTTTATTCCACTTTTTCTGGCCAAGTCCCAGTTATTGGATGATCCATCATGGACCATCATGGATCCCTCGGCCATCACTGCAGCTGATGTAAAACAATGATCCACTGGCGAAGTGAACCGCCAACCGCTTGTCAAAGATACGTATCATTATGTATCATTTATTGTCATTCATTGTCATTCCATGTTTGGTTTCACTCACCCCTTTCATTTCGCGGTGTTTTCTCCTTTTTTGGGAGGGCTGTTGTGGTTTTTCATGTTGGGAGCGGCGTTTTATTAGGCCTCGGTGGCCTGTGAAGCCTTGTGTCTTTGGGTTGGTGATCTCAGATGTTTGGGATGGTCGCAGGGCTGTGTTCTCTGGTTATGACTAACAGTTCGCCATGGTTTTTCGATGGCCCTAATCGAAATAGATGGTTTACCTATTAATTAATAGCATGAAAATGGTGGATCTTTCCATAGTTATGTTAGTTTACCAGAGGGTAATTTGCAAGTTTTTCTGGAAGCTTCTCACTGTGGAGATGGAGTGGTGATGCTACTGCCATGAAAGAAAGGCCGTTTCTCACTGTTGATATCTGTTGATCACTGCGGCGTAGTGGATCCCATGTTTTCAGCTAAAATTGGCAACTTCCATTTTTCCATCGCTTCTCAAACTTGAGAAGAACCTGAGTGTTCAGTTTATTCTGAACACTTCATGAATTCTCATGTTTATTCTTTACATCTACATGCAGTGTTCAGAACACATCGAGGCATGGCCCCCCATGACCCAGCCAGTCCAGCTGGGTTTCCCAGGTGCGTGCCATGTACAAGTACCACTTCGTGGCCAAGGCCGTCGAGTCCGGGCAGCCCAGACATTCACCAACAGGTGAGGTCTCCTTTGAGGATAGTGACATGTTGACCCAAATAAGATTGGATTATACCAGGAAATACCATGATAGATCAGGTTTACTTGGATATACCATAGATAGATCATATCAGGATATAACATGATATAACTTATAACATAATCTGATATATCTACCCTAAACCATCATGAAGCCTAGTGAAATGTTGGCCGTAAACCAACCTAACAGACAGGGCCATCACCTTGTGAGCGGGGCATGATATGTTCAAAGCCACCGCATAGACATAGGTGTCCAATCGCTACGGTGTTTTGGCAACCGGCTCGGACTATGGCTTACTTGTCAAGCAGTTGGCAACCATTGTCAGCAAACCCTAAGTACTGGTTTACACCTCTTGCAACTGGATTCTTACTGCACTTTTTAAAAGCACAAGGGGATGGCCACCCAAGATGCCCAAGGCAATCAATTTTGTAGAGGAGTCATAAACACAAATGCAACATCTTGCAGGAAATCCCTATACCGCCTGTACCGTACTTATAATGCTAAACAATCATCATTTCCTCCAACTTGTGCTGTCAACTGTTGCGTTTCCCCCCAAAATGAAAGAACAACACCAATGTTGAAGCAGTATTTGCTGTACATGTCTTTCCACTATAATCACATATTATAATGATATAATATAATCATCATTATACCCCCAGTATAATCATATATATATATATATGATATATATATATATATATATATACTCATCATTACAGTAAGCATTCTTCCGCACCGGCCACTTCCGGCCACCCCGAGGCCAAAGAGAAAATTGCTGAAGCAAGCGGAATCCGAGCTGGCGGAATGCCAGGAGCGTGCGAGCGATGTCGGAAAAACCTTTGGGTAGCCCAATAGCTGGATGGTTCATGGAAAATCCAAAAATTGCTGGGTCATGATGTGTATTTTTTTTAAGAAACCACTAGAGATATTGGACATTACAGTACTAGAGATTACTAGTAAATTACCGGTGATTTGTGGGTAGCTCTATTTTTTTCGAAAGCACTGGAGATTTCGTTCGCCATTTGGGTGGAATCATGGGGAAAATATATGACATAAACGGATTTCGCCTCAAAGTCTAAGAACCTCATGGTGAACCAGAATTATATCATGGGTACATTGGAAACTATCGTGACATTTGCGATGCGCAGACTACAAAAACATGGAGTGAGAAACGGAAGTTCCATGGTTTAGTAGAGAAATCACATGTTTGGAACCATACAATGGGGGTGTGGGTTCCCATTACGGAGCTGGTATTATACCATTCTTTCATATCCATCATTGTGTTATATCAAAATATCACAAAAACTCTATAGTTGATAATGGTGAATTATTACGTATAACCCATTTATATTCACCATAAGTCGGGGGGATGATATACATCATAGTTAATTATGTATATAATTATACTATATACATATACACCATAGTTAGTTGTTACTAACGACTATAGTTGATAATCAGTAACAATTAGCTATGGTGGTGGATATCCCACTAACCACTAATTAATATTACATAAACACTATAATGTGGTTAAAACAATAATAAACCATCCCCCAAATCACCATCAATAGGTGCTATAAACCATTCCCAGTCATGGGTGGTTTGTGATTGTTTTAACCACATTAAATAATATCCGAAGGAATTGCACATGAATCAATTATTGATGGAAAAATCCCAATCCCCCTAATATTTAACCACATTAGTTGATTTACCCAGCTATAAAATGGTGGATTTTTCCATAGTTATGCTAAATTACCAGAGGGTAAACCTCCATTTTCCTATGGCTTTCCCGGTAGGTTTTCCTATGATTTTCCCTACTAAACCAGTTGACTAACCATTTAGTTCGTGGATTTTCCAAATTTCCCATTAAAAAATGGTGGATCTTTCCATTGATAGTGGATTTTCCCAGCTAGAAAATTGTGGATCTTTCCATTGATAGTGGATTTTCCCATCTAAAATGGTGGATCTTTCCATAGGTTTTTTGTATGTTTACCAGTTGGCTAACCAACATTAACCAACCATCCAACCCCTTGTCCAGGAGAAGCTGGAGGCCGCTCAGTCCAGGCTTCGGGAAGTTCAGTGCCGCGGCTGAATCCGAACATCGGAAAAACACCTGGGAAAAGATCGGGAAATCCCTTATAAATGAAGGTTTGAATGGACACATTCATATAGAAATGAGGGATTTTCATGGATTTTACGGCTAGCCATGTTGAGGGTAACCAGAGAATAAGGAGATTGAGCAGAAGAAATCTGGGTTCAGCAGAACAACGGATGGTTTGCATAGGTTTCATTCATCAGACAACTTGGACTTGGGATTTTCAGCCCGTGTATATAATCCCCTCTATTACTAAACTCCCCCAAATTAAAAAAAGAAAGGATTGGTGTGGCACTTCCGTATTTTTTTTGGTTGGGCACAATTGGATTCTTAATTGTAGTAATTGAGAATCAATAGAAGAACAGGATGGTGAACCAATGCGTTCAACCCCCTATTAATAAAATAGATTGCCACCTAGAGGTTTTTTTTTATTAGGGTCCCATCTCACAAATTTAATTTTCAATTTTTATTATTAAGGTTTTCATTGGAATATTAGGGGGAAGCTTCAAAATCCAGTTGTTGGCAATATTTTATATAGATCTTAGTAAGGGATTTAATCAAATTTGAAATCGTTTTTTTTTATTATTAGGGTTTTCATTGGAGTATTAGGAGCGCCCTAATACAAAATACCCCTAAGAATAAAAATAGATCACCGTGCGTACCATGTGGGGGGGTGTTTAGTAATAGGGAGAGAGAATTATTAAGGGTTCACCATCAGAAAATCGGGGGTTGGGCAGAAACATGTGGTCTCACTCATCGAACAGCTTAGACTTGGGATGGTGTTCAGCGGCCAAAAGATGTGGGTGAATAACAAGTATACTCACATAGAATAGATGCAGGGTTAGTTACCATCTGGTTATTTAACATAGCCATGGAAAATCACCATTTATAATAGGTAAACCATCTATAAATGGGCCATTTTCCATGGCTATGTTAAATAACCAGAGGGTAACTATATTGAACTTAGTATACCCAACATGTCCCACCATCATTTTGGTGAGTTCAACTAGGCCCACCAGGGGTCGAGATAAAAGACGATGAGAGCGGAGTCCAAGCCGTCCAACGCTCAGGACGAAGATTGAAGCCTTGGAGGTGTGAGTCTTTCTTCTTGTTACCCTCTGGTAAACATACAAAAAGCTATTGAAAATGGCCATAGAAATAGTGGATTTACCCATTAAACATGGTGGATCTTTCCATAGTTATGGGACAGTTTACCAGAGGGTAAAAGATGTTAAGGGGATCCCTAAAACTTGGTCCATGAAGGGAGTTGCTGATGCTCCTGTCGCTTCTGAAAAATCTCTCGCAGGCGGAGTTCAATGCAGCTGTGCAGAAGCAGAAGGACCCTAGGGCTGAAAAATGGGAATGGATCAAAGTCACGGTAACAAAAATAGTTTGGTCTGGGTTGTTGTTTCATCGTCGTGTTAAAAAAAAAAATAATAATAATAAAACATTTTTTTTCGACATATGGGCCATGTCTCCCACAATGGGATGTAAGGGGCAATTCACACAACAATGGGTTTCTTGCTGGGGGGAGAAAGCCAGTTGGATTTGCCTGAAACAAAGGTATCCCGAAATGCGATTGCGTATCAATTATAAGCATTTTCCCATTGAAACAACCATATATTGGGAGTATCTCTTGGCAAACTGATATCGGTCATATCATATCCAATTAGTTTGTTAAATTGACATTTTCAAGATGTAAACCGTTAACCCTATATTTTTATGGCTCCCTCATCCCTAAAAGTGGCTGTTTAGGTTGTGGCCATCCCCTATGTGCAGAGCCACTGGGAGTCCTTGGCCCCCAGGAGCTCCAAGATGACATGAACCTTTGCGAGGTGAAGTTGCAACGAGCGTCGGCCCTACCCAGACTGCCAGATTTCGGATGATTTCTGCAGGATGGGGGCCCCCAGTGATAAGTACCCTACCATTATTATGGTTATAATGGGGATTATGATGGTCTATATGTTTTATATAGTTGTAAATTGGTTTATAAACTATATATAAAATATTATAATCCCCATTAACTATAGTTATATATATATATATCTACCACAAATAAACCATTGTTAAGCCACTTATAAACCAACTGAACGCTATCTTGGGGGCCCCACCCTGTGGGTGAGGCGAATGATTAGCCAATGAGAACTAAGGTAAATCTTCAGATGTTTTGTAGAGGTAAATTGCTGGTGGAAATAGATGGGCTGACCGGGGTCATAATTTGAGTCCTAAAAATGACCAAAGAGTATCAAATAGTAAGGCTTTGGTGGCGTTTGTCTTCTTCTCGTTTTTTTTTTCCCCGTTTGTTGTGTTTGGCTTCTTGTTCTTTTGGCTTTTGTGGTTTCTTGGCAGTATGCTGCAACTATCGTGCTGACAAGGAGTAAAACATCAATGAGACATGAAAAAACAAAATGATATAAGATGATAATGTTGTATAAGAGCAATGAAACTATCCAGAAATCAGCAAATTACAGATTTCAGCTCCAACATGTAGCAAATAGCAAGGACATGTGCCCCAGACTGAAAAACAAAACCACATCCCCAAAAAACGCAACAACAAGCTCCCCCCAAAACATATGCACCTATATATATATATAATATTATATAATTATATATTATACATGTTTAGACATATATATATATATACATATGTGTGTGTGTGTGTGCGTGTGTATGTATAGACGGGCATATATATATATACATATGTACATAGTAGATGTATAAACGATAATGATGATGGAATTTGATGTAGTAGTAGAAAAGTGTTCAAGAGATTACCCAGAAAGAGAAGATACTCATGATACGCAGATAATGGATAAAATAGACATAAATGCATGACAATGTATGACAGCATATAGGCTGCAATATATATATAGATATTACCCTTTGGTAATTTATTCTAGCCATGGATACCATGGACCATAGAAATAGATGATAAACCTTATTATTCACCTATTGAAAATGAAATTAAATAACCAGATGGCACGACCAATATTATTAGAGTATCATCCGTTTTCATCGGTTATCATCCAGATAATTTCGATCATCCAGTTAATAGTGTTAATATTTAGATTGTAGTATAGTTCATACCTTATAATTTGCTGCAGATATTATGACATATTTATATAATAATGATGATGATAATAATAATAACAATAATAATAATAGTAATAATAATAATAATACTAATAATAATAATAATTAATAATAATAATAAATATATATATATATACATATATATATATATACATATATATATATATGTATACATATATATATATATATACATATACATATATATATACACATGTATATATATATATATATACATATACATATATATATATATATGTATAATGACAACTACAGTATCCTGTTGGTTCTTACCTTTTTATGGTACCTGACGTCCATTGCTTCAGGCACAAACTCATCTGCGGTCTTGGAGGTGAAAAAGCCCGCTGGGGACAAAATGTGCAGGCGCTGGGTATCCCCAGAGAGACGATCAGACCTTGCTGGGGCAGGGTATTGCTGGGAAAACCATAGGAAAACCTACCGGGAAAGCCATAGGAACATTTAAAATGGAGGTTTACCCTCTGGTAAAGGTTTACATAGCGAACTGGAATATCACCATCTTTCATAGGTAAATCATAGCTATTTCTATGTGCCAAATGTTCAATGGCGAACTGTGAAATTACCAGAGGGTTAATGATCAGACCCAAGTTTGCAACAGGTTACACTCCGGACACCATTCATTGGAAACTGATCAAACGTGATCATGCGATGTCAAATCGGAAAATCGATCATCTCCTGCTTTGGGGAGGTTTGTTGCTTAATGTGTACAAGCAGGGGTAAGATCTGGCTTCGTGTCATAAATCGGGGGATTACCGCGATTTATGTTGGCCGTGGCAATGGTCAGGGGCCATTTCAGGCACCTAAATCGGAGGTAATATATTATAAGGGCTATGGTAAGGGGATACGCTTCCACAATATGCTTTCTATGGTTCAGTCCCTCCATTTTAGGATCCTGAAATCACAGCAAGATGCTTTATATGATTTAGATAGATAGATTAGATTAGATTAGAATAGATAGATAGATAGATAGTACCTTCGTTTTAAAATAGGCTCCTGAAATTTCCCATAGAAAATTGGATGATCTGCCAGGACTTGAATGCCCAACTGGGCCTCTTGCCGGGCGACTGTATCGTGGCCGCTGGCATGGTCTCCTATGTTTGGGGAACCCAGCAGGGCCCCATGGGATGAGCGCAATAATCCCACTGGGCTGTGGCATCAAAATTTCAGGGGGATGGGATGATTTGAAAAAATGTGATTTATAAGTAGACAGTTATATTAAATTATACTTACTATAGTTATTTTATTATTTTTTTTTTAGCGCCACCGAAAAGCGTGCTTTGAGGCTGGACCCTTCACCTCACAGGTGCGTGGAGAGTGTGAGGAGCTCTGGCGCAAGGAGTTGGGGGAGTTGGACATGCCACACACCAAAGGCACCCGGTTTTGTGGTGGTTTTGGGGGGGGTAGGGGATAGGATGGTTTTCCGTCGGGTTTGACATTTAGCATTATTTTTTGAAAAGGTTGGGATTTTTGATGATGGTGTATGATATATGGTGTTTTTTTGTGTTTTAATATTTTGACTGAAACAACTTTTTAAAATGGGGATATGAATGGGAGATACCCTTCAATAAAGTAACAGTTTGCTGTGGAAGCCATGACCCATTTAGGTCATTTTAATTCGATGATTTTCCGTTCTTCAAAATGGTGATTTATACCCTCTGGTAAACTAACATAGCTATTGAAAATCACCATTTTTAATGGGTAAATCAACTATGAATGGCCATTTTCAATAGCTATGTTAGTTTACCAGAGGGTAATTGTACGCGCAAACACCCTGATTCGCCCACACCCCTTTTATACCCTACCATTGGGTTGACTTTACATGCAATTAGGAAGATAATGTCCCACCCCCGTTAAACTTCTACATTCAATGGGGAAGATCAACAAGGGTATTTAGGGAATATTAAACTCCCACCCCCGTTAAACTTTACATTCAATTGGGAAGATCAACAAGGGTATTTGGGGAATATTAAACTCCCACCCCCGTTAAACTTTACATTCAATTGGGAAGATCAACAAGGGTATTTGGGGAATATTAAACTCCCACCCCCGTTAAACTTTACATTCAATTGGGAAGATCAACAAGGGTATTTGGGGAATATTAAATTCCCACCCCCGTTAAACTTCACATTCAATTGGGAAGATCAACAAAGATTGTAGGGAGTATTAAACTCCCACCCCCGTTAAACTTTACATTCAATTGGGAAGATCAACAAAGGTTTTAGAGAATATTAAACTCCCACCCCCGTTAAACTTTACATTCAATTGGGAAGATCAACAAGGGTATTTAGGGAATATTAAACTCCCACCCCCGTTAAACTTTACATTCAATTGGGAAGATCAACAACGGTATTTGGGGAATATTAAACTGATGTTGATGTTAATGTTAATGTTGTTGATGATGATGATGATGATGTTCATGTTGATGATGATGATGTTGCTGTGTAAAAGCCGCGCACAGGTCAGGGACCTGTGCGTTGAGATAAACAACTTCAAGTTACCGGTCATGCAAAAAACTCCCATTTTTACAACGTTTTCAGCACGTCGGAAGATGGCCGCCGAAAAGCGCGGGCAAATCAAGGTGTTTGGCCGTAATTGTACTATACTTTATCAGAGGATAAATCTTGGGATGTTCATTAAACTCCATGTGTTGGGGATTTACCAACCACGTTTGATGACACACCGGAGGGTGCTCGGGTTTGGACAAATATCTGGCCATGGCAGCTCCTCACCAAGAACAAAATAAGGACATGTGACCATGACAAAACTGGTTGATTTATAACGGTTTCAAAGGGTCACAGAATTCTTGTCCTAACCGTAACAGTTACCCAGTTACCCAGTTACCCAGTTACCCAATTGCAAGATAGAAACATCGGATGTGGATTTCACGATGAAAATGGTATCGATGCTGCGGCAGGTTGCAGCATGTCCACTGTGCTGGGTGATCCTGTGAAGATCCAGTGCCTCAGCGGCTTTCTGTCATGTGGATGGGTCAACTCTCCATATACACACGCATGTATTATACATGAGATATGTGTATACATAAATAACGTATATATTATGTATATATGTATATATACATGTAATTCAATAAATACATAGACAAATAAATAAATAAATGTAAATTATATTATACATTATCTACATTCTATCTACTCCCAGACTCTCCAGGATGCATAATGCCAACAAACACGTACATGTGACGTAACCTATCCTTATGTCTTATGTAGAATACCATAGAGAACGTTCATTAGAGGTCACTTCCACCCAAAAAACTCTCAAAACGTTGAGGCAATGGGTGGTGTGCTCCCTGCCCAACGATCAGCTGTCCATTGAGAACGGCATCATCATCGACCGTGCCAGGCGGTTTCTGGGCGGGAATTGACAAATATCACGGCCATTCATGGCTTGTATACCCTGCAGGATCAGTAGGTGGCTGGGTAAGAATTTTTGATTCGAACTGACTTGATATCCACTTCTCGAGATGCACCAAACAAAGATCCCGATCTCCAATGACGCAGCCCCATTTCGGTGGAAACAACCCGTGCGACTGGTGGCAATGGGGGCAATGGGGGCCTGGGAGCGACATGGGGTCCCAGAATTCTGGGAGGAAGTTCCGGTGGAGAATTCCATGACCATCCCTAACTATGGCCCTCTCAAAACTTGTAGATTTTGTAGCCAAAATCGGGATTGAACGGTGAGGGAGAGGGAGAAAGAGAGAAAGAAAGAGAGAGAGTGAGTAAGTGAGTGAGTAAGTGAGTGAGTGAGTGGGTGGGTGAGGAGACATAGAGGAAGCAAGAGGAATCCAATAGCTTTGGGGCATACCGCTGCATACACAGCTGGTTGAGCTGACAGGCGATGGCCCCTGATGATCGATCCGCAACGACAAGCCAACAAGTACATCAAGAACATGGGAAAGGCACAGCCATGCTGTTTGTTGATTCAATGATGTTAGAAACCTCATGTTTTCTGATGTTTTTTTTGCTTCAGATCTGAATCTTTCCCGATGTTCTGGTTGATGTTTTTGTTTTTTCCTTTGCTGCTTGTTGGTTTGGTGATGTTTGATGCTGGTTGTTAGCATCACGTTGGAGCATCATGAAACCTCCTGCCCTCACCTTCGCCGTCAGCACCGCATCGGGACCGCCATCATCTCATGTTCCCATTTGATCACATTTGGGGATGGATCAATACCTACATGTATACATATATATATAATTATATATATATATATATAAGTAAAAGTAAACATATATATATATATATATGTGTGTGTGTTTAGCGGCAGAATTAACATCCAATTAATGTATGAGTCTTATGGGGGCCAACATCAATTTCCCACCCAAGGATTTCCCATGGCCTTTTCGGAATATATTGGAATCCAGGACACCGAAACCGGCATCGACGTGTGCAAGCTCAGCGAGAAGAATTTCCTGAGAACGTGAGCGCCTCAGAACGGCCAAGAGACAAATCTTGGTACGGTAATGTTGAAGTCTATTCACTGATTACCCTCTGGTAAACTAACATATCTATGGAAAGTCACCATTTTCAATGGGAAAATCCACTATAAATGGTCATGTTCAATAGCTATGTTAGTTTACCAGAGGGTAAATTTAACTGTTCATAACTGAGTGAAGGTTCATTATTCACTATCATAACTATTAAATATACTGGTTCATGTTCAATATTTGCCTAAATACTTCTGGTAAGTATTAAATGGTTACTGTATTGTTATGCTTAAGTACCTGTAAATTTCGGTACAAAGTGGGGCCCCCAAACGATAGCTAAGTTGGTGCACATAACTCCAATAACTATGGTTTATGGTACCTATAACTATAGTATTCATGGGGTTTATAAACCATCCAACATCACTGGGGGGCCCCACATTGTAAGTAACCATGAATTTCCATGGTCCATTGAGCCAGACTTTTTGCTCAGATTGGAGTTGGGCATCCAGTTTGGAAAGTGGATCTTGTCGTGTCCTCAGGTGGTTTTGACATCCGCCCCCCATTCAAAAGTGGAAGAGTCTCCATCAATACCCTCTGGTAAACTAACATAGCTATTGAAATTGACCATTTATAGTGGATTTACCCATTGAAAATGGTGATTTTCCATAGCTATGTTAGTTTACCAGAGGGTAACCATGGTAGATGTGATTGGAAGACATTTTGTTGGGATGAAATCAGATGTTCGGGAACATGTCATGTTTTATGGCATGTTTCAGATGTTTTGTTCTGGGCGAATGGGGTAAAAAATTCTTGGTGATGATGGATGGGACAAGACAGCGACGGGTTGTTGGATCATTCGATGTTGCTTCATTGATTTGCAACGGCCTTGGAGGACTCGTGCCAAGGTTGTCCCAAGTTCGGTGACACATCAGCTCCACCTACGCTGCACATATAAACATGTGTAATTATATATATACCCCATAAATATTATATGTATGTATATTATTTTCTCTATATTATATACCTATATATATATATATGTATTCATTCATTCATTCATTCATATGCACATGAGAGTGCTTATGCATTCCATTGTTATTATCTGACCTGGGTGACCTGGCGGGACCGTTTTTGTCACTGGGGTCACTGGGGTCACAGGTTGGAGAACATTGGAATCAACTTGGACCCAGCCTTGGAGCCGGTTCTGGGACAGCAGAAGATCAAGGATGGCTGGGTTGGGTTGTCCAGCTCTATATGTCCTATGAATTATTGTAAATGGTGAAGTCGAAAGAACAGCTATCAACCAGTTAGAAAGTGGGATGATTTCGTTTTTGTAACCATACATTTCCATGATCGAAAAGGAATATGAATGACTGTGACACCGCTTCACATAGAATTTCTGGGGGCGGGAGCAGGATATGTGTCCATCCGGGAAGCTTGAGTGATCTTGAGTGAACCTGTCGTAGAAGGCTGTCTTTGGACGGTCGCTATCTTCCCACACATTGGCTTGCAAAGACCTTACTGAGATAAGGTGTCCCCAAGAGATTTGCACCTGAAACAGGGGTCCTTAATTTGATGGGCCTTACATATCCCAAATTGTTGTTGGTCAAACCATGTCAACCCACCAGAAGTTTTTGTTCTTCTCCAGACGAAGTATAAGAAACTAAGAAATAACCCGAAAGTCGTTGCAATGCTTAACCCAACCATCCCAACCTCTATATTCCGAATATATGGTGCGAAATATTGTTTCCTATGGTTTCCTGAAGGCTTTCTCTTGGGAGTCTGAGAGAACTGCTTCAGCCTTGGTCAAAAAAGGTGGGCACCTGGCCGACTGGCTATGGCTTGGCGGCCGGCAGGACGGATCTGGGTATGTCATCAAGCTGGGCGACAAGTCGGTGACATATACCGATCCACGGCTTCTTTAAACGGTCTCTGGCTGGTGGTTACACTCTGGTAAACTAACATAACTATAGAAAATCACCATTTGGAACAGGCGAATCAATTATAAATGGGCTATGTTCAATAGCTATGTTAGTTTACCAGAGGGTAGTTCAATACACTCCCCAACAAAAATCGGCACCGAAAAATGAAAAGGGCCCATTGGAGAATTTTGGGACAAAGGGCAAAGGGATTGAAACTTGCTGCCCACCCCAACGAATGAAGATGAAAGCCCAAGAATAGGGTCGCAAAATGGTGAAAACTGCTGAAATTTGGCCTTGGTCCGAGATGTGGGAATCATAAGCCATGAGAGGGGATGGACATCCATGGGAAATCGTGGTTACAATATATATATATATAGAATTGTATATAATAATATATACATATGATTATATATTTTTTTCAAAGCAATGTCATTGTCATCAAGATGCGCTTCCCAGAGCATCTCATTTTGAGCCGTGCCCATGTGGCCAGTTGCGAGAAGCAGAAATTGGTTTTGATCCAAGGAAGCAAGATCACCTTTCCACCGGTCAGCCATGTTAGGTGGCAGCACTGCTTGTAGAAGTCCTGGGTCGATTGCCATTAAGGGACATACAATATCATACAATGTTAGAAGGTAGAAACCGAAATGATTCCGTGTCTTGCTAGCTGCTAGCTTTAACTGGCTCAACCTTGGTTATATAGATACTTTAGTAACTATAGTACTTTATTTTTGTTGCTACCAATGGTAAGATTTGGTAAGATGTACTAAGCAACTAGATATGTTTTTTTTTGTTGTTGGCAGATATCTAAGATTCACTATGACGATGTGTTTTGACATGCACTTTAGGTATGGTCCTGGGATTCCAGAGGTAGACTTTCAGTTAGTTGCGGAAAGCATCAAGACATCACATTCTTCAAGTTGAGAAGGTGTTGACTACAAAGTCACATAGAAATGATGACAATATATATATATATATATTATTACATATGTATATATATATATAGTTTACACACATATATAATTACATATCTATATATTATTATATATATATATTGTAATTACAGTATATATGTTTGTGTGGTTATATATATAATCATGTTTATTTAGTTATACACATATACTAAATTAACATATGATATATGTCAGCTAGCAGCTGTGTTCTTTCAGTTGAGCAGACTCTGCACTACTCTTGCCCCAAAGGTGGTTTCACAACCCCCTTGACGGGCAAGATTCAATCGGCGCATTGAGGAAACCTTCAAGTTCTTCATGACCACCACACTTCCCAATCCGCACTACTCGCCTGGAATCTCAAAGTGGGATTTGTCGACATGTCGGGTAGGCCCTGGCCGTGTGAAAATGGGGATGTCTTAAAATGGGGGATCCCCAAAACCATGTTGTTTTAATAGTAAAGTGGTCTAATTTTGGATGATTTGGGGTACTACCCCATTTTAGGAACCCCCAAATGGTTCAAGTATGTTCAAGTTGTTGTCTTTACTAACTTGCTCCTGAGTTGGAATGGTTATCCTCGTCAACTGATTGTGAGCTGCCTTAAAGCAACTGACCGGAGACATGATAGACATGGTCGTTGCCGGTAGTTTTTTCAGAAGTGTCACGAAAAAAATGTGCATCATTTTTTTGGCCCCCTTTAAAATGACATGGTCAGTTTTTTATTGGTTGAAATCACCGACCAAGCCCTGAGTTGTTGAAATCACCTTTGCAGTTTCCATCAGTGTCCATTGATCCAACAGACACAACTCCCGTTGAGCCAACGAAGGCCTGAAACTTCCGTGAAGGTCACATTGTGACCTGGATGCGGCGAGGGGCCAGGGTGGAGAGGGCGTGACAAAGGCCATCTTGATTTTTTTTGGATGATCAGCCTGTTCCAAGCCAGTTCTGCTGGGGATGTTGTCAATTTGTGGTGCAAAAAAGGGGCTCAAGGTGTGATACCCTTGGTAGTTACAACATGAATCGAAATACATGTGCCTATAAATTTATTGAATATAGCATACTGCTATTCAATGGACTGGCTCAATGAGAAAAATGCGAGGAGGTCTCCTGCACTTGATGGTTAAACCATGGTTTCCGGCAGATGGTCCCTTAAATCATTTCAAGAATGGGACAGTAATCCCCACATAAGATCACTTTAAGCCGTAAAGCCCATGACTGTTTGATGGTCAAACCCATTTGTTCATGGGATGTTATACTTGGGGGCTGCAAGTAAATGGGTTAAGTATGCCCCCAGTTGTATATGGAATATCCCTACTTGTGTATTGGATTGTATGGGATATATTTGGATTATAAACCACTTAATCACTAGTTATATCATAATATATACATATATATATGGTTTTCACTTCATCACCACTTAATCACTAGTTATATAGTTATGGATTATGGATTATATATATGTGGGTTAAAACCCACTAACCCACACAAACCCACACTAACCCAAGGCACCTCGCCAGTTCTGCAGGTTGAACTTTGCCATCACGCCAAGCGGGCTGGAGGACGACGTTGGTCAAAGCTATCGCGACCCAAAGAATGAGAAGTCCAATCCATAGGTTTTAATGGGAAAACCATAGGAAAACCTTAGGGAAACACATAGGGAAATGGAGGTTTACCCTCTGGTAAACTAACATAACTATGGACAATCACCATGTTTAATAGGTAAATCAACTATAATAGCCATGTTCAATAGCTATGTTAGTTTACCAGAGGGTAACATAGTGGTGAAATGCGATGAATAACGTTGCTATAAATTTGGGCAGATGACTAAGTTTAATAATATATATAGAGAGAGAGAGAGTGAGAGAGAGATTTGATGATGCTTGAATTCGTTCTGGATGAAAATGGATCACTGATCACGACATTACGTCGTGGACGTCACTGTAAATAGTTAATAGTTATGAGTTGTGATGTTGGTGAATTCTTCTAACTCAACCAGATCCCTGTCTCATACAGAGAGATGGCCATGAATGGCTAGACACCTTTCTGTGTCATCGCATGAATATATGGCTTTGTCTGGCAAAAACTATCAAAAACTGGTACCCCAAAAAAAGATGTGGTTGCTGATTATTTTCCCTATTGTGTAGCCCATTTTATAGGTGGCTTCGTTTCTGCATTGCTTTCGCCCATGTTCTTCCAATCCCAGTGCCGCCAGGATCAGATGTTGGGTATTGTGGTGGCCAAAGAACGTGGGGGAACACATGGGGATTCCTGCTGAGCAGATCGCTTGGGTTGGCCTCAAGGGGGGTGCTACAAAATGGATTAGCCTCTGGTAATGACTAACATAGCGAACTGGAAAGATCCACCATTTTTAATGGGAAAATCCACTATAAATAGCCATTTTCAATAGCTATTTTGACATAACCAGAGGGTAAGATGCTGTTTGTTTTGTGGGGGGAATGGTGAGAAACGATGAGATTTTTTGGGGTACTCCATGTGTGACAACCCCACATGCGAAGCAGAGACAGATGGGCACACATGAGGTGCCGGATTTTGACTCATAACCAGGTGATAGAAAGAGTGACAGGCACATGGAATCGCATGGATGGATAGATAGTTTGTAAGGTTGTACAATGTAAACTTGATAGTAGGAGCAGGGTCGATAGGAAGCTTGATAGTAATTCCAAGATTGCTGGATGATAAGCTACAAATGTGCTGTGAGTAGTCTGAGCCCGGTTGTTTTAAAGTTTGGCGCTACAGAGTATTGAGTATTGGGATAGAGATCCTTAAAGCCTTAAGCATGCAGTTATTTTATGGTATGACTCATGGTATGACTCATGGTATGACTCATGGCATCTCCAAACCATTAAATTTCCACATCTCCACAGCTCCATAGTTTTTTAGACTTGGCACCTGGCAGTCCTGGCTGAGGGCCCGACCTGGAAGAAGAGAAGAACAATTTGGTGGTGCAAAATGCCAAGAACAACAAAATTCTCAAAGATATCGAGGACTATGGGATCGATGGGAATCGGATGGAATCGAGCTGTCTGGAGAATGTTTTCTGATGGATTTCAAGTGGAGATGGTGATGCCGGGTGAGATGTGATGGCATGGTGGCTGGGGGATACAAAAGAGGATACCTCTGATGTCATGTTCTGGGGGTTTTGAGGTATTTTTCCATTGGTTTCAAAAGCAAAGACAGACAGGGAGATACGTCCACCATAAAGCCAATAGTTAGCCTAGTCATGAACCAACTTGGCTATCACAAATCCAAGTCATCAAGGCACATTTTGAGTGGTTGGCCTAGGGTAAACGTTAAAAAATAGATGTGTGGTTGACCCATGGAAACTCCATAAGAAAATGATCGACAAATGGTAAGTTTCCCACATCTTTCTGTGAGTTTACAGGAGGGTAAATCCCAATACCCTCTGGTAAACTATATAACATAGCTATTGAAAATTGCCATTTATAGTGGAATTATCCATTAAAAATGGTGATTTTCCATAGTCATGTTAGTTTACCAGAGGGTATATCCAACTGTCCCTGGGGTAAATCCCATCTTTTCTTTGCCGTCCGATCTGGGGTATGGCGATGTCAGGATGATATCCTGCGGTTGTTGGCGACCAGCGAAGGAGATGTGCTGGAGGATGATACCCTGGTGGACAAGGTGTGGAATGGATGGAGGTAGCACAAAAAATTGGAGTTAACCATAGTTGTATCTAAGGGGGGTTAATTAACCAAAAATAGCCATACAATGGTCCTGCATGGCCCTACTAACTTTAAACAAATGTGATTAATGGGTTATAATGTGGTTGCATGGTGATGTATATCATATTCTATCATGGGGTAAAATGTGATAATCTACCAATTTTGGTGAAAGGGTGATTGGTTTGCCAAGATACCACTTAGTAAAGTTTTTGTTGAAACATGGGACTTTAGAACCATAGAACCTAACATTAAACACTCCCCAAAGTGGTCCTATGTTTCCAAGTTCCGTACTAAGTCATGGTTTCTGGGTGTTTAACCCTGTAGCCTTTGGTAGTTTAGCATAGTCATGGTGAATTACTTGTCTGATCCTATTTGCAGATGATCTACCAGCTATCTTAAACATGGCCATGTTATAATCTTAAAACTAGCAGGCCGTAATACCAGTACTTTATATAACCTATTGATACCTATCGCGGCTTTTGCGATTTAAACGATGCCATATGGACCTAACCAGCATGTTCTTGCGGGGTATCTTAAGATTGGCCATGTTACCTTGAAGCATGAGCTGGGTTGGTGTCACTCCCGAACTCAGCGGATCATCCATATATCATCCCATAATTACCATCCATATACCCATTACATCCCATTACTTCATCAATATTTATATTTTTTTATATTTATGAACCATATACCATCCATATAGCCATTATAATTACCATCCATAATTACCATTAATAATTACCATCCATATATCCATTATGATACGTATCTCCGTTATCATGTAGTTACAGCTGTGAGATAATGTCACAACAGGTCGAGCTGCAACCCGCAACAGGTCACCGATTCCAAAGCCGTGTCGGATGACATCAACGAGAAGAAGAAGGTGGCTGAGGTGCAAAAAACCGTTGTGGCTGGATGGCAGGATGTGGAGGTTTCCAATAGGGATACCCCAAATCATCGAAATTTGATGAAATTTGAGCATTTGAATTTTTAGGAGTGAACCCATGTTTTTGGAATGGTTTTGGGACATAAACCATGTTCGGAAACACCCATATGGATCCATATGGCAGGAGATGGACTGATCAAATGATACAAATATTTAGTGTACATACAGTTTCACCGGCTCTGGTTTCTGACATTTTCGCACCCATCGATATAGGCTATAGGTCTGGAAGTTGATCGATGCCGGTCGCGAAAGAAGCATCATGGAGAACCCTTGGGCAACTCTGCCCGCTGCTCTAGCCCTTCAAGGCACACAGATTGTAATGAGGTAAGCCCTAAAAATTACATCCCAGGGGAGAATTTGTCCCCGGTTGACTCCTTGTTTCAACTTGGTTCCCCAGGGAAAGCGGTGACAATGTTGAGAACTTGTGTTGGTGCATCTTCAAAGCCTGCGTTGGGTCATTTTTACCCTTGTCTCATCATGGATACAGTAGTGTACAAGGCTATAGCTCAAAATGTGTGTCTCAACAAAGGATGGTTTCAGAATGTTTCATATGTTTTGTTCAATGTTTTTCATCATTTTCAATACTTACCGTTTTTGTGGGGGAAGCGACCCATATGGCTGATGTGACATCAGCATCGGGCGGGATGATGGTTCGCCAGGTGACGGAAAAGAACATCGACACGGCCCGCGAGAGTTATCGACCGGTGGCCTTCCGAAGCTCGGTTTGGATGGTGGATGTGGTGGATGATGGATTTCCCCGAAGGAAATGCAGCAGTGAATTGCTTCAACTACCCTCAGGTGATTTAACAGTTCACTATTGAACATGGCTCATGTATAGTTGATGTTCCCATTCAAAAAGGGGAGTTTCCATAGTTTTTTGTATGTTTACCAGCGGGTATCTTCAACTGATGGGCCTGATGGGTAAATATGGGTTGATCAACTGATGGGTCAACTGTGGTGATATCATTGATATCCTGGGCATCTCAGGAACAACTGAGGAAATCTTTCCCTCAGACCTCAGCAGCTCAGGCACTGCAGTGCTGTTCTTTTGCATTGTGGAACTGACCAACATCGACCCCATGTATCAGCATCAGGGCTGCCAAGAGCTAGGGCTGCTAGTGGGGGTTCCTGTAACTTGTTCCTTCGTCCACTTGCTGGACTCTGGGGATTATATGGGGCGGCAAAAAAGACGTATACCTTATATCTGGGAGCGAAGCCCACCATTGCAACGGATAGGAATATGGGCCACGGGATGAACTGGTCCAGATACTATAAGGTGATGATAGGTGAGACAGATTATGATTTTATATTTCAGTGAGTTGATTGCTTATTAGCAAATTGGTACACAGCAACTGGCGCGTTGCGCCCTTTCTCCTACCTGGGAGCCCCAAAAGATAGAACACTGAACCACCAGTAGAGACTCACAGACTGTCATTTGTTTCATTCCATGTCACTACAGTAGATCTCACCACTAGAAACTGAGCTAGACCGTCACATACATAACATATCATAACATATCACATTATACAACCGCCAAACTTCCCTAAACCAAATAGATCCAAATAGACAGCGGATCATCAGTTTCATACACCCCCCCCATTCACCCTCCATTCACGCTTTGACAACGGCCCAGGTATAGCCTCCAGTGGTTCCAGAAGCTCTTCACCATCGCGATCGACACCTCACCCAAGGCTGAGGACTTGGACGAACGCCTCTCGGCAGCCAAGTCGTCAAGAGAAATCCGCGCCCTCCGGCAGTTCAGTCTGATTTAAGGAACACAACTGGGCTGTTGAATTGACTGGCAAGCAACGAAAAGATCAGCAGTTTGAAGCCTTGAAGATCTTTGGAGCATATTGAAGATGATTGACTGGTTGGTGGTTTGGAACAGGGCTTCGAGTTGGGAATGTCATCATCCCAACTGACGAACTCACTCCATCATTTTTCAGAGGGGTAGGTCAACCACCAACCAGTTGAAGCATTGTATAGCCAGTAGAGCCCCTTGATGCCAAGGGTTGGGCATCTTGAAGAGTTTCTTCACCGAACAGCTCTACCAGTCGATTTGCCGCGGACTTTTTGAGAAGGACCTGGGACCATTTGGGACCTGGGCCGGTGCCGGGCCCGCGGTACCAGCATAGGATCAGAAGGGTGAGTTGAACTCAGATGAAAATCCATCATTTGATTAATGTTATGAGAATTTGTTTGGTAGAGACTAGGATGTTGAACATGAATGGTTTGTTGCATTTTTTTGCAAGATCTGATGTTTGGATTGGATTAGCACTTCTCATTTGCAGATTTGTTGCATTGGATTTGCAGCATGTTCTGCTGAATCGTGGAATTGCATGGTTTAAAAAGTTGCCTGGTACTGGTCATTCAGCAATGGCCGGGTTGCACCGGTTGAAGGGGAATTTCAGCTAACGTTGTATATTGAGTATATTATATTGCTATAGTAGTTGAATTTGCTATAAATAGTATTAGTTAAAATATAATATGTATACAATTATATATATATATATGTGTGTGTGTGTTTTTAACTCATTAAACTATGCTAACGTAGGAATGTCATTATTTTTTTTCTGGTGGTTGACGTATCAAGCAATCTCGGTGCTATTTTTAGTGTCCACTACGCCGTTCGCGTGACCAAACATTGGAGTGTTCAAAATACAAAGCTGATGCAACCATGCCACGGGTTGTCTCAAACAACAGGCTACCCCATTCCATCCACTTAGTCATCATTGTTTTGCCCAGATGGAATGGGGATGAATGGGGTAGCCTATTTTCCTCCCAAAAAAAAAACATTATGCCATATGATTATCGCCAATTTCCACTGTATATCATATTTGCCCAGGAAAAAAAACACCTATTGTAGTCCGTGATTAAAGGAAAATCGATCGGAAACAATGGCTTTTACCACCAACTCTAGGGGTGTTCAGATTTTCTAATTCTGGGATGTAGCCATGCAGAATCTCAGACGCCTTGGCCTTGAGGACAAGACCTTGTTCTCCTTCGCCCTCTGCACCAGCATTCTGAGAGGTGAGTTTGTCGTGGATCTTCATGGGCGAAGCAATACGGTTTTTGTTATTCGGAAACCTTGGAATTGGGAGTTTTGGTATCTTCATGTTTAGGGAAAACAACAGGGGATGCTTGGCCAATATAGCAGGATATAGCGGGATGATGCAGGATATTTGAGCTTGGCCAATCTTGGCCATGGGGCCATGATGTTTATGCCAATCCATGTGTTTTTCACGTGTGGTATATTTGGGCATTTTAATATTGGCGCACACATGTGCATATACAGCGCATCCGTGGCATGGCATGTAATCTATGTGCAATTTATCAATGCATTTTTTGCGGTGTGTTGTATACATCAATAATTACATCAGGACATCCAGATATACTGTATCACATATATTTCATGTTTTCATGTTTCATATGCATTGCATTGCATTGCATTGCATTACATTACCTATGTAACATATACTTTGCACATGACTATATCATTGAATTGTTTGTTACATTCATAGATGTTCATGTGTTTTGCACTACGCAGACCATTTTTTTTGCTCCGCGTGTGTGGGTTCCAGCCCTGACCTCAGGTGACAAGATGATGGATGACACGGAGCTACGTTTCCTGCTGGTGCCATAGAGATCCAGAGATCCACCATTCGAGTTGTTGGGTGCGATTCAAAATGCCCCGAAGGTTGCTAGCATCATCGAATTGTGCCACATGTTGCGGCCAGATTTTGGTTCAACATGTTCTTGAAGTCTAGTTTTGGTAGTTGACTGGGTCCGTCTCAGTTCTTGATGGGTTAAACCCCAAAAAAGTTGGCTACGCAATTCTTCTACAATCAGATAAAGCAGCTGAAGGTGTCACACATGTTTTTTTCACCGCAGGTGGGTCCAACCTCAGACATGGTCGAGAAGGGTCCTCATGTACCAGAGGACTGGGTGGGCAAGCAGCGCTGCTTGGCACTGAACAAATTGGTGAAGGAAACAACTATATAGTTTGGAGGCTAACATTCCAATTCTTGGGTGGGTTGAGCTGGTAATCCATGTTTTTTCTGGCTTAAGATCAAGTGGAAATTTCATCAATGGGCGGCTAAGTGACTAAGAACGAACAAATCTAATTACCAGTCACTATGTTTTGGTAATGCAAATGTTGGACATGAGCATACATGAGCCATTTTCCAGAGGATGCTGCAGGAGGTTGGAAGGGCGACTTCCTGTGGTCCAACTCCCAGGGTCCCAGGGTTCCTCAACATCTCATTCATGGTTCAATGGGTCGGTTTTGTTGGGAACATCGTAACCGGAATCCATCGTTTTTGGCACCCTATTTTATTGGGGTTTCCTGAAGATTTTCCCTAAAACCAATCCATTCTGAATTGTCAAAAACATCTCAACTGTTACCCCCCATCATAAATTATCATAAATTGCCATATATGCTGGTTAAGTAAATCTCTCCATTTCGCTAAAAATCCCATGGTTTTCCAACTGGAAAGGTTGGAATGAAATCCTCACGCTGAACACCCTCCCAGCCTTTAGCGGATTTGCAGAGCCTCGGCGGATCTTGGTTTTCGTGGTGAAACCAGCCGAGGTTCAGAGAAGTTCTTCGGTCTTACCAACGTAAATGGAGGTTATAACTGTATAGAACTCTTATTGTAACAGTTAACATTATGTAACATTATGTAACATTATGTAACATTATGTAACATTATGTAACATTATGCAACATTATGTAACTATAGAATGCTGGCTGAAACACTGACACACTGTTTCTGAGGTGCCGGGCCAATGAATAGGATTTGGGAATCATCCCAAAATGACGTTATTTCAAGTGGGTGGACTAATGTCAATTAGTACACATTTGCCACGTGTTTTGGAACACAAGCTTTGGGCCCCCAAGCCCACCATGCCAGTGATAGAAACACGTAATGATCAACAATTTGACCGGGCCGCTGCCCAGCTGTCGCTCCCTTCTTAAGGACTACTTCGCTACCAACACAGCGGAGTTTAAACGCAGCTTGGCATCAATGCATTATCAGAGACGGTGAAAGATGTGTGAGACACCCAGATGACCTGTGCTGACGAGTTTTCTTCCAACAAAGTCAGAGTTTTCAGCACGTTGTTTTGAGATCAAGTGCATTCAATCAATATTGCTCAGTAACACATAACACCCCCCCGAAAACCCAATAATATCACAAGCATATAATTAAAAATATTCAAGGACTAATACCACCCTGTGGATGCTATTGGAAGCCTAAACCATACTCTCAAAGCGGATTTGGATTCCTCACACGTTTGAAACCCAAAATATCCAAAATTAAATTAGACAACTCTAGCCTTGAAACCAGGGAAATTCATGGAATTTCATGGAAATTCATGGAAATTCGGCATTTTGGGAAACCATTCGCATTCCGCGATTTTTGCATTTCATTGGCAGGCTATTCATGTCTGGAGTGTCATCAGCCGAGGCATCTACGATTCGGTGGAGGCGGACAAAGAGCCCCTCCCGGGACCGTGGGAGGAGTTGCTTGCCGATGTTATCGTGGGTGAACCAGGGCAACCCTCTTTGGCAATTTCACAGTTCGCTATTGAAAATGGCACATAGATATAGTCTGGTTGGTGGTTTCAAACATTTTTTTCCATAATATATGGGATATTTTGTCCCATTGACTTTCACATTTTTCAAGATGGGGTTGAAACCACCAACCAGTAGTTGATTATCCTATTAAAGATGGTGATTTTCCAGTTCGCTATGTCAGTTTGACCTGAGGGTACGGATGGAGAATCCCAATGTTTGTTGGGTGCAGAACAGTAGCATCGAAAAGGGATGAACGTGGAACATGAGTTCAAACAAATACTGTACTGGTTGGTGGTTTGGAGCATTTTTTATTTGTCCATTCAGTTTGGAATAATAATCCCAACTGACTTTCATATTTTTCAGAGGGGTTGAAAGCACCAACCAGAATAAAAGTACTTATCCAAATCATAACATTCAAAACCAAAGAAGAAACAACTCATAAATTAAGCAAGAAACACACTTTGAAACTAACGTGGGACATGGAACCCAAAACACTTGGCTCTAAGGGAAGGTGAAAAGGTATATGGAACTTGCCATTTCAATCGTACATGGTAACGGGGTGACAAAAGCTCACATGCTTCTGGCATTTAATGGTAAAAATCACAAGCGTTTAGCAGTTTGATGTAATATGAAGGGATAGGCTGCCCCACTAGGTGTTGGTCAGTGACAAATACCCTTCTCAAGTGGGCTGCATATATGGCTGGCTGGTTGGTTTCATGTGACGTTTCCCACCAACCAAGGAGATCGTTGGGATGATTAATGGTTATTAATCCCAAATGACAAGTGGCTACTTATACTATATATATATACATGTTAGTTGTTAGTTTTTAGATGTCTTCAGAATGGCTTGAAATTGCCCAGCTCAACCAATGGATATGGTGACGATATGTGGTGCCCAATGGGGCCCAGTGCTTTGCAATGCCGGGATTCCGTCAGGGCAGCTCCATCGATGTCCTGAGGAAGCTGACGCCCCTGCAGAAGATTTGCTTCATTCGAGCCATGCGCATTGACTGTTTGAAGGCCATGTGAATACCCTTTCTGGGCTGGTTATGGCTGGTTTCTGGCTTGGAATGTTTGGACCCCAAACCAGCACAGGACACCCCAAACATATCCTTTCATATTTTATGATATGAAAAATGTCCGTGCCCCGGAAAGGGCAGCACTTGAATCAGAGCATTCCCAGCATTCAGCCAGAGATTTGAACTTCCAAAGATTTCCACAGATAGCTGAAAAGTACCCTTTGGTAAACTAACATAACTATGCGAAATCACATTTTTTAATGGGAAAACTCACTATAAATGGCCATTTTCAATAGCTATGTTAAATTACCAGAGGGTATCTGAAAGGTCTTCACAGGCTTGCCAAAAAAGAAGCGGTTTCTTTCGCATCATTTGCCGTTCATCTCCAGGCTGCTCTGATCACGTTCATCTCCAAGCAGATCGGTCATAAGTTTGTGGAGCCACCCACTTTCGACATCAGCAAGTCCTTTGCCGATTCGGCTCCTTGGCATGTCACGTGTGGATCGCTCCTTGATGCTTCCTGAAATGTTTTCTTCTGCAGCAGAAGTGGCTTTTCACTTCTTCTTGTTCTCCATGGTTCCCGGATGTTCCATACATCTCCACCCTTCATGATTTCATATAATCCTCTCAGGTCCTCTCTATATATGATCCAAGATCATCCCGCTATCTTCCACTCTTAGTTCAGCATGTTTCACATGTTTTTTCCCAGCAGCCATCCTTGGGTATACATCTTTCATTAATCAATCGTTCGAAGCAGCACTCGGGTCGCATCCAATCCCAGATGCTCCATGTATGTAATAAACTTACCTACATATTTACCCCTTAAAAATGGCTCAGTTATGTAGGTCAATATTCCAGCATATTCCAGCACCATGGGTTGCATCTGGGAATGGCAATGATAAGAATCAGCAGGTGAACACCACCCCCTTGATCTTCATCCTGTCGCCCGGCACGGATCCGGTCTCCGATGTCATCGCCTTCGCAGACAAGTGCCCTGGTCATCGCCTGGTCATCCACCTGGGGGGAAGCCAAGGGGAATGGAAGTACTGAGCGATGGGATTTTTGTTTGGAAAGATCATTATAGAAGCTCTCAAAAAAAAGATAGAATAGTCAAATCATGTCAAATCCTACACTTTGTTCTTATCATACATGGAATATTGATGAACTACTGTTCTTGGGGGAGGAGGCTACATTTCTATAGCGTTTCGATAAAATGGCCAGGCTGGGAATGCTGAAACGTTTCGAGTCCATCTCCTTGGGCCAGGGACAAGGTCCCAAGGTGCGACGTTGATGATTTTTCACTTGGGATAATACTGAGATGCATCAGGCTGATTTGTTCAATGGATTGGTTTAAGGGAAAATTTACAGGAAAGCCTTACCATCGGCGTTGGCCTCTTTATTTGGGCCTTTCTGTTTTCTGGTGTTTGGACCCAGGAACTATTCGCAGATTCCCAGGAACTATTTGCAAAGTTCCAGGAACTATTTTAAAAAACATGCGTTATATTGAGGGGAGTTAGCGAGGGAAATATGACGATGAGTTAGCACAGGCGAGCTAAAGGGAAAACAGCAACACAACACTAAAATGCCCTTAAGTGCTGAGTCTAACTGATTTCAGCTTACCAGTGCGTCCCTATTGTGGGTATATGGAAATGACAGTACTCATGAGTTATGGTATGGGATACGTGCATCCATAACATGCCAACATGTTGCCTTGCTAAACTTGGGAATCTCGTGTGGAAACAAGCGCCTCGGGCATAAAAATACCTCTTTGATTTGATAAATCAATCGGCCAATCATATCAAGAGCCATGTCAAATATACCAGAACCAAAAAAATATGGTTCAATGAGCCAACGAAGAAAAAACAGTACCAGCCGGTTTTGGTGTATCATTCAGCGGAAAAGATGCAAAACGCAATAAAATCATTTCCAGCCTTACTGAGCCATGGAAACCAATCAGGCCAAAAAAGAAAAAACAATTCACCCCCGGGCCGCCCAGAAGAAAACGCGGTGAATCAAAGTTCGCAGGAGCAAAAGCCACAGCGCACCCAGCCCAAGCTAACGCGTTGGACAAACTTCACCAGCACCAGCACCACCAGCACCACCGCCACCACCAGCAGTTCCAGAAAGGAAAGCACGCCCCAAAGTGTAGGCCCAAGCGCAAAAAACCACCACCCGTGCCAAAAAGCCAAGCAAACCCCAATCTGAGACCCAAAACAAACAGCGTTCCGTGTCCTGGGGAATGTAGCTAGTTTTACGGTATGTCGACTGCAACTGAATGTACTGTATATAATTTGTTTTCAGTTTTATGTCATGAGCCTTGTCATGAATCAAGTCAGTTCAAGTTCCAAAGATTATGATACCCTATCGTATCCCATCTCACAATCCTAGGCAGCAGCGTACCAAAAGGGCGGCCATGCAAATGGTGAACTTGATTGAAGGCTGTGGTGGTGCTGGCAAAGGAACCTAATATGTCCTCCAGCCACTCTCGTACCACAAATTGCGTCATTCGTCATGTCCGTGAGACTTTTGACAGTTTACTGACTGTTTGCCTCTGTTTAAATGCAACTCCGCGGCGCGAAGTTGAACTATGTTGAACTCAGTAAATGTCAGTACTCAATATAGTTCACATGATCAGAGGATCCATAGTTGAGATGCCAAGGGTTCACACATCGCAAAAAATGAGCCAACATTGAATGAAAATTTTCGGGTGAGTCCAACATGTGAACAGTAGCATCAGGGTCAGCGTGAGTGACCATGTCGTATTGTAAAAAGGAAAAGCAGAAATCAGAATGGTCAAGACTCCATTGTTTCTCTGGTTAGCAAAATGAGCGACAAACTGGCGACCTTCCCAAGACACGCAATGATCTAACTGCGGTGGAGCATACAAGGTCTCAAAACCAAAGCGCGGCATACCTGCTGATAGTTTGCAAGGACCTGACTGTGACTACGCATCATCACCTGGATGCGATTGTCTGTTGGACGAGGTTTTTTTTTTCGCAGGCCTTTCCTGACAAGGACACCATATCTTGTAGCTTGTGAGGTTCCAGGTATAGAGAGGCCACAACCATCACCCGATTCTGGCTGTAAGATGCTGTAAGTTCGAGGCAGCCCCTGAAATCGAAAATTTCGTTTTTGCAACCTAAGACTTCGGTATCTGGTACCTCGTCGGACCATGGCCGCCAGAACTTTCTCGGTGACAGGTTTTCCGGACTTTGAGGTTTCGGATTGCCGGGAAGGGTGTCGTCGCCCTTTCGGCGACAGGTTTTTTGGAGTTTCTATTCGCTATGGATGGCAAAATTCAAGGAACTATTTATAAGTTCCAGGAACTATTTATAAAATTCCAGGAACTATTTATAAAATTCCAGGAACTATTTATAAAATTCCAGGAGCTATTTGTAAAATCTCAGGAACTATTTGTAGATCATCTTAGCGGACCCCAGCCCAAGAAAGGATATCTGCAAGCATTCCACCGTCGCTGCTAGAGCAACTTTGTCAAGTACTGCCGGGACAAGTTCGGGTCGACCGTTTGACTAGAAAACCCAACTTTCGGACACCGAACCGGAAATCATGAACCTTTTGCAGACTGAGGGATTTTGGACATTCTTTGGTCGTTTCTCAGCAGATATTGATTGCATAATCTACTAAAAATACCAAAAAAAGGTAGACTGACCACTGACCAACAGACAAACCTGACAGAAGGCCGATTGGGTTTGAAGATCATTTTTTTGATTTGTGTTCAGTTCACACGCAGGTTCACCAAAAATTGTGAATGAGTAATAGGTCCACATATCATATCCTGGATCTCGTTTTTTCTGGGCTAAGCTGGGTTAGTTCTTGGTTTTGATTTCTGATTTTGGATTTAGAAACAGTTGGGAAGGCAGCAAAGATTAACAATAGATCGACACCGTTCCAAACCGTTCTGAGCTGTTTATTCTTTTTGTACTTTACAGGGTTAATAAATAGATCGGAACCGTTCCGAACCGTTCTGATCTATTATATCTCTGTGCAGTTTACGGGTGTTAAAAATAGATCGGAACCGTTCCGAACCGTTCTGATCTATTTCTACGTACAGGGTTTATAAATAGTTCGGAACCGTTCCGAACCGTTCTGATCTATTTATACGTACAGGGTTTATAAATAGTTCGGAACCGTTCCGAACCGTTCTGATCTATTTATACGTACAGGGTTTATAAATAGTTCGGAACCGTTCCGAACCGTTCTGATCTATTTATACGTCGCATTTTATGAATAGTTCGGAACCGTTCCGAACCGTTCTGATCTATTTATACGAAAAAAACAAAATAGATCCAATTAGTTCCAAATAGTTCCAAATAGTTCCGAGTTTATAAATAGTTCGGAACCGTTCCGAACCGTTCTGATCTATTTATAAAAACGGATTTAAAAATAGTTCGGAACCGTTCCGAACCGTTCTGATCTATTTATAAAAACGAATGTATAAATAGTTCGGAACCGTTCCGAACCGTTCTGATCTATTTATAAACAGAAGTGGTTATAAATAGTTCGGAACCGTTCCGAACCGTTCCGATCTATTTATAAAAACGGATGTATAAATAGATCGGAACCGTTCCCAACCGTTCTGATCTATCTGCAAGACTGTCTACATAAAGAATTTATAGATAGATCGGAACCGTTCCAAACCGTTCTGATCTATTTATAAACTTGGATGGATAAATAAATCACAACCGTTCCAAGACGTTCTGATATATTTACCAACTTGGATGTGTAACTACATACAGGATTTTAGAGATAGATGGGAACCGTTCCAAACCATCCTGATCCATATAGTTATCAAGTATGTATGTTCTACTTCTGAACTCCCAGAAGTTACTTGGTCATTAGCCATAGCTACATTTTCAACTATATCTTCAAAATATGTGCAAAACTAAAATGAACTAACCATTGTTTCTGGTGGTCTTAAACTTAGAGTATTGGAATCATATATTCAACAATAAACCACCAAAAGTCGGGGTAGCTTAAAACACTGGCCCAAAACCCATAAGCGTACTATTATTGTAGACAGATGGTTTGGTGACTGCTTTGGCCTCACTATGTTTTTCTTTTTTAAAAATAGGCCCAGGAGTTTGGAAACAAAAAAACGCCAGTATCAGTATAATGCAGTAAATAGTTTCTGGGATTCTATAAATAGTTTCTGGGATTCTGTAAATAGTTCCTAGGATTCTACAAATAGATCCTGGGTAGCTATGGCCCCTAACACAGAAAGAGGCCAAAGCAGTAAGTAAGGAAAGCCCCATATTTAATGGGAAAATCGATGGTTTCCTGTAGATTTTCCCTTAAACCAATCCATTGAGTTGTGATATTTCTATTCAAGGAGTTCTGATATAGTTGTGATATATTTTTAGTCTCCAGCAGTTTTTTTGAGAACAAGTTGCTATATTATGTCAAGATTTGTTATTCACTCTAATGCCAGTAGTGGGACCTCTGTTGTGGAGCAAATCAACGAGTCTGTGAGACTACCGGTATTGATAGTGAGTAAAATCATCAAACATTTGGCTGACGCAACTGGGGATTGCAGCCAACTGCCCAACTGCTCCAGAACTTGATTCGAATATAATTGAGATGTGTGTTTCACAGATTGCCTTTCTTCAGCTTTTGTTGGTTCTATATAAAGCTAGTCTTCTCATTTCGCCATAATCCTCATCCCTGTTTTTTTTTCCGTTTCCCGCATGGAACAAACTTCTCCACCTCCCTGGCCTGCCAGGCCATGAAACTCATCGAAACAGCGCAGGGCGGTGGTGGCTGGGTGCTCCTATCCAACTGCCACCTCATGGAATCCTGGATGCCTTCGCTGGAAGCCATCGTGGAGCAGTTCAACCCTGATAACATGCAGACCAGCCCCTTGGAGAACAACCAACGGTAACGGCGGGGGGAAAACAACCATTTCTTTGGGGGGGCCAACAAAAGAGCAAGAAACAGCTGGTGATTTGTTGGTGAAACTGCCCTCAGCTGCCATGTTTCCTTTTTTTCCCTTTGAAACAGCGAAAAATCTACTTGTGGATGAGTAATTGTTACTTGGAATGAGTTGCAGGCGCTGTAGCAAACTGTCCAATTGAGAACAGGCTGATCCCGTGGCTGTCAATGGGGGTTGTAGGACTGTCTCGTAGCTTTTAGTTGGGGCTTGCGCAAGCCGCACGCCGACATTGCAATGGGAAACAAGCTAATGTTCAACAGGACAACTCTTCGAATGTCATCCAAATGCAACTCAACCAGTTTCGTATGTTTCGTCAACATTTTCAGAGTGAAAGGTGTGATGGAAAGTGAAAATGGTTTGCTTCACTCTCCTGCATGTCATCCATACAACATACATAAGCAACAAGACGCAAGAAGTATGTTCTAAGTATTATATGTGTAATGTTCAGACACCCCCCCCTTTCACCATCAAAAACCATAGAAAAGTCAAGTCCAAAAATTTCGGATGGTACATAATCAAAATTGGGAAAGATGGAAAAGATGGGAAACATGGAATCAAAAACCATCAAAAAATGGGATGTTCCATTCCATGTTTCCCATCTTTTCCCATGGCTGATTCCTCCATATTCCTCCCGTCCCCGAGGTTTCCGCCTTTGGCTCACGTCCATGCCGGCGAAGAGCTTCCCGGTGCAGGTGCTGCAGAACGGCGTCAAAATGACCAACGAGCCGCCCAGCGGACTGCGAGCGGCTCGGTTTACGCACGGGACTGACAGGACACCACCCATGGGGATGGTGAAAATCCCTAGGAATTTCCATAGGAAAAAATATCCATAACGGCTAACCATGGTACTTGGGGATGGTTTATGGCAGGTGTACCACAGAAAAAGATCCAGTACGTAAAAGAGTAGATTTTATGTGAATCAATATTTACAAATGTAGAAATGCTACTTGCACGTTGGTGCCAGTAATATTCAATACCTCCAATAACAGGTCCTAAAATGAACAGATTCAATACAGATCGAGGGTTTTAAGTGATATATAGTAGAGGGACGGGATCGCAACGTTTGTCGCACCGTCGAAAACGTGGGTCCTAAGGCCAATCTGCTTCGCTCCTACTCAGCTTTGACGGATGAGGTGTTCAAAGAGTCCAACAAGCCAGCTGCTTGACTCATTTGACCCTCTGGTAATAAACGTTTACATAGCTATTGGAAATGATGATTTATAGTGGATTTACCCATTAAAGATGGTGATTTTCCATAGTTATGTTAGTTTACCAGAGGGTACCCAATACTTGAACCTGGCAATGAGGGCAGCAAGTCATAAGGCAACTTTTCTGCACGTGCTAGATGTCTCGTTTGTTTACAAGAGGGTAGATCCCTTCTTGCTTGAAAACCTGGTCCAACCACTATTTTAGTTTCTCATGTTTTTCATGAGAAACACTACTGATTCCCAGTTCTTAATTTGTTCATGGGATAAAAGTCATCGTTTTTGTTCAATCACATCTCATTATGTTGCCCATGATCCGTATGTTAAGCTATACTTTTTGGTTGCGTTGGTTTGGTTGACTAATCATGTTCACTCCCACGATGTTCGATTTTTGAAATCCCAACTTTTGTTTGATTAATCACAGTAAACCTCCATGCATCCTTAGTACAAACCACATTTGTGTGTTAGCTCTTGGTCTCAAATCCCGATGTTTCTCCTATTTGCTGGGGATGTCCCCATTGTTGTTTGGTGCAACCCAGATCCCACAGTTGGGACCTCCTCAATCCCTGCTCCATGGAATATGTATCACAATTTGCCCCATATCACGAATTCTTGTAGGTAAACATACCAGCAGCATGGATTATCTGGGAATATAATCTCCATCATTTATTATATTTATATAAATAATATATATATAGTATTCATTATTATTCAATATCACAATATCTCACTATAGTTGATAATAGTTGATTATTACATACCCCATCAATTTGCCCATTCATATTCCAGCCTGGGCCAAGGAGATTTTCAAGACGCTCCTCTTTGGTTTCTGCTTCTTCCATGCTGTGGTCCAGGACCGTAGGAAATTTGGCCCCATCGGCTGGAACATTGCCGCTCGAACTGTAAACCCCTGAGCCACGCCGGAGGTTCGGTGCTGGGACTGGGCACCGAGCTTCGGTGCGCAAAAAGTTTTGCAAAGATGGTTCTTAAAAGCATCGAACATAACTGGCCTAGCCTGATTTTAATGTATTTTAATGCGTTTTAGTTGTGTTTGTATTCCTGCTTTTTTCGGCTCCAAGTCTTATGACATGCTTGGGTTGACTTCAAAGCCACAGATTTTGACAGGTGGGTTCAACTTGCGATCACGTCCCTGAATTTCCAGCTCTGATTCTGCAAATGGCAAAGCAAGTCTAGTCTCAATTTTGACTTCTATGTATTTGTATATATATATATATACATAAATATATATATATATATATACATATATATATACATATATATGTATATACATATATATGTATATACATATATATATATATATATGTACATATGTGTGTGTATTTATATATATATATATAATATGGCTCAGCCCTTTTAGAGATGTCATGCGGAGCACAAAAAATTGCTCGAAAACACCACGCTCCGCTGGTGGAAACTTCTTTCAGACCCTTGGGAGAACAGAGCTTTGACCCTTTGACCTTTGCTGATCATCATCCTATTTCAGGATAATGTGACAATTATGGTGATGATATGATGGATTGTTATGGCAGAAATGACAATGTAAAAACACCTGGTGAAATATATATGATCAATATGACACCTGGTTGATGTTGGTGAAATATGACGTCATTTACCCAGGTTATGGATTGTTATGATAGATATTGGTACTGCTTGGTGGTTTCAAACATGTGTCTTTATTTTCCATAATATATGGGATGTCATCCTTCCCATTTACTAACTCAAAATTTTTCAAGATGGTTAAAACCATCAACCAGTATTTCTTAGATCTTTGTTTAATGAATAATATCAATATCACCCTTGGTTTCCTTATTAGTCTTATATACTTCAACTAAATAGGAGTTGACTGCTTAAGTCTTCAAAGACTCCCAAGTTTAGACACTTTGAAACTGGAGAAGCTGGATAATCCTTACTTGCCCTTGTTTCAATGATTGTTACACTTGTTTGAAGTAAAACAAAGCATGGGACATGGGATATTGTAGGTATACAATGGTATGCAATCAATGTCATTTATGCATATTTATGCCTCAAAAATGAGGTGCCCTTGGTTTTCCTTGGTCAACTCCCAGGCATTAAAAAGGCCACCCTTTGATCGTCCCTGCTGCCGCCGAGGCTTATGGCTTCACACCAGAAGATCTCTTGGTGTGTCGACAGCAGCTGATGCTCTTCGTGAACCAATACGACCAGGTGCCCTACAAGGCCTCGGGGGGCTCCAGGAGCACCGTGGTCAAGGAACTGTAATGTAACGCGATGCCAGGGCTGTGTCATCACTGCTTTCAGCATTTTTCAGGAGCCAAGTCCAAGTGACCATGTTGAACATGTCCCAGCAGGGAAAAATTACATCTAATATCATCAAATTACATCCTTACCATCCTTTGCCTTTACCAATTTGTTGCGCCTTAAAACCTTAGTTTTTTGCCCATTTTCTTTTCCAAAAAAAAACTCGGCGCATCCCTCAGGTCTTAAACTTCTTGGGTGCCAAGATCAACTACGGCGGCCGTGTGACGGACGACAAAGACAAGTTGTTGCCGAGTGGCGTTTCCAGTGGCTCATGGGGTACCCCAATAGCTAGCCATTTAGGACACCTCCGGTGGTGTTTGGTGTAGATCTTTGAAACATAAACGTGGATGGATTGTAGAGACATAGTATATATTATATATGTATATGCATTTTCATATGCATATATATACATAATTATCGCCATATGATTTTTGGACACCAAACAACAACGTGGAAAAACCCCGTGGACCACGTTCCATGCTACGTTGTCCAAAACGTTCCCAGGTTGATCTCGACCATCCTGCAGACCTTCATCTGCCCCGAATCGGTGGAGCAAAAGGCGAGTCCGTGGGATGAGATGGGATTCAACGGAATCCGCGGAAAATCCCATCGTGGGATGGTGGGATGGTGACCATATGGTTACCCTCTGGTGAACTAACATAGCAATGGAAAATGGCTATTTATAGTGGATTTTCCCATCAAAAATGGTGATTTTCCATTGCTATGTTAGTTCACCAGAGGGTAATGATAGTTATAACCATATGGTTAATGACAATTATAGTTATATCATTATGGATAAATCCCCCATGTCAATATGGCTTTCATGAATTGTTTTCATGATAGTTAGAACATGTTATAAGCATACTTATCTGGTTGGTGACTGGAACATGGCTGGATTATGACTTTCCATTTATTGGGAAAAACATCGCCCCAACTGACGAAGCCCATGATTGCCGTTGGGGAAACGATCAACCCATCGGGGTTCGGGGTACCCTCTGGTAAACATACAGAAAACTAAGGAAAGATCCACAATTTTTAATGGGAAAACTCACTATTTCTATGGCCATGTTCAATAGCTATGTTAGTTTACCAGAGGGTACATTTTTAGACCCTGGTGATCTTGTCATTTCTTTAGGTCCCCCGACTTCAGGTCATTTGCCGCCACCTGGGGAGAAACAGCACAGGGAATTGGTGAAGTTTTGCCCCAGCATGGCGCATGTCTTTGACGTATTTTGAGGGTGTTGTGGTGTATGGGTGGCGTCTTGCATGGTGTTTTGGCTTGTGTGTTGGCAGCGGCAGGTGGCCCTGGTGTCAGCGTATGAGCCAAAAAGGTTGGCGTATTTAACACATGAAGCAAAGTAAAACGGCGAAAAAAGTCTTAGCAGTAAAAAACAATAGAGTGGTGCAACAAAGCAAAATCTATATCTATATTGAAACCTCACGTTTTTTGATGTGCGTTTTCTGCTTGGCTGAGTCGTTCCACATGGTCTGCAAATTCTTAAGCATCCTTTTGCCGGCCGACCAAAGCGCAAGTTGCATCTAGGGGCCTAGGGATATCCAGGGCATGCCCCCTCTCCTGTACAAGTTGCTAATGGTGTCTTGGCACTCCTTCTTTTCCACAGTTTCGATTGCCATTTGTAGCTGTCGGGCGGCGGACAGAATCAAAAGTGGTGCCTTTCAAATGCATCTTCGAACCCCGTAACAAAGTTGCAAATGTTGATCATTATTACATGTCGGTGCTTGTTCAAGTTTCTTTTGAGTGTAATTTGAGTCCGCTCAAAAACGCAGATCGAGATCTTATTGGAAACCAAACCGGCAGCTAGTTTGACAGGCAAACTCAATTCTGGCTGCTCATGTATGTAAATGCCTGCAAGGCACAAGAGATTGGTGAAAAACCGGCCAGCAACCTTTTTTGGGTGGGTCGTATTTGAACGAAACACTGAAGAGCTCCTTTATCAGAATCTATGCTTGGAGGATGTCAGAATTCTGGTGTATATTTGATTAAATATATATTAATATAATATATATATATGTTTAATTTACTATAATTTATATTATATATATATATATATATATTATATTATATAAGTATATTTGTATACTTGAACTTGAAATGGATACTGCCACCCCTGTCTTTATCTCGATCTCCGCCACCTTGCGACAGGAAGGCTACAAGTATTCCACCAGTGGCTTGTACTACGCTCCAACGGCTGAGACCATCGAGGATTTTGTCACATACATCAAAGGCGGCTTCGCTGTGGTTCCATTGTTTGGGCTGTTTGGTTTTTTCCGTAAGTGGGGATGGGTGAAAAATAAAGCCCTATGGAACCACGGATTTTTGTGTACTGAGCATCTAATTACTGAGGTACCCAATTTTGACATCTCCCACTGCTAGTCGTTGTGTTATTTGGCCCAACTTGGCTGGTAGACAGTCGTGGTGAGCTTGATATTCCCAGTTTCCGTGTTTTTTTTTGGCAAGCAATCGCTTATGATTCATTGGTACTTGGTGGCATTCAAAAGCTTGACCAAACAAAAATAGCAAACAGCTACTTATCAGTACTTAAAAACAATATCATGTATTTTCATCACTGATTACCATATCTCTATCGTTTCTCAGTCTTAAAAAGGTAACCGTAGCGGCACACTCGCTGCTTGTGAGGCTTGCCGCTCTATCCGATGCCTGAGGCATTTGGTTTGCACGAGCGCCTCGGCGACGGGACGTTGAGTCAGACGTTGCAGGGGGGATGAGTTCTTCAGAAAGTCTGGTGGTTGATGATTGTAGGGCAGGGGTTGGTACATGTCCTAATTCAACACCCAAATATTGGGGATATCATTGATATCATCTCCAAAAATGGGACATTTAGATACATTTAGTACAAACCCCATCCAAACTGAGTCACGGATTGTACTAAACCCCATATGTTTTGGGGAAGATTCGAATCGTTGGAGAAGCATTCAACAATGACGGATGACGGGTGTTGCCGACATGGGATGGATCGCCTCCAGTCCGGAGTTGGCGTACGGAGATGGGCCATGGCATAATCGATGATTGGACGAGTAAACAGATATAGTGAATAGTGATTGAATAGTTACTCATTGAATATAGTGAATAGTAAACACTAGTGAACAGTGATTGATATCTGTTTGATATAGTTACCAGTAATTTTGTAGCAAACATTCAAACAGATAAATAATAATAGTATCCATTCAATCCATTCAAATCAAATAGTGATTGTCCATCGCATGATAATATGGGACAGATATGGGAACACAATGACTATATGGGACGATTATCATTGGTTGTTTGATCAAACAACGATATGGCAAATATGGGAAGGACATGGGGAAGAATGATGATTTAGAATGATGTGGCTGTTGAATGATTTCAGGTGGTGCTCATGGTTTCTGAGAAAGGTTTGAAGATGTTGTGACAAACAAAAACATCACATGCGAGTGCTGCAGACGAGTGAGACATGGATATAATTAGATGCGCATATCAAATGGTGGAAACCTGTGGTGCAGCAGCATTTTAGCCAATGAAGATACGCTCGGACAATCAAACGTCTTGAATATCCACCATTTACAGATGTTCCCAGTGAAGCCTTCACAATTATATATAGAATACTGTAATATGTATGCAATCCGGTTGATTACCGGAGGTTATTAATGTAGAGAGGCCCTAAAGAGGGAAGCAATCTGAAACTGCAGCCCAGCCACCTAGGAATTGCAACATCACCTGCGCCCAAGACGAAGCCTTGAAATTGCTCACGGGCATGCAGAGCATGGCATCTTGGCGAAGCCTTCGGAAGCCGCTCGCTTCAGCGAGCTCCTGACGCACAAAAAAGTACCGCAGCCCCCAAGTTACAATAGAAACGTTACAAATCCCACTAAAATAATGATTAATATTATTGTTTATTTTCGGGGTGTTTCTACACTAAGAAGAGGGCTGGTTGGTGGTTTCAAATATGGAACTGGCAGCCCCAAGGTCTCCCTGAACGCCGGCGGTGGCGAGGGTGGCTCTGCTGATACGGCACCTTGACATTTTTCAGAGGGCTCAGATGGAAAGTGTGGGGCTGCAAGACAGACACCTGGTTTTCCTGTTAAACGAACTTATGCTGAAAAAAATCTGCTCCAGTAAACTAAGATAGAGATGGAACATCCACCATATTTATATAATTCCTTTCTTGGGTAAAACATGGTAAAACCATGGATTTCCATAGCTATGTCATTTTACTAGAGGGAAGTTTGATTGAGAATTAGCCTCCACTTGGCTGGCATGAAACTGGACAAAACCAGGAAAAGGTTCTCTGTTGAAGGGATCTTCAGCTGATTCCAGGGGAATCGAAGGCATTTCATACTGATCTCCACGGTGCATACAGTAATTGGTATACCATGTGGTAATGTAAGGTGGCTATACAAATGTTGTGTTTGTATATATTGATTTGCCTATATTATATAGCATTATATTTCTAGTAATTAAGATTCACCTATTACTAGTAAACAATAATGGTGGTTTGCCATATAGCTATGTTGGACTACCAGAGAGGATATCCCAAATAACTACATCCCCATATGAGTTGCCATTACATGTCATTACTATCCTCATTCTTATCATCCTCATATGAATAGGTTAAATTCCCGTTTAGTTTACCCTGAAATGATCCCCATTGCCCATGATCAATCCCGATTAAATAATTAATCCCCTTTAAATCCACTGAAATCCCATATCATTGGATTGTTCCAGTGAAATTTTACAGAACACCCAACACGATTTCCCGGGACATTCCCTGGGTTTCCGGTTTAGATGGTTCCCAACGAAAATCAACATCCCATGATATGCGTGGCTCCAGGTCATGGACGATACGGCCGCATCTATTCAAGACCGCTTGCCCAAACCTTTCCCGCTGGATGTTTGTGAAACCAAATTCCCCACGAGGCAGGAATAGGGACGGTGGACGGTGACCGTGACCACAGGGGGTACGAGACTTTATCATGATATAGACCTTTTTTTTACTAAAGGAAGGGGCAGGGTACTGAATATAGTTGGACAGGGTACTGAAACACACTTTTACAAATTGGTTCAACCGCTTTTTGCGCGGTAAACATCATGTGTAATGGCAGTTTTTAGGGGTGGTTGGGGTCCCGATAAAATCCGCGAAAAACCCGAAATGTTGGGGTTCCGTAAGAGTTCGGTGGGATGGGAGCTGAATCAATGATGCAATGTTTGCGTGCAGGTATGACGAGTCCATGAATACCGTGGTGAAGCAGGAATGCTTGCGATACAACAAGCCCCTTGGTGTCGCCATGGTGTCGCCAATGAGATTTGGGGATGTCAATGGGATGTAATCAAATAGCTCCCCGTTCGTGTTTTTTGTTCTCATCCCTACCTTGAACGATCATCCCAAATGACCAACGAACAATATATTTGTCAAACAGAAACCATCAAGCAGAACAGAATTTATTTTGTCCTACTTGATCTGGATTGCCACGACTTAAAGAGTCGTTAGATACCTAATAGATAACTCTGGGTTATCCCATTTCATTTTTTTTATTATAATCTATATGAAAAATACTTAAACTTACTATCTATCTATCTTATCTTATCTCATCTTATCTTATCTTATCCTATCTTATCTACCTATCCTAATCCTAGTCCTAATCCTAATCCTATCCTATCCTGCCGTATCCTATCCTATCCTATATATCTATCCTATATATCTATCGATCTATCTATCGATCTATCTATCTATCTATCTATCTATCTATCTATCTATTTGTTTACCTGTCCTATCTATCTATCCTATCTATCTATCCTATCTATCTATCCTATCTATCTATCCTATATATCCTATCTATCCTATCTATCCTATCCTGTCCTATCCTGTCCCATCCTATCCTATCTATCCTATCCTATCCTATCCTGTCCTATCCTATCCTATCTTATCTATCCTATCCTATCCTATCCTATCTATCCTATCTATCCTATGGTATCATATCTTATCTTATCTTATCCTATATATATATATATATATTCCTATCTATTCCTATCTAGTCCTTTCTATTCCTACCTATTCCTATCTATTCCTATCTATTCCTATCTATTACTATCCTATCTATTCCTATATGTGTGTTTGTTTGTCTGTCTGTCTGTCTATCTATCTATCTTTCTATCTATCTATCTATCTATCTGTCTATCTATCTGTCTGTCTGTCTATCTATCTATCTATCAATCTATCAATCTATCAATCTACCAATCATTCTGTCTATCTATCAATCTAATCTAATCTAATCTAAATCTAATCTAATCTAATCTAATCTAATCTATTTGTCTATCTGTCTATCTATCTGTCTATCTATCTATATATCTATCCGTCTATCTATCTATCTATCTATCTTTCTATCTATCTATCTATCTATCTATCTATCTATCTATATATCTATCTGTCTGTCTGTCTGTCTATCTATCTATCTATCTATCTATCTATCTACAGATTATAACATAACATACTGTTCCAATCTCCACTGCCCAGGTTGCTGTGGTCCATGGCGTCCTCCTTGAAGGATTTCCGGAAGGCCATCAAAGGCCCACCGGGGCCCACCGGTCGTCGTGAGAGTTTCCATTGGAGATAGCCATCATGATTTAGGGAACCTTCATATGAATCATCCTGCCTGGAGTGGATAGAAGTTGGGATTTTCTGCCTGAGTTTTTCCATTTTACCATTTTTTGGACGTTGATTGAACAATGTCCATATTCTATCTGCTCCAGGATGACTGATATATGGATTTACTATGATGATATTCTTGATGGGTTCCCGTAAGCCCTAAAGTTTCTATTTCCCCAAAGGGAATTGACGTGCACTCGCAGGAGGTAGATTGTGAATGTAGGTAGAATCATCCTCATAGCTGGCCGTATGATAAGAACTCTTTTTAGGTTTGTGATTTTTTTTATAATTCAGCCAGAATGTATGGAATTACACTCTGGTAAACTAACATAGCTATTGAACATGGCCATTTATAGTGGATTTACCCATTAAAAATGGTGATTTTCCATACTTACGTTAGTTTACCAGAGGGTATGGGGTCAAGCCATGTCCACTATACGTCTTGCAAGCATTGTTTCAATTGAAGTAGATGGGTACGACCGAATTGGCATACAGTTGGATACAGAACTAATGGGACCTACAGATATCATCATATCACATACATCTCATTTGCATTCATTTGCCATATGATCAAATATATACGTTTTAAGTGGATATTTTTTGGTAATATGGATACACAATTTGCACACATTTGTATTATAAAAAGTGGCGACTGAGTCCACATTCTTATAGTGGGCACTCGTGATGTCACCGCCAGGTCTCATCGTGATGACGGCGGAGTTGGAGGCGGCTGGAAAGTCGCTCTTCGTCAACGAAGTGCCGGAGATGTGGCGCGGCCTCAGACGGGTAAAGTCGCAGTCGCGGTTGGGCGGGGGCGGAGGTATGTCCAGTTATCCCATAGGATCCATGTATGGTATATATGCTAACATAAAGGGGGTATATTGATGGTAAATGTTACTATATATAGCATACATGGATCCTGTGGGTATGGAACTTAGTGATGTATGACCCATCTATTGGTGATTTTATGTGGATTTCATACATAGATAAAAGATGATAAAAGGTTAAACAGCCAACTACTTTGTGATTTGGAATGGTCATGTGATAGGATGATGTCATATCCCACATGCTCCACATACAGTAATTATCCCCAAACTAATTAATCTAAGTGTAGATCAACCTGCCAAAGATGGAGCATTTGTGTATGTATGTATAATATAATATAATTTAATATAATATAATATAATAATATAATATAATAATATAATATACTATAATATAATATAATATAAGATAATATATAATATAATATAATAATATAATTTAATATAATATAATACAATACATATATATATGTATAAATATATGTGCGTGTATATATATATATATATACAATATACATATTTATTATATATACACACACCCATATGCAGAAAAGTTATCTGTTGTCCAAAACTCGGTCATCATTAGTTGCTGACCCTGGGGCTTCCACCGACCCGGCCGAGCCTCACGACGCCTGAGGTGGTCGAAGAAGGGCCCCCTCTCCTTGAAGCCCTTGAGCGCTTGGTACTTGGACATCCTGGAACGTGTGAGGCGGGTGACGCTGCTGGGAAATTTGTTTGGAAAACTTGGGAAAGCCACTATAAAACAGGAAAATCATGGAATACATTCTATGTATAATTCGATGTCCATAGCAGGGAAAATCATCTTGAAATGAGATCATTTCCAGCAAACTATGTTCGAGTACCGGAGGGTAGGAAAGCTGATGACTTGACAGAGCCTCCAGTGTTATCAGCTACACTGCTGGGAATCCCTGAACTAAATGATGGAGGAGTGTGCCATGCCTCAAACCATATCCAGAGAAAACCATGAAACCATATCATATCATATCATATGGAACCCATACAAGAAGATATGTAATTGGAGACATTTGCAGGGCTGGCATGACCTTTTGGACTTTGACCTCCGACAATCGGAATGCGCATTGCCAAGCTCCGCCAGAGGTTCTTCCAGATGTGGTTTGATCTGGGGAAAGCGCCACCATGCTTTTGGGTCAGCGGCATTTTCTTCCCTCAAGCCTTCTTCACTGGAGCCATGCAGAGCCTTGGATGACTTGGATTGAGATCTCCAGTGTGCAGCCATGTTATGTACTTTTGATTGCTTTTGGATGTTTGAAGGAGTTGATCAGGTCAATTGCAAAGGGTAGAGTGCTGAAGTATGACAACTCTATACAACTCTCGTTTTTTTTGGGGGGTGACCTGGGGCGGGCTATAGACTATAGAGATGCTTTGAATATCTTTGAATGACCCTCCAAGCCGTTCGTAGACCTACATATATCTTGGGTAAACCGTAGTAGGTAAATACGTTGACGTTTTGGCCATCTTATAGCGGAGGAAATCATATGGGGCGTAGCCAGCTGGTGCCCCTTTACCATGCCAAAACCATCCAACACATATCCGCACACAATTTCGATATGTCCATTTGTTGCCAAACTCGCATGTTATTAAAATTAAAACATTTATCTATTATATATGCCGATTTTATTGAATTATCTTTTGAACAGTCCGCTTGATATGTAAATGATCAATATATGGTGATGGCGAGAGAGAGAGAGAGAGAAAAAAAAACAAAAGACTATAAATCAATATAAATCACACAAATATGGATTATCAACACATTATAAAATATCTATACCAATGATATCGTACCGCTATTACACGTATTCTGCCCATCTGAGCCTGGGCTCCCTTCCCTTGAGCCAAATCCCTAGGGAAATTGGACAATAATTCTTATCATCCGACAACACTTCAAAGACACAGAGTTATCTGGTCATTTTTTCCCTTAAACCAATAGAGCACCAGCATTTTTGCTGGTGAAACCATGTTGAACCTCAAGTTTCAACAGTTAAATCACGTAAGTGACGTAAAGTCCCTTAAGACATGCATGTTTTTCTTGTTGAAATCCATTGAAATCGGTGGTTAAATTCAACTCCCTTCAACCATGGCTTGCTGGAACATCCCCCAGCAGATCATTTTCCCAGCTCAAAACTTCCATAGAAAGTTCGGGGATTTCTCCATATAAAAATCTCCATGTTTGAAAGAGGATTTCCCCATAAGTTTCCTTATGTATCATAGGGGATTCTCCCATAAAAATTGCCATGATGTACAGGACAATTCCTCATATTTTCCCATGTTTTATAAGTGATTTCCATGGATTTCCCAAGGTTTAGTGTGGAGATTTCCACATCATGGCCCACCGGGCGTCCAACGGCGCAAGAAATCGAGGAACTTCGCGCGGAAGTACGGCGAAGAGATCGACTTGCTGAGCTTTTCGCATCGCACCATGGATCACATCTCGGATGCACCGGCGCAGCTCACCACCCCGCCGGACGATGGTGTCTTGGTGGCTGAGGGATGATGTTGGGGTGATTTTGGGGATGTGTTTATATGGTTTTTATTGGATCTTGTGGGAAACTTGGGAGGTTGGAGTTTATGAGATAATTCCACCTCAAAAATGGTAAAGGAATGCTTGGGATACAACACCACTTTTATGGGTTGTACAAGGTTTAGTGGGATTGTTATTGGATGTTATTGGAAAATTGAGAGATTGCTTAATTATGGGAAATGGAACTTTATGAGATAATACACATATATAAATATAATTATGGAATATAATGAATTGATTTATTGTTCATGGGAACTTGGATGTTTATAATGAATTGAATGAGGTACAGTAATTATGTTTGTTTGTTTGTTTGTTTGTGTGTTTTTGTTCAATGGAATGATCGTCGTCGGCCAAGTGGAGGAAGAACGCAAACGAGGTGCCAAAAGAGAAGGCTGCAAGGTTCGTACTTCAAACCAAGCTGTTATGTGCCAACATTGCCAGCTGATGTATTGTTGTTGATATCCAATTCTTCTTGATAGGCTGTGAAAGCCTTTTTTTTTTTGCTGAGATGGCCAACTTTGTTGGTGAAATTCACCATTCCCAGCTGCTTGATGAATTAATTCAATCCCAATGTTTGATATCTTTGCTGCGACAAATCTGTGATCATTGCTGGGTAAGTTAAATGCAACATCTGTTCTGTTCAAACACATCGTGTTGCTCTTTCAACCTTAGAACCTTGCCAACCTTCCCGTCAATGAGCGCAAATCCATTTTTTGCGGCTTCATATTGCAGCTTCCTAAGATTTGTTCCGAATGACCTCACAGGCTCATGCAAGTTCCTACTGAGATACTGATTGGTTCATCTTGCCGTATGGTAATTTAACATAGCTATGGAAAATGGATCAACATCACCAGTTTATAATAGATGATTTACCTATTCAACATATTGAAACATGGTGATGTCCAAGCTCTGGTGATTTACCTATTAAACATGGTGATTTCCTATATTATATATATTAATAGGTATATATTAATATATATATAAGTAATATAATATATATATACGTGTATATAAGCATGGTATTTGATGGCATGTGCCACTCCTTTTCCCAAGGAGTCTACGTCTATGGCATCTTTTTGGAGGGTGCACGCTTCGATTGCACCAGCCATAAGCTGGAGGATTCCAGGCCGAAAGAACTCTTTACAGAGACTTGGTGGAAACTGCGCACAGGTCCAACCGTGGGATATATATATATAACATAATAATATATACATATATATATATATAGATAATCTATAATATACATATTATCTATATATATATGTATTGTTTTAATATCTAGTATCAAATATATACCATTTAAACAATATATAATATTTTTATAATATACTTATATATTAGCTGATGATATTATGATAATAACCAAACTATATGATATTATGCAATTATAAAACTGAAATTATGATATTTATCCACTGATTCACTGGTTATTATGGCAGTTTGCTATGGAAAGAATACGGAAACTGGTCCGTTTATAGATGATTTATATTTGATGATTCACCTGTTAAGATCCAAACATATCATTATTTTACTTAGATATGGAGCATGGTCCATGTATAGATGATTTATGATGATTCGTTCAATTTGTTGGAAATCTTCTACAAACAGGAATGTTTTGGGGTGCAACTAGTCAACAGGTATTGGAGATTTATCCTTCGGTAAATTGAGAATCCCGTATACATGGACAATTTCATGGGAACATCAACTATACATGGGGATTAAAATATATATATTTTTGGGTTTGTTCAAGATGAAATGTTTATGTTCTTAATGGGAAGTGCAGTATTTGGGGAATCTATCATCGGGAATAGTTTTTGTTTGGGTTTCTTAAGCAGGTCCAAGAGGATATTACCCTCTGGTAAACTAACATAACTATGGAAAATCACCATTTTTAATGGGAAAATCAACTATAAATGGCCATTTTCAATAGCTATGTTAGTTTACTATTATCCCATGCCCCAAATTAACATGACGAGCCTGCCATGAGCCCGGATGTGCAAGATGTTGGACGAGTACGTTCCTCTAAAAAAATAGGTCTTCTCAGATGTTAGTTGGGAGGACGGTATGGTAATTTGAAAATGCATAATTATATATATATTTATTATTATTATATATATATTATATTATATTATATTATATTATATTATATATATATTATATTATTATATATGCATATTATATAGATATTATATATATGTATATATGTGTGTATTCGAATTGGAAGAAAAACATGACAACCACGAAGTATGGGGTACTCTATGTTTGGACCAACCCAAATGCCCAAATGGGTGAGGAGGACTGTTTGCAACGGTAGGAAGAAAACATACGGAAGATATCATCAACCTGAAGTTGCGACTGTTGGCACTTGCAATGGTCATTTCGGGATATTACTGGGATTCTTCATGAAAAACTTAAGCCACAGCTACCAGTTTTTTTTTCCTGAGCGTCCAGTGCCGTGCCGTTTCGTTCAGGATATGCCCCCATTGCAATTCTTACCCATCAAGAACCGCGTGCCAAATGCCTCGGACTACCGCTGCCCCTGCTACAAGGCGGAAGCTTAATAGTTCCCGAAAAGGGGTCCCGCCTTTTTGGGTCAAAGGCTTTTGTTAGCAACAGGGATACCCTCTGGTAATTTAACGTAGCTATTGAAAATGGCCATTTATAGTGGATTTTCCCATGAAAAATGGTGATTTTCCATAGTTATGTTAGTTTATCAGAGGGTATACTGTAGGTTTTTCTGGGATTTTATGGGGATGTAAGTTGGAGATACTTCGGAGATCAACGGATCCGGATGAATTCGAGCATGACGTTATGACCGAACCCCATCGTTTTCCGTTCTTGAAATGATGGTTGGAAAGGGGAATCGTCCCCAAAAGGGCAGCAGTGTTCAGTGATGTTCGGGCATTCAGATCAGATGGTTTGTATCATCATTATAATGCTAGTATAGTAATGTATAGTATGATTATTATCTCCAAGCCTTCAGCTTTTCAACACCTTCTCCTCCGGCCCTGATCTCGAGATCTGGGCCAGGTGGTGTCCCGCAAGGGGACCTTGCTGACCACTGGGCACTCCACGAATTTCGTGCTTTATATCGAAGTTCCTACGGAGCCTTGGATGCCGGCTCCGGGGTCCCAAATGGTTCCAATGCGCAACTCACGACCTTACCAGAAATGGATGGTCAGAAGCCTCCAACTAAAGTGACATCGCTATGGAAAATCCACATTTTCTTTGGAGATTTTCGCTGTTCAAATTGGTGATTTTCCATAGCTGTGTTCGTTTACCCAATGATGAGTATTGGCCAGGATGATGCTTGGAAAGGATATTTGGACATAGCCGCAGATATTGGAATGGATTCAGTTGGCGGATTCACTGTATGGGCCTATCTATTATGTTCACGTGGGCTTGGAATGTGATGGCTGTTGATTCTCAAGCGCAGTCACATGTTTTGTTTCTTCACTAAATTAGTTCAAGTTTACGGGGAGAATTGAAAGAAGAAACCATGTGTTTTGCGAGTTTTGATATTACGCATAGGTTTTTGGTAAATGGGCGTGTGAGTCAGGATTAGGAACACGGTGGGAGTCAAAACCAAGCAGCCCGAAATAGTTGGCATACTGCGGCCCATATGTTGGTTTTCAGAATGTTCACCAGACGGTATCCATTGACCCACCAAGGACAAAGTTGTGGACAAGTGGATCAAAGCAGGTGTTGCAGCTTTCCTGGCACTGAAATATTAGAGACCGTTCGGAATGTAGCAATAGCAGTCGCACTAGGGACGTTGCTGGTAATCCATGACGTTTCGTTTCACACCCGGATGGGGACCACAAGCTGAAGAAAAACACGTGTTGAATGCACACAGTAAGTAGGTATCATTGCTGGGATCAACAGCTGACGTTGGCTGCGGCAAATATTGAGATTAGGTTTGACTGGGGCGTAAATGCTGACCATTTTCTGAAAATATTCCGGAATCTGCAATATGCCATAGGTACCCTCTGGTAATTTAACATAGCTATTGAAAATCACCATTTTTAATGGGAAAATCCACTATTAATGGTCATTTTCAATAAGTGGTCACCACTTCTTTGTGAGGGGCCCAGATTGCAGCATGGAATGGCAAGGCCATGCAAGGCCCTTCATCCCATGGGTGCAGTCAGCGGATCTCAGCAGAATATTACCAATTGGCGATGCCAGAAAGTCCAGGAAAGCATCCATACTTGGGTCAGTTTAAGAGAAGATGATGGAAAAACATGGAAAACCACAACTTATCATACTTATCTTGCCAGAGAAAATGTCGGAGTTGTCCGAAAATCGGTGATCCTTTGCTCTACATCAACTTCATGTATTTACTGGTTGGTGGTTTCAAACATCGTTTATTTTCCACAATACATGGGATGTTGTCCTTCATTTTTCAAGATGGTTATTGCACCACCAACCAGGTGATTACTAGATAGGAAAAAACACATGTTACAAACCATCAACTCCATGAATCCGGTAAAGAATTCCAACCAGTTAAAACCACCAACTAGTTTATATAGTAATGATCAGGAAATAACTGGCCTTGGGAGCCAGAGCGGGAATCCAACATGGCAATGGGATGTCTACCACGTGTAAGGCCCTTGGTATACGGCCTATGCCCTATGCATTGTAACGGGCTATGCCCCGCACAATCCGCACATATGGCCTTTCTTGGCACTGTACCATACTGTACCTTTGTTTTAGCTACCGAAGTGGACCATTCAAGAATTCCCGCATTTCCCGCATGTCCATTGGTAGATCAGCTAATTATGATGGCGGCTTCCCAGCGCCAAGCAATGCTAGCTGCACTTGGCTTCCAACCTCCATCTGGGAACATCTCACCCAGGCCCATGTCTAGTTTGGGCCACTTTTCGAGAGCCGATGGATTCAGTGCTTTTATGTATTGAATAGCCTGGAAAGGATTTACAAAGTTTTGGTGTATTCAATGGCTCCAACATGGCTCGATCAACTGTTACCCTCTGGTGAACTAACATAGCAATTGAAAATGGCCATAGAAATAGTGGATTTTCCCATAACAAATTGTGATTTTCCATTGCTATGTTAGTTCACCAGAGGGTACTAAATGATTCCAATGTACATCTACGACGTGTTACGAAGTTGGTCGGCTCGAATTCGCGTGAGGGTTTCAGGGATGCCAGTCCCTGCACTCGCGCTTGCGATTTGTCGTTGAAAAATGGGGACCGAGAATTGCACATTGAGTTGAATGATGTTTAATGAATAACCACCAGAAAACCCCAGACTCAGGAACTAGGGGTTTATTGACCTGCTATCATTAGGCAGTCATTAGGTGGGTCGCGTTTAGGGAGGTTGGTGGACCCCCAAGGATTCAATCCATGTAGGGAGTCTGCAGGCTGAAAAAGGCACTTCCAACGTATGCGGAGTTTTCATTTTTGACAAAATTTTCCCGTCGAGTTCAATAGCTTCTGATGCTTCTGAATCGACTCTGCAAGCTTCTCACAGCTATTGATGTTGTTCTCATCTCTAGTGCTTCACTGTTTCTTGTGACGAAGAAATGCCAGCTTCAGTTTAGATAGGTCATGATAGGGGAAACAGGTCCTACAGGTCCATGGGGTCAAACCAAGCAGCTGCGGAGCTGACGTGTTGAACTTCCGCCGCCGTTGTGGGTCCACCTGCCCCCAATGGGAGCATTCGCAACCGGAAAGGAGAAGAACATCAAACATACATAGCTAGTCACTAACAAACCCAAGAACACCCAAGAAAACCCAATAACTACCCAATAACTATCCAATGAAACCCAATAAATCCCAATAAAAGCGTCAATATAAACTTCCATAAACAATAAATGAATGACTCTCCGACTCCACCGGCAAGACATCACCGCCCAGGCCCTAGACCCAGTGACCATGTTGGAGGGCAAGTTAAACCCCCAAAAAAACCGTTCACTATAATATGATAGTTATATAGTTATTGTTTGAAAAACATGCCTTAAACCTTGTTTTCTGGAAAAACTTTGTGTTGCTTAAAACATGTACAAATCCGTTTTTGCGGCCAGAATTTGGCTTGCTGTTTGCCACATTGTGCCACCAAAAAATCTTGTGTTTGTCAGTGTTTGTTGTGTCATCATCCGGATGGCAGAGGCTGGGACTGGGACTGGTTTTTAATCTTTGGATAACATGCCATCTTTGGCTCGAAATTGAATGAAATAGAATGAAACGAATATGGATGGATAGATCATCAGATGGACAGCTAGATAGAAATCTCGATAGACGGACAGACAAATAGATGGATAGATAAGGCTGCCACCATGTGGCACCACTTTTCTTGGATTGTCTACCATGAATATGCAAATCCTCATTTTTCAGTTACAGGAGTATAAACTTATATAAATTTCCATGTTACAGATTATAGATGATTATAGATTATACCATCTGGTTATTTCTCATAGCTATGGAAAACGGCCCATAGAAATAGATGATAAACATGATGATTTACCCTTCTTAAAAATTGTGATTTCCATTGATTTCCCCATATTCTAGATGATTATAGATTATATATTGCCGGTATTATAGATGATTATAGATAGTATTAATAGTATTTTACATATTGCCGGTCGCATCTCCCAGGTTGATCTCTGTGTTGCGAGGTGGAGCGATGATGATGGGAATGGGAGCGATGGGATAGTCTGACGCCTTGGTGAAAAACCCTGGGTTCTTGGTGAATTTCGGATATCTTTGGATTAATTTAGGTCAATTGCCCTCTGGTTATTTAACGTAGCCATGGAAAATGGCCAATTTGTAGATGGTTTACCTATTAAAAATGGTGATTTTCCATGGCTATGTTAAATAACCAGATGGCATATGTTTTAAACATTCCGCAGACTTGGATCTTGTCACTTGAAGGTCCCTTTCTGAGGTCGTTTGTCGAGGCCAAAACCTGTGTAGCGCCGGGAGTTGATGTGGTATGGATAAGTCTTACTGTGCATGTGGATACACACCACTTCGACCTGTGGGGTTGACGGAAAGCGCAGGAACAGCACAGGGAATTGATGAAGCTTTAACCCAGCAAGAGCCTGGCGTGTGTCTTCGACGTATTTTGAGGGTGTTGTAGTGGTGTATGGGTGGTGTCTTGCATGGTGTTTTGGCTTGTGTCGGTGACATCTATATTTCAATGGCTGTTGCTGATGGTGCATGTCTTGGCAGCGGCACGTGACCCTGGTGTTTGCGTGCTAGCGTTTGCGTGCAAGCGGGGCCTAAAGAAAAAGCATCTTCGACCCCCTGAGGTTGTCACGTATGAGCCAGAAAAGCATCCAAATCATGTAAAGCATGACGCAAAGTAAAACGGCTAACAAATCTTGGAGGAAAGCTGCAAAAACAAAGGTCAAAAGAGATCAAACAATTTATTCCCCACCTGCCAGGTGAGGGTTGTTAGATTTTATCACAGTTGTTCGCCTCCTCCTCCACCTCCTTCTCCTTCTCCTCCTTCTCCTTCTTCTCCTCATCCTCCTCCTCGTCCTCCTCCTTCTCCTCCACCACCTTTGCCTCCACTTCCATGTCCACTTGCCAACTCTTCGCCAATCTCTTCGCCAACTTCTGCGCGCAGTGGGCACTGCTGGACCTCAACTGCCGGCTTCCGATCTGAGTGGGCACGGCTGGACCTCAGCGGCCAGGTTCTGAGCGCAGTGGGCACCGCTGGACCTCAGCCAGGGACCTTCCGAGCCCAGTGGGCACCGCTGGACCTCAACCTGGGACCTTCCGAGCTCAGTGGGCACCGCTGGACCTCAACGGCCAGATAGTATGCCAGAAGATATGCCAGATAGAATGCCAGATAGAATGCCAGAAGGTATGCCAGATAGAATGTCAGATAGAATGCCAGACGGTATGCCCGATAAAGTGCCAGAATGTTTGCCAGATAGAACGCCAGAAGATTTGCCAGATAGAATGCCAGACGGTATGCCCGATAAAGTGCCAGAATGTTTGCCAGATAGAACGCCAGAAGATTTGCCAGATAGAATGCCAGATAGAATGTCAGAAGATATGCCAGAAGATATGCCAGATAGAGTGCCAGAAGATATGCCAGAAGATATGCCAGGTAGAATGCCAGAAGACATGCCAGATAGAATGCCAGAAGATATGCCAGATAAAATGCCAGAAGATATGCCAGATAGAATGCCAGAAGATATGTCAGATAGAATGCCAGAGGATTTGCCAGTAACAAAACGTATAAATGTCATGGTGGGGATCACTCGAAGTAAAGTATTTTTAATGCTTTTACCAAGTGCGTTTTCTGCTTGGCTGAGTCGTTAAACATGATCCGCAAATTCTTCAGCATCCTCTTGCCAGCCGACCTGGCTTCACGATGTGGCCTGCGGGTGTTCGTTTAGATGGTGTCTTGGAGCATGAGGCATCCAGACGATGTCTGGGCAGTGGGTGTCTTTAAGGTGTTTTGATGGTGTCTCCATCATTGCTGGGCACTGCCTTTGTGGTTTGTCACCGGTTTCGCGGTGTTGTGGGCTGTACGTTGGTTGTGTCTTGGCTAGTACCAGTTGCTATCTCGCACAAATTGGGATGATATTGGCGTGTCAGTTATGTTTTGGTGTAGTGGTGGCGTGTCAGTGGCATGGTGTCGGTGATGTCTTGGCGCCGACCCGGGGTGTCTCAGTCCTTTTTGTGCCGCTGTGTCTCCGCCGCGTTTGGGTGGGCATGTCTCTGTATGTTGTGTCATGTTGTGTCTGCGAGGTATTTGATGGTGTTGCGGTGGAATTCAAGCGGTACCTTGGTGGTGTTCGGGTGGTCTCTTGCTTGTGGGTCTCTTGTGGGTGTTTTTATGGTGGTTTT